CCTGTTACTAAAGATAAGTAAGTATAACTAGCTAAGGGTTAGCCTATAGCACTATAGTTTTATATATATTAATAAGTATAAATTAAATATTTATTACTAGTATTTCACGTCCGCCTAAATATAAAATAATTAATTAATTAAAAAGGCTGCTACCACGCGCCGCTAGCTACTAAGTAATAAAAATAATTATATAAAAGGTATTATAAAATAGCGTAACTAACCTAGCATAAAAAGTTATTAAAAACTTATATTTATTTAAATTTATAAAAGTATTAGCCCCGCTTACTAAAAGTAAAAATACCTACTATTATATATAAGTACTAACTATTATTAATTTTATAAATAAAACTAGTAAAAAGTAAAGCACTGCCTTATAAACACGTACTTTATAATAAATTTATAAAAAAACTATACTAGTATTAAAAAAAATACTAGTATATATACCACCTTTATATAAGATAATTAAGAAAAAAAATTAATATAAAAATTAATTTATTAAATAAAGTGCTACGCCCTTATATTAAATTTATTTTAAAAAACTATTTAAACCTAGGGAATATTATAGTAAGCAAGGCTTATTTTATATAATTTTAATAAAATATTTAACCTCCGCGCCTAAAAAATATATTAAATATTTACTAGTATTATTATAAGCATCCCTAGCTTTTTAAGTTACTTTTATACCTTAATATTATAAAAGTTACCCGCGGCACTCTCCCTAGTAGTTTATAAAAAAAAATTATAAAGGTATATTTAATAACCATAAATTTATTAATATTAATAATCTTTTTAATTATTTAGCTAAAAAACTTAGAAATCTAGCGCCTAAAAAATATAAACTAAATACTTAATTTTTAAACCTTGCCTAAAAAAAATAAATATTTATTTTTACTACCTGCGTAAATATTAAAAAGCACTAAATTATAGCTAGCTATATAATACTTATTATATTATTATTTAATAATTTATATACTAAAACCTATTTTATTAAGCCTAGTATATTATATTAAGGCTTAATTATAAGTACTAACTAATTTTATACCTGTATTATATAAAGTACGCCTAGTAAAAAAACCATACCTACTTTTAATATATAAATATTAATATTAACCAAGCGCTTTAAAATAAACAAAAAGTAAATATTATTTAAAAATTATTATTACTAAATATAAAAAATAATAATAACTATATTAAGGTTTTACTAAGTATATATTAAAAAAAACAAGGTAAAGGTATAACTAGCGCGGGTAAAGGCGTGAAATAGTACTAATAATTTTTTTAATTTAATTAATTATATAAAAAATAAAAAGTAAACTAAAAATAATACTAAATACTTTTATATAAACTAGGAAAAAAACCCTTGCTTATAATTTATTATTTAAATTATATACCTACTAGTACCACATGGATTTACTAAACTAGCTATAAAAATAAGGCGCATGGTACTACCCTAATATATTATTATATTAATTAATTATTAAACACTTAAAATAATAAAAAAAATTATTTAAAAAAAATTAATTATTATATATTATAACCTTATACCCGGCCCTATTTTTTATTTAGTTTTTTAAATTATTACTTAAAAATTTTATAATTATTTACCCTAATTATTTAACTCCAGGGGCTGGGAGCTATTAGTAATACCTTAATAAAATATTATAAATAGGATTTAGCTAAGGTGGTTAATAAAATAAAGCTAGTATTTAGCCTAAATATATTTATTAAGCATAACTTTTTTAAGTTTTAAAAAAAAAGGCTATTTTTATTACTATAAATATATATATGTAGTTTTAAAAGCTAAAATAAAAGTATTTTAATAACTTTAATTATAATTATTATAAAATAATATTACTTCTTGCCCTTATTCCTGCCCACGTGGCTATAGTTATTAAAAAAGTGCTAAATAAAGCTAAGCTATTTATTAACTATTATTAATGCTTTTTGCCCTAGTAAAACTAACAAGCTTTAAAATAGGTTTATTAAACTACTTAATTATTACCTATATATAATATTAATAAAAAAAGAAAAAAAAAAGAAAAAGGTAAAAAAAAGGCCTAGTAAAGGCTAGCTAAGTAAAGTATAACTAGTTATTATATTTTAAAATACTGCCTTAAAAAAAATAAAAAATATAAGTAAAAAAAAGTTTTACTTACTAGCAAGTTTTAGCCCCCCCTTAAAAAAATATAATAAGGTTGCATTTTAATATTAATTTTTATAATATTTATAGCCTTGCTATTAGTTTTTTATACTTAATTTATTATTTACCCTAATATATATATATTTTTTTTACTATTATTTCTATTTATACTACATACTATTTAGTCCTAAGTTCCTGCCATTATTTAGCTCCTTTAGCCCCCATGCTCTAGTACTGCCCCTCCACATTATTATTACTAGCCTACCTAGTAATTTTATTATTATAATATAGGTTATTTACCCCGGGCTTAAAAATATTATAAATAATATTAAAATTTTTATTAATTATATAGTTTAAGGTAGGGATTAATATAACTAGGTAATTAATTATTTTATAAATAATTAATTTTTAATATATATTTAAAACCTTAATATTATTTATTATAAGCTATAGCATGTCCTAGCTTTATATTAAATAGTATTATTTAATATATAATACTTCCCCTTTATAAATATAAATAAGTACTTTAAGGCGCTTTTTTAACTAATTTTTATAATTATTTTAAGTATTTATTAGCGCGTAATACTTATATACTAGGTAATTTTAAGTTTTTATACTTATAATAGTTTAGGGCTTTTAAATATAAGTAATATTAAAGCCTTACTTATAGGCTAGTTATAAAATTATAATATAATTAAGTATAAACCTATTTATATTAATTTAATAAATAATAAAATTTTATTATTACTAGGTATTATTTTAATAATAATTATTATAATTTTTTTTAATACTTTATTATTAAAGCTTAAAGGGGGATTTAATATTAACCTTTATTACTTAGGGTAAAAAAGGCATGCCCGCGCTGGCTAGGGCAGGCAAGATTAATTTAATAAAAAATTACCTAAGGTTTTAATTATTAATAAAGGTATTAAATTATAGGGTATAATAATTAGTAATTATTATAAAACCTTATTTATTTATTTTTAGTTTTTTTACAGCGCGCTTTTAAGGGTTTTTTTAAGGTAAAAATTACTTAATTTTAATTTAAAGCTAGGTATTAGTATTAGCCTAAACATGTATATTTTAATATTAATAAGTATTATAATAACATACGCTATTAAGCTTTTTTTTAAATAAGTAAACTAGTTTTTTATTTTTATACCTAAGGGCTGCTAGGTAATTATTATATTTTACTAGCTAGGGGCCTAGGTAATTTATATAATATATAAAATTTGTATAATTTAAATTAATAAAACCTAGGTGGTTTATAACTATTATATTATATTATATATAATATATTATATAATTATATTATACTAGGTAGTAGTATTTTTAGTAGCTAGGGTTATACTAGGAAACTAGCTAATATTTTTTAATAAGTTAATAATACTTACTTTAATTAAATAAAGTAAAAGCCCTAGGCTACTTTAAAAAAATACTACCTAAGTAATATACCTAGTATTAAAATTAGGCTTATATTTTAAAAAAGCAAGCTTAACTAGCTTTAGTTTAGTTTAGGCTATAACTTTATTTTAAATTAGCTTTATAATATTTATTTTATTATTATTATATATTAAAATAATATTAAATATTTTTTACACCATATAGTTATATTATTTTTAAAATATATATATTAATAGCACCTAGGGTATAATAAATTATGCTAATTACTTTATTAATTATTAAATGGTTTTTAATAAAAAAATTATTAAAAATAATAACCTAGCTTATATAAGTAATATTAATTTTAAAAATAATTATAATTATAATTAAGCCTAGTATATACTTAATAAGGGCTTGCTAAATAATATATACCTTAAGGTATGCTATTAACTTATTATTAAAAAGGGTAATTAATATTTTATAGTTATTTTATATAATTAAGGCTATAATAAAGTTATTATATATTAATTAAATTATTAAGGTATTTAATAAGGGTACCTTACCCGGGGTAGTATTAATTAAAATAAAAAAATTTATTTTAAAAAAAATAAGTTAAGCCCTTAAATTTTTAAGGGTTAAATTTATTTTTTTTAGGTAATAATTTTACTAAAGGTTATTATAATAATAAGTTAATTATATATATATAAAAAAATATAATTAATATTATTAATATTAATATAGCCCTTTAAAAAAATAAAGTATATAAATTTATTATAAATATTATAAGTAAAGGCTTTTTAATTTTAAGTTTTCTACCTAATTATAAAGTTATTAATAATAATTATAAAATTTATAAAAATTTTATGCTTAATACATGCCTAGTATTTTTACTTATTAAATTAATTATAAAGGGCCTTTATAACTAGGCTAAGTTAAAAAGTTAATATACTATTATTTTTAATAATAAAAAAAAAAATAAGCTTATTAAGGCCCTTTTTTTTATTTTTTTATAATATAAAGGTTAAAGGGAAATAAAAAATTTTATAACTAAGTAAAGTTAGTTAAATTAAGGCTTATAAGCTAGTTAAAAATATATACCTTAATTTTAATTATTACACCGCAAGAAGTAATAAAAAAAGGAAAAAAAAAATTAAAAAAAAAATTAAAATAATAAAAATATATATTTATAATAATTTTAAAGCATCTAGAGCCCTTATTTAAAGGTACCCCTAGATTACTAAGAGTTGTGAAGGGTGGGGGATGAGCTTAAGCGCATTTGACTGGATGACCAGGCTACGGCCCATGGACGGTGGACGACAGCTGGTTTCAAGCTTACTATGGTCCATGTCTATCACAGCAGGCTGATTGAAAGACGAAGCGGCGTCTTTGGGAGTCCCACGCGCGGGATAAAAAGACCGTAAACAATTGATATATAGATCCGTGCGTAACTCCATAAATACAAGGACTAGGATGCTCATTATGCCTCGGACTCTGCCCGCAGTGTATGTTTCTCCCATGCCCCAAGCACCTAAAAAGCAGTTAGCAGTTGTCACGTCGGCCAAGGTCTACAGACTTACAGCGTGCAATGCCGCCGAGACAGGATCCTCAGCAATGGCTACACCCCAGACGGGTGCCAGACTACACTGGGGCGCAACCTTCACAAAAGCTGCAGATCGCGTAGCCTCGACGAGCTCCTCGCCGCTGTCGATGACCTGCAGTGCATGGTCAAGAATCTCGAAGTTGAATCCGAACTTCTTCACCGCAGCTTCCACCCTCGGCCAGATATCCTCGTCCAGCTTCTGAGCTTCTCCCCGTTCTCCAGCAGGGTATCCGTCCGTCTGGACGTGTCCATTTGACGGTGGTCGGACTGGACCACCCTCGGTGTACCCATCCGCATCGCGATCCAAAGAGCGATTGTCCCTCTTCTGCCCAGCCATATTGCTGCTCAGGCACCCCGGTTCCCTACTGGTGGAGGGCATATACCTCTCCCGGAACAAGTCCTCGATCATCTCATGCGTAATCTCCAGGGCCTTCTCATTCGCGTAGGCCTTGACGACCCTCGTGAAATCAATCTCCAGCTCCCGCGGCAGATCGATTCCAAACACGTCGTTGACATACCACGCGATCCCGCCCTTGCCGCTCTGTGCATTGAGTCTGATAATGGCTTCGTGCTTGCGGCCTAGGTCGACGGGGTCCATAGGCAGATACGGCATGCGCCACTTCGTCGATCTCCCGAGTTTCTGCTCGCTCGCCGCACGCCGCTTATATCCCTTCCGGATAGCGTCCTGATGCGTACCAGTGAACGTGCAGAAGACGAACTTCCCAGCGTACGGCGCCCGAGAGTGCACGGGGATCTTGGTGAGTTCTTCAACGAGGTCAACGACCGCATTGATATCACCGAAGTTAATGCCGGGATGGACGCCCTGCGTGTACAGATTCAAGGCAAGAGTCACCAGATCGACATTCCCCGTCCGCTCGCCATTCCCAAACAGACACCCTTCCACCCTATCCGCGCCAGCAAGCTGGGACATTTCGGCCGTGGCCACCGCACAGCCCCGGTCGTTATGGTTATGCAGCGAGACGCAGACTTTATCCCGCTGGGTGATATGGTCGCAGAAGAACTCGACCTGGTCGGCGAAGACATTCGGCATCGCAACCTCCACCGTCGACGTCAGGTTGAAGATGATCTGGTTCTGGACACTCGGCTGCCAAACACTCTTGACAGCTTCACATATACTCAGGCCGAACTCAACGGAGGTATCCTGGAAGTTCTCGGGCGTGAACTCGAGCGTCCACTCCGTCTGCGCCATTTCCGGGTCCGGACTGTCTTTCGTCAAAGACCGGATGAGCTCCGTACACCGCACGGCAAGATCGATCATCTCCCGCTCTGTCAGGTTAAACACGACTTCACGAAAACAGTCCGATGTCGAGACGTGGATGTGCAATATGACGCTCCTGGCCCCGCGCACAGCCTCAATCGTCCTTCGTATCAGGTCCTCCCGACACGGCGCCATAACCTGGATCGTGACATCATCTGGAATAGCGCCGGTGGTGATGAGCTGGCGCGTGAAGTCGTACTCTGTTGCCGAGGCAGACGGGTACGAGATCTCGATTTCCTTGTAGCCCAGCTGCAGCAGGAACTGGAAGTAGCGGAGTTTGGCGGCGGCGTCCATGGGCTGGGCGAGGGCTTGGTTGCCGTCTCGGAGGTCGGTTGAGAGCCAGCGCGGTGGCTTGGTGAGGGCCTTGTTTGGCCATTTGCGGTTGGGGAGGTAGAGCTGGGGGAAGGGGGTGTATTTCTCGGAGGGGTTGGTGAGCCTGAGTTTGTTAGGGCTGTCCACTGGTGTTGTGGTGCTGTATGGAGCTGGCTTACATCTTGATGGTAAGGTGAAGATAGTTGAGGTCTAGTCTGATGTACTGGTTGATGGAAGTTGATTCCTATAGCTTGTCTGTCTTGTTTATTAGACACAGTGCTCTTGCCATCGTATTCCTTTATACACAGTGCAACTCTTCAGCTCCAGGACTACCCAATATGGAAAAAGCCACTCCGCGTTTCGGGCGAAGGATGCCAGCTCAGCCTAAGCCGATGATCCCCGTCAGCCTTGATCTTATCACCGAGCCGTGTCCAGCCCGGTCTATCGCCTGCCCAATGGGGAAGGTCTCGGTATATTAAATCCCGATTTCATCGTCAGCACCAGCGTGTTCTCTTCTATGGCGGCTATATGGGGTTACAATGAGGCCCATGAAGAGACAGCAAAGAGCTATAGCGGCGTATTCAACACTCCATCATGCTTGCCTTGCAGAACGCAAGCGACGAGACGATCGTCGCTCCACATCTGCTGCTCAAGGTTCGTACTTACCAGGTAGTCTGCGAGTAGGGCAATATTAACTGGTCCAGATAACCGATAATCAAGCCACCCAAGAGATCAAAGAACAACTGCGTGAGTTATGGGCCGAAGTCCTGCAAGACGACCCAGAGAACTTCCTGGACGAAGATGTCTTTTTCGATGTCGGAGGCGACTCTGTCCGCAGTCAGATGCTCATCATGACTGCCGAGAAACGGGGTATCCTCCTTACCATGGAGCAGATCTTCATGAATCCCTCACTGGAGGAGATGGCAAGTGTGGCGAGGGTGGTCACGGTGACAGTGCAAGAGGAGGTTCACGACGACACGCCAAAGCCGTTTGCATTGATACAGAGCCACGGCCATGGCAACCTGCAAGACACTCTGCAGGCTGTGGCAAGTCAATGCCAGATCTCCCCAGAGAGGATCGAGGACATGTACCCCTGCAGCCCAATGCAGGAGTCACTCGTCGCCCAGCTCGAGGGGAACACCAACCTATACGTCCGACAGTTTGTCTTTCGAATCTCACATGACGCCCCGTTGGATCGATTCAGACAGGCGTGGGAGGACACTGTCAGAGCAAATCCTGTACTCCGAACCCGAATCTGCGATGACCCCAGTGGCCGTGGATTCGTGCAGGTGGTCGTTGACGACCTGCCTTCCTGGTCTGTTTACGAGACGGCTCTGTCCGACTTTCTCCAGAAGGATGCAATTACTGCCATGAACCCTGGCGAGCTGTTCTTTCGTTATGCCCTCGTAGCTGATGGCAGCCAGCGATACTTTGTATGGACAGCCCACCACGCCCTGTGTGACGGCGCCTCCATCCCCGAGATCCTAAACGAGGTGGCGACGCGATATCGAGGCCAATCCGACATCATTACCGAGCGAGCGCCTTTTCAAAACTTCATCCAGTCAGTTGTTCACTCAGATTCTCCGCGACAGCAAGAGCAAGACCACTTCTGGCAGAGATCCATGGCCGAGCTCAACCCTACCCCATTTCCAGCACCTCCGCGCTCAGACGCGCAGATGAATCCTTCTGCGACCTTTGAGCACTCTCTGTATCTCGAGCAGCAGCAAGTCCCCTTCGGACTGACAAAGGCGCTTCTCCTACGTGCCGCCTGGGCCATCCTTCTCTCCCACTACACCGGCACACAGGACATCGTATTCGGAGCCATCAACAGTGGACGCACAGCAGACATTCCCGGAGTCAGTCAAATGACGGGCCCTACTATCAACCTGGTGCCGATTGGGCTCCGTGTAGACTCCCAGCAGCCAGTCGCGTCTTTTCTATCTCATGTCCGGACGCAGTCTGCCGGCATGATTCCGTTCGAGCACATGGGTCTGGCGAGGATCCGGCAAGCCCTGGCCAACGGGGCTCCAACTGCCACAGACTTCCAGGCCCTGCTGGTCATCCATCCGATGGAGTTTGCCGACGCGATCAACCAGGCCATGGAGGCGCTGGGTCTGGAGTATCTTGATACGCTGGGCAAGAAGGAGCATCATCCATACCCACTCATCGCAACCTGCACGATCGCAACAGACACAACCATCAGATTGACACTGCAGCATGACGAGCGGGTAGTATCAACCAAACAGGCGGAGAGTCTGGGCCACCAGTTCGAGGCTGTAGTGAAGCAGTTGACCGAAGCCACGACCGAGACCCTGCTGGACTCGATATCCCCGCTCAGCAGGCACGACCTGGCACAGATCTCGAAGTGGAACAGGATCACTCCTCCTGTGGAAGAGACCTGTCTCCACCATTTATTTGGCCACCATGTCCAGACACGGCCTGGTGCCGTGGCCGTTTGTTCCATCGAGCGGTCTCTCACCTACGCCGAGGTGGACGTGTATTCTACATCGCTCGCACTCGAACTGCTTGACCGCGGTGTGAGACCTGGCACCTTTGTCGCCGTGTGCTTTGGAAAGTCCATCTGGACCGTGGTCGCCATCCTGGCCGTTTTCAAAGCTGGGGGCGTGTATGTCCCGATTGAACCGGCGCACCCGCGTGGAAGAATCTCCGAGATCATCTCGGCCGTATCCATCACAGTGGCTCTTGCCTCTAAAGGCAGTGCAGGTGTACTCGACGGACTGTGCAGTTCCATTATCACTGTGGATGGTCAAGATCTCCGAGCAGGAACTCTACCACCGCGCCTCTCCAAGCCATACAGTACTGCCTACCTGCTTTTTACGTCTGGCACAACCGGCAAGCCAAAGGGCCTTCTGATGCCACATCAGGCTATATGTTCTTCCATCATCCATCATGGACGGGCATTCAGGGCCGGGCCACACTGGCGCACCCTGCAGTTTGGCGCTCACACATTCGACCTCTCCATCGGCGAGTTCTTCACCACGCTGGCTTTCGGAGGCTGCATCTGCATCCCCTCAGACGAAGATCGTCTTAATAACCTCGCCGGCGCAATTACAGCCCTAGCCGCCAACACATTGCTTGTCGTCCCAACAGTGGCCAATCTTCTGCACCCTCACGAAGTTCCGACCCTCAAAACAATCGTCCTCGCCGGCGAGCCGATTACGAAAGAGACCATCGTCCGATGGGCAGACCACGTCGAGCTAACTGCCGCCTATGGGCCATCGGAGACAGCAGTCTACTGCTCCGGCAACCTGCGCGTCTCCTCCGACGCTGACCCCGCGCATATTGGGCACGCCATTGGGGCCACGATGTGGATCGCCAACCCAGACAACTATCACCAGCTCTGCGCCATCGGCACCATCGGTGAGATCTTGATCTCCGGCCCGCTGCTGGGAGGCGGGTATATAGGCGATCCCGCGCAGACCGATGCCGCATGGGTGCCAGCCCCGAAGTGGATGAAGGAGATTGGATCGAGCCAGTACGACGTGCTCTACCGGTCCGGAGATCTGGCACGGTACAATGAAGATGGCACATTCCGGATTGTCGGGCGGCGAGATACACAGGTCAAGCTGCGCGGGTACCGCATCGAGCTGGGGGAGATTGAGAACCAGATCATGGCATCGGGTGTTGTTGCTGCTGCGTTGGCTGCACTGCCAAAGATTGGTCCCTGTGCGAAGCAGATTGTCACCGTCCTCAGCTTCAACTGGTCTGATCTGGATGATCAGGCCAGGACCAACGAGTCCAAGCCAGTCCACACGGACAGGTTTGCGTTGGCCAGCGACCGAGACTCGCCTGAGACCAGGAAGAGACTGGAGCAGTTGCAGCGCCGCCTTGCACTGATCCTGCCTGAGTACATGGTGCCAACTGTCTGGGTGGTGCTTGAGAAACTCCCCCTGCTGATCTCCGGCAAGATCGACCGAAAGGCCATCAAGGCGTGGGTCGACAATATGAGCGCAGAGACATTCCGCGATATACTCGAGTACCAGGAGGATGGAGCTGGCAACGGCGAGATTACTCCAGGTTCGACTGCAGACACAATCCGTGGCCTCTGGAGTGAGGCGCTTGTTCAACCGCCTGAGACCATCCAGCTGGGCACCTCGTTCTTTGCACTGGGTGGTGACTCAATCGCTGCCATTCGCGTGGTGTCTGAGGGCAAGAAGTTAGGGCTGCCACTGACCGTTCGGGGTATCATCACTGCTAAAACGCTCGGAAACCTGGCGGCACTGGTCGAGCAGCAGCTTGAGCAAGATGGCAGCCTTGAGACATCAGGCATGGATATCGACCGGAGTCAACCGTCCGTCAAGGACATCCTAGCACCGTACGAGTCTCATCTCCAGTCCCTTCTGAGCCGCCAGTCGTCTGCAGCCGTCGAGGATGCGTACTACTTCTCTTCGATGCAACGCGAGATCCAGCGCCAGCGCCGCCTCAACCCAGCTGTTTTCTTACTGTCGTGGCAAATGGAAATTGCCAGCCGCGGTTCTGACCAGACTATCTCACTGGAAAGACTAGCCAGGGCCTGGAAGCAGGTTGTCCAGCGGTTCTCGATCCTCCGCAGCATCTTCCTAGCGGATCCGAACGGACAGCTGCCGTCTGTCCAAGTGGTGCTGGCAAACGCCGAACCGGAAATCGCAACTGTCTCAGTCTCGAGCGAAGTGCAGACGGAGCCAACATTCGAAAGTCTGAACGTACCACCCGTTGATGAATGCTTTCTGCCCCATCGCGCCTTGTTCTCTCAGCGCGGAGACCGGTCCTTCATCCATATCGAGCTTGATCACCTCACGATTGACGGCTGGTCATTACGGATAATCAAAGAAGCCTTGCTCGAGGCATACGAGGCAGACAGGCATGATCGAATCCCGCCAGCCCCATCCTACAAGGACTTCGTCCACGCCCAGACGCAGCCAGCGCGTGCGAGTGTGGACCGTAAGCACTGGACTTCGATTCTACGCGGTCAAGCGCCTTCGATTCTATTCCCCAGTTCCTCGAACATAACGCCCAGCCCACGCAAGACAATCATCTACCTCCCCGAAATCCCAGCTACGGCGCTGTCGTCCTTCAGTGTTGCTCAAGGCCTCACTCCCGCCAGTATCTTCGACGCCGCCTGGGCGCAAACCCTCAGCTTCTACACCCAAAGCCGCAACATCGGATTCGAATACGTCGTATCCGGACGAGACGAGGAGATTCCAGGCGTATTCGACATGGTCGGGCCGCTGATCAACGTGCTCGCGTACCATTTGGACGGCGTGACAGCGGACCAAACGACCGCGTCAGACCTCGCGCAGCTAGCACATAGAATGCAGGACCAGCGGAGCCACGACAGTCTGCACTCGGCGGTCAATATCCGCGAGGTCATTGGAGACCTGCATGGCGCGAAGCAGCTGTTCAACACGGCGGTGAACTTCCAGCGGCGACCGACGGCCGTCGAGTCGGGGATGTTATGGGTGGATGATGATGTGAGGAAGTCGGTTGATCCGTGGCATGTGAGTATCCCTTGTATCCTCTTTGAGGGCTTGGCTGACGATGGCAGTTCGATATCCTGGTTCGTGTCATGCACATCACGGACGACAATACGTTCCGCTCTTCGTTTGAGTTCGATGCGAGATTGTTCGAGGAGGAGAGGATCAAGGAAGTGGCGCGGGACTTTTGGAGGAGGGTTACGACGACGTTTGAGTAGATCGGCCAGTGCAGCTAAAGTGTTGTCGGTTGTTACTTCCAGCATATCTATGCCGCTGAATCTCCAATATCATAGATCTCCTCGTACCCCCTAGGTCCCTAAACCAAAGTATAGATTCCAATGATATATCTGCACTGTTCAATCCTATCTCCCTAGTCAACTACACCTTCACAACAACCTCCCTCTCCTCCGGCTCACCCCTCTGAATCAAAAACCCAACCCCCTCAACCACATCATCCAACCACCCCCGACTAACCTGCATCTGCAAGAACCTCCAAAACCCATGCGGCTGCCCAGCATAAAGATGAACCAAACTCCTACTCCGAGACCCCTCCCTCAGCAACCGTTCCCAAAGAAACGCCTCATCCCTCAACGGATCGCGTCCACAAATCTGAAAGTACACACGCCCCGGCAGCCCCGAATGATGCTCATTCAGCAGAAACGACACCCGCGGATCAGCGGGGTCAGAACCCGGCATATACAGCTCCTGGATATCGCCTAGACTCTTCGACGTCAGGAGCGGGTTCTCCGCGTTCTGAGCCAGACTCAGCAGCTCCTTCTCTCTCCACTCTTTCGGCGCGGCGGGGTACGCCTGCGGCATGATACACACCGGGATCGAGATGAAGAGGCCTGTTATCGGCGGCGTTAAGCCCTCGTCGCGCGCCGTGTACGCAATCACGCCGGCGAAGTTCGCGCCCGATGAGATGCCCCCGACTAGGAAGCCGGCGGCTGGTGAGGCGGAGAGGTGTGTCGGTGCGTTTTTGGCGGCCTGCACGAACAAATAAACAAACATCAGCTTGTCTGACCTCAGAATAGGAGGGGAAGAGGAAGGGAGGAGACGTACCCAAGCCGTAGCATCATACGCATCATTCACGCCCGTTGGGAAAGGCCATTTCGGCGCGAGTCTGTATCCCACGTTCAGGACGCTGATGTTCAGCCGTACAGCGAGCACACGACAGTTCAGGTCGCCGCTGTCCAGGTCGCCGAAGAGGAAGCCGCCGGCGTGGAGGTAGACCAGGAGGGGACGGGTGTTATCTGGACGGGGGGCTGTGGGGATGTAGGAGCGCACGGGGAGGGCGTATCCGTCTCGGGTTGGGATGGTGAATTCGGAGACGCTCACTGTGTTCTCCGTGATGTCGTCGGGGACGTCGCGGACGGGGATCTGGGATTCGATGTCGATGAAGATGCGCTTTCGTTCGATGATGCCGACGCGGTCGAGGTCTTGCAGGGTGGGTTGGGAGGCGACGAACTATCATCCATAGTGTATTAGCCTAGGTGTGGATGGAAGATGGGGTATAAGAGGTACCTGCGTCCATTGCGGACTGGGCTCGGAGTATTTTGCGTATTCGGCCATGGTCTACAGCTATCTTCTCTTTGGTCCCGATAATAGTATGTGAGGATCCGACCGATATATATATTCATCCAACGGGATGTCCGGAATTCTATTTCCTTATATGGCATCTATCTCCACTGATTCAGAGCTTACACCCTCCGAGCAACGAACCGCTGCTGCTTGACCTCGTCCCCGGCATTCCACTTGACCCCGTTATCCCATGACTCCGACGCATACGGGATCAACTCCGAAGAGACCTCCCACTTGCCCGTCTCATCCGTATCCCACAGCTGGCGGATGGTCTCCTCGCTATGGTGGTACAGAGACCACCCGCACGCATTCTCCTTCAGACTCCCTCCCTTGCCTGTGGTGGCAAGGTGGCGCCCAAAGACAAGCGAGTTCTTCCCGCGGAGCAACTTGCTCAGCTGCGCCACAATCACCTTCTGCTGCTCGAAGCTGAAGAGGTGCAGGAAGGAGCCGAGGAAGATGATGTCGACTTTGCCGCGCCATTCGGACAGGAAGCCGTCTGCCAGGACGTCGCCGGTGAGGAAGTGCGCTTTGAGGGTATCTCTGTCCTTGAAGAGCTGGTAGCCCAGGTCGAGGAATCTAGGCTCCGTGTCGACGCCGATGAGGTTCTCGCTGGGGGCGCCGTCGTGCACGAGCTTGCGGATGTCTTGTCCGAAGCAGCAGCCGAGATCGAGGAAGGTCTCGCCGGATTGAATGCGGGACAGGACCTCGGGGTAGACTGGTTGCAGGTAGGCGGGGAAGTCGAGGAAGCGGAAGAGGCCGATGCAGGGGAATGGCAGGCTACAGTAGACAGGTTAGATAAATTCTGTGCATGATTATGACGACTTACATATCCCACGCCTGGTCCCGCACGCGGTGGATGTGAGCTGTGATCTCGTCGTCGGGGATGTGGGAGTAGTCGCGGAAGATCTCCCTGGCGATGTCGGGGACTTTGCTCAGGGCTGCCTGGTACCAGGCGACGTTGCGGTCTGCTTTGGCGACGTTGTCGTTCTTCCACTCCTCGGGCTGCTGGATGGGTGCAACTTCGACTGCCATTGTGTTGATTTTTGAAGGTCTGGTGAAGGCTTCCAAGGTTGATTGTGTTGTCTGGTTATCTGATCTCGCTGAGCGACCGCTTTTATGCCATCGGTATAGCGATAATTGGATATCCCGCCATATCGGAAGGGTCATTACTGGATTCGACCCCGAGATACCGTATTCCGATCAGCGAAGATGGTGTTCCTTGACTCCGATTAGGCAATAATATGCCGGCTACATAAGCCCAGAGTGCCGTAGATGGAAGAAAAGCAAACCTGATCCATCTCATTCAGTCAAGAGAACCTAGAGTCAACCAAAATGTCGACAGCCGTGCAAGCCTCCCCGGCCAAAGAGCTGGGCTTCTCCTACAAGCAGGGGGTCAACTGGTCCGAGTACCTGGACTTCCGCCCCGTCTATCCGCCCTCGTTCTTCGAGCACATCTACACCTACCACGCGCAGAAGCCAAACTCCTCCTGGTCCGTGGCCCACGACATCGGCGCCGGCTGCGGCGTCGTCTCCGCCGGTCTCGCCTCCAAATTCCCGCGTGTGATCGTCTCCGATCCAAACGACGGCTTCGTGACGCTCGCGCAGACCCTCCTGGAAAAAGACACAGCATCGTCCTCAACCTCATTCCGATTCCTCCAAGAAGGCGCCGAAAAGAGCTCCGTCGACGCCGGCACCGTCGACGTAGCCATCGCCGCCGAATGCATCCAGTGGACCGACACCGCGACTGCCATCCGCGAGATCCGGCGCGAGCTCAAAGTCGGCGGGACCTCGGTCATCACGCACTACACCGTCCCGCGGATCGTGGGCAACAACGAAGCCCAGAAAGTATGGAAGGCGATCTGGGACGAGTACGCGAGGCGCGCGACGGGCCCGCTGCTGGACCACGCGGTGTCGATCGTCAACACGGCGCTGGACTGCCTCGAGTTTCCGGAGGGGGAGTGGGAGGGCGTGCGACGGATCCACGTCAACGCGCAGGGGAGTCTGGAGAGCTACCGGCTCGACTCTCGGAGCAGGGAGAGCAAGGTCAGGGACTCGGAGGAGGTGGCGTGGGTGGAGGGGGACGACGACTGGGCGGACGAGCAGGGCCTGGCGTGGTTCAAGGGATACCTGGCGACGTGGGTGCCTGTTGTGCCGGAGCAGGAGATCCAGCATCTGTGGGCTGAGTTGGAGACGGCGCTGGGTGGGCAGAAGGTGCGGATTGAGACGCCGTTGACGATTGTGTTTGCCACGAAGGCGTAGTAGACAGCACCATAGCAGTATGTAGTGTGAGAGGCAATGAAATCCTGGTTCTTAACCAAGATCATTATGCATATCGTATGGCAGTAGCTTCAGCCTTAGTCGATTCCTGCTGACAGTTTCAAACCTAGTCAAATCCTTCCGACAGAGTTTGTTGAATATAGTTGCTCGAGGCATGGGGTGCTGGGTTGGAGTCCCTGCATCGGAAGGAGGCAGCCCTGATCTGTCCGAAAAGGGAAGGAATATGCCGTGCGCTAAGCCACAATAGGCAATCGACACTCCGAAAGCTGTCCCAATCAGGCAAGGCCGACGATCCTCTCCATCCGAGTAGGGCTCGGGATATTTGTTGTTTCCAGGAGAATGCATTCGATTGTTCATTAGAAATCAAGTCTTCTGCTTCAATTATTAAGCTTACAAATGCCAGAGACTCATCGCAAGTCACTGTTGCTTTAAAGTAGACTCCCCGTCTTCTACAGCATCAATTGGCACCACCATCTACAACACCATGTCCGACTACGAAGACAAGACGCCCAACAGGGCCACCACCAGCAGCGGCTCGTCCACCGACTACAACTCCCCCGACAACGAGAAGCATGACCTCCCCGCCGAGCCCGAGAAGCCGCCCCGCGACATCGACGGCTGGAAATGGTGGCTGTCCGTCCTCTGCATCTGGTCCTCCATCTTCTTCTACGCCCTCGACAACACCGTCGTCGCCGACATCCAGCCCGTCATCATCGAGTCCCTCGGCGAACTCGACAAACTGACCTGGCTGAGCGTCGCCTTCCTCCTCGGCGCCACCGCCACAAACCTCATCTGGGGCAAAGTCTACGGCCACTTCAACGCGAAATGGACATACCTGCTAAACGTGTTCGTCTTTGAGGTCGGGTCCGCCATCTGCGGCGCGGCCCCCAGCATGAACGTCATGATCGTGGGCCGCGCCCTGTGCGGCGTCGCAGGCGCCGGCCTCTACGTCGGGGTCATGACCCTCCTCGCCATGACAACCACCATGTCCGAGCGCCCGCTGTACATCGGCGGCACCGGCCTCACCTGGGGCATCGGGATCGTGCTCGGCCCCGTCATCGGCGGCGGCTTCAGCCAGTCGTCCGTCGGCTGGCGCTGGGCCTTCTACATCAACCTGCTGATCGGCGCCGTCTGCGCCCCGGTCTACCTCTTCCTGCTGCCCAGCAAAGACCCGCGCCCGAACACGCCGTGGAAAGACCGCACGCGCGAGCTCGACCTCGTCGGCGCAATCCTGCAAATGGGCGCGCTGACCTGCTTCGTCCTCGCCATCTCCGTCGGCGGGGTCACATACCCCTGGAACTCGGGCCAGGTGATCGGGTGCTTCGTCGCGTCGGGCGTGCTCTTCATCATCCTCGGCCTGCAGCAAGTCTTCACGGTCTTCACAACGGTCGAGCGCCGCATCATCCCAATCGAGTTCTTCGGCTCCCGCACCGTCCTCATCCTCTTCTCCTCCACCGCCGCCGCCGGCGCCGCCGCCTTCGTGCCAATCTACATGCTCCCGCTCTTCTTCCAATTCACGCGCGGCGACGGCCCCCTCGACGCCGGCGTGCGCCTCCTCCCTTTCATCATCCTCATGGTCGTAACGATCCTCGCAAACGGCGCCCTCCTCTCAAAACTCGGCTACTACATGCCCTGGTACCTAGTCGGGGGACTGCTGGTGGTCGCGGGCGGGGCGCTAATGTACACCGTCGACCTGGACACCTCGACGAGCCGGATCTACGGGTACACGGTGCTGATGGGGCTGGGGGTGGGGGCGTTCATCCAGGCGTCGTTCGCGGTGGCGCAGGCAGTCGTGAAGCCCGAGGCCGTGCCGGCGGCGGTGGGGTTCATCACGCTGGCGCAGTTCGCGGGGATCACGATCGTGATGGCGGTTGCGAACGCGATCTTCCTGAACGAGTGTTTGGCTGAGATCCCGAAGATCCTGCCGGATGTGCCGCGGGAGGAGATTGAGGCGGCGATTCAGGGGGCGAGTGATTTGCTGGATACGCTGGGTGCGGATGTGAAGGAGCGGGTGCTTGAGGCGATTGTGTCGGGGATCAGCAAGGCGTATGTGCTGGAGATTACGGCTGGGGCGCTGGTGGCTGTGACGAGTTTGCTGATGAAGAGGGAGCGCTTGTTTGGGGTTTCGGCGGCTGTTGCTGCTGCTTAGGCTGCGTCCAGTGCAAGTTCCCAGGCGAGGCTGTTGTAGTGGTCTTTTTTTAGTCCTAGATGGAGATTTTGCGGTGGGGTTCAACATTTCTGCTGCTTTTTGTTGCCTAGAATCTTTAGTTGGCTTTGGAATATATTAATGGATCATTGTCTGAGAGATTACTCTCCCACTCCTCGAAGCATGAATCAAGTACACATTGCGCAAGTTCACTCATCCGTCATGCTAACGATGTCCTGCATAAGTCCCCCAGAGTGCAATACACGAACGCAATGTCGTATTTCTTACAGATTGATATGATACCATAGTCTCAACGAGTCGGTCGTATGATATCCCACGAACGGCAGCCAATACAGTATACATCTCCCAAGCCCTCGTTTATTATTTCCCTTCCTTGGTCTGCCTGCGGCCAAGCAAGGCGATGGTACCTAAGCTCCTGCCGAGGCACCAGCCGACGTAGGGCTCGGGGCTGTCTTGACTCTTCAGGACTCGCGAGTGTCCATTTTCCGGCCCCATTCCTGGCGCATGCACTCCAAATCCTGGTGACATGTTGCGCCGGCAAATCACATCATAGACCGAGCCAAGCACTATGCGCTGCATATGGTGAATATCAAATCCTTTGCGCTGCGCAACGGCCCGCGTGCCATCGGGGGGCGGGCGTCAACGCTGGCGTGCGGGCTTGATTCATACCATACCATCAGCCAGACAATTAGCCGAGGCATCGAGAGAGACATTGGCGGAGGCACCGACTGTCTGTCTCCAGAACTGGTGATGAGTATTCGCTCCAGCTCTGGATAGGACCGAGCTCAGGCAACCCAGACCAGCCGGGTTTGTTCCTTCCAGAATGGGAATCCCCGGGCCATTCACGAAGGATTCGACTGAGCTGGAGATCACCGCGATCACCCATAGCCCACCTGTCATATTGGCCCGAGCCGCGGCCCAGCTATACAGTTGTCACCGATCGTTTAGACGAAACCCCCAACCAAGGCAAGAAGTGGCGCATGGTGTGCTTGGATTCCTGATGGTGCGATGGGCTGTCTGGTTGGCTGCCTGGCACGATCAAGGCGGCTCTCTGTCTCGGGCAAACGGGTCAAGAGGGACAAGTCGCATTCCTGATTCCTGAAGAACTGCAGGCTGCTGGATTGGGAACGGGGTTGGCAGGGGTGTCCAGCCTTGGACTCCGCTTGCGTTCAGCTGGAGGGGCTGAGTCTGGGGGCTGGCTGCAGACTTGGCGAGCTTGCGTGTTTGTCTCTGGGATGGACATGGCTGCGAGCTGAGGGACTGGGATCCTTCAGCATTTATACTCCCAGCATTTATAGTACCGTGCTGTCGGTTCCCGTTGTGACACAGCATGGGGAGGTACGGGGCACCGTAACCTTGCAAGATGCAACTGCTCAGAAGTTAGAACTGGCCCGTGTCGATCATACGGTTCTGGGGGCGATTGGGGTAAGTTACACGCCATTGCCAATCGGACCCCTGCGCCCGGGCCACGTTCTGAACAGGGCGTGACTACGATGACCCAAGTGGTCTGTCCTGTCCAGATAAAGACGCGCAATGCAACGTGGACTGTGCAGGCAGCGTGTGATCACCTCATCCGCTAAGTGACCCTGGTTGTTTTAGTCCTTTTAGTCGCTTTAGTGTCCTTGGGTCCTTTAGCTGCAGTCGTCCCTCAGCTTCTGCGTGAGATTTTCCTTCTCCCAGTCCAGTCCCACCACTAACCCTACGAGTCTACCTGGGTATATTAGAGATTCCTTCGCCGTACACAATCCTTCAGCAGTCCTGTCCAAATCTCAGCCATCGTCGTTCATGCCGCCCAAAATGCCCCTGACCCCTCAGCAGCGCCGCAAGTCGCGCAACAAGGAGATCCCCCTCAACCTGATCCAGACCTGGCAGTGTCCAGGCAACGAGGGTGCCCGGCCTGTCGTGCGCCGGCCAATCACCGCCTGCGATGCATGCCGCGCTGCAAAGGTCAAATGCACCGGCCTGCAGAACGCCTGCGACCGCTGCACCGGCCGCGGCCTTGCTTGCAAATACACCACCCCATCGTCCAGCTCGCGCTCCACGGCCTCGTCCAGTCCCCCGAACACCTCGTCGTCCACCTCCTCCAATCGCCAGTCCCCTTCAACGGCTGCTAGCTCGATCTCCGGCTCTAATAAATCGTCCGATGCCATGGCCATGGAGTGGGTGCTCGATAGCGCGGAGCCATTAAATCTCGATGACGTCCCCGGCCACGACTTCAGCAGCATGGTCGACTGGCCCAAGGACATGTCCAGCCAAATGGTGGACTGGTCGACGCTCGACTTCAGCCAGAACGTACAGCCCCCGCTCCTCTTCAACACAGGAGGCTAATCCATCGCAGACAATCGACCTGAACGCCCTCGGGACGGGGACAGGGGGGATAGACGTCTTCACGCCGCCAGCCCAAGCCACCCTCCTCCCGGGCCAGGACGCCTCCACAATCAACCCAGCCTCCATGACCGTCCCGACCCTCCCCCTCCCCCCCTTCCACGAACCCTGCCACTGCCGCGCCAACCTGATGGCCCAAGTCCCCGAAGTCAAAGACGCAATGCACCGCAAGCCGCGCCCCCAACTCGACCGCATCTTCAAAGTCACCGGCAACGTGCTCTACGCCTGCCGCGATCTAGTCGGGTGCCCAACGTGCCAAATCAACTACGCCGACCTGGTCTGCGTGATGGCCGTCCTGCAGCAGACGGAAACATGCTTCGAGCACATCGCGAAAGAGGGCCTATCGACGAGCGCGATCCGCGTCAGCGTCGGCGAGTACGAGGTGCCGATCGGGAATGAGATCAAGCTGGGGCATATCCTGGTGATGGATTTGGTGTCGCAGGCAAACTGTCTGCTGAAGCTTCTGCGGAAGAGGAGCCAGGTGCTGGTGCAGACGCAGTCGGCGGCGCAGAGCCGGATGGCGCAGCTGAACATGGAGTATTTGCAGGAGGTGGTCAAGAGCTTTGGGCAGACGTTACGGGCGATTGCGGACTCGTTTGATGGGCAGAGCCAGCGGGATGTTGATACGTGAGGCGGTCTAAAAGGGATGAGATATGGAGCGTTTGTGTTTGGCTTTTGTTATTCTAGAGGGTGTTGGCGTTTGTGCTGCGGATATATATCATGGTTAGATCTACGTTGACAATCTACTTCTTCATCTTCATATGAGCTGCGTGTAGACTTGGTATAGCCGGGATGCTATACTATAGCTGGATCATAGTATAATAGAATATAAAAGAATAGAAGACGAAACAATCAAGCATATTCCAGTCAATCCCGGCCATGGCGGAGATAAGAGTAACCCCTGGGCCTAACCCCGAGACCCCGACCAGTCGGGTTACGTAAGCTCCCATTGTGGGATTGTTGACCTTCAGTCCTTCAGAACTGCGTCTCCAACTCTCCTTCAGCTGCCTGCTCTACCTGCCATGGCCGACGAGGACTCCTACCCGGCTCCGTACGGCCGCGCCTGCTCCAACTGCTCCACGTCCAAGTGCAAGTGCATCTTCCCGAAATCCGGAGGACGCTGCCAAAGGTGCGCCAGCTGAGCTGTTGGAGTCGGGGCCTAGCTAACACGTATGCGCCTCAGATGCCAGCGCCTGGACAAGGAATGTCGCCAGCCCCCGTCTCACAAACGCCAGTCCGCCCGCAAAGCCGCAACCTCGAAATCCGCCCGGTTGGAAGAGAAACTGGAGGATCTGGTTGCGCTGCTCCGCGCCGGCGTCCACTCCCCAATCGTCAATCCACTCAACAACGCCATGTCGACGCCCGAGTCGCTCGATGCCGCGCTCAACAGCTTCACGCAGAATACGTCCCTCCCGCCCATTCCAACCCTGACGCCCGATACGAACCCCTCCGAATCCACCAGTCGATCTCCCGTCGCATTCTCCACCCCCGCCGAGCCGACCCCGCCGCAGGCCGACGAGTGCCTTGACACCTTCCGCACCCAGCTCCTCCCATACTTTCCGTGTATATACATTCCGCCTGATATGAGCGTGCAACGGCTTCGCCAAACGCGCCCGTTTACATGGCTGTGTATCATGTCCGTCACTTGCAAAGCCGCCGCGCAACGGCGGGCTCTGAACGACAAGATCAAAGCCACGGTTGCACAGCAGATGGTGCACAACTCGGCAAGCACGGACATCGACATCCTCCTGGGCCTTCTGATCTACCTGGGCTGGTAAATCTGCTCCTCCGCGCAAAGTCGCCCGCTGACCGTCTCAGGTCGAATCAACAAGTCTACAACAAGGCGAATCTCCACGTGTTCACCCAGCTCGTTCATGCGGCGGTGTACGAGCTCGGCATCCACAATCCATCTGCGAAACCGAAGATGATGGCCTTGTGCGTTTACACGGAGGAGGAGGAGGACGCGCCGGTTCCGGGGCAGTCGATGGAGGAGCGCAGGGCGGTTCTGGCGGCTTTTCTTGTGACGTCGATGTACTTCTCATCCTCTTCTGCTTCTGAATTGTTGCTGATTGCGATTTACAGAATCTCGACTTTCGTGCAAAAAACGGACTCGCTTCGCTGGACGCCTTTCATGGCTGAGTGCCTTCGTCAAGTGGAGGAGCGGCAGGAGTGCATCAATGATGAGATCTTGGTACAACAGGTCAGACTGCAGCAGATCACAGATAAACTCAACATGAGCACTGGGTTCAATCCGACTTCCGACTCAGTTCAAGTGCCGCCCGCCTTCTATCTCCGGTCTATGCAGACGCAGCTGCAGAACATCCAGCCCCGTGTTGCACTGGACGCTCAAGCACATAGTAAGCCCCTCCACAATCCCAACAGGCCTCCCTAACAGCTACAGAAATCCTCCTCCTGCACCACCACTACGCCTCCCTAACGCTCCACGAATCCGCCCTCACCAGCGCCCCCATGTCCCCATCCAGCACCCTCAACTTTCAACAACTAGAACATCACTACGCGTGCCTCTCCGCCGCAAAATCCTGGTTCGCCCTCTTCCTCTCCATCCCCCCAGCATCCTACATCTCCTTCCCCTTCTCGATCTTCGCGCAAATGGTGCATAACCTCGTCGTGCTCTACCAACTCTCCACCTTCGACAATCCCTCCTGGGACGTCGCGGCCGTGCGCAAGACAATCGATGTCCTTGAACTCCTGGAAACGGTCATCAAGAATATGGGGCTTGTTGCGGCCGCCGCTGGATTGGAGGGCGAGGCAGACAGTGATGTCTTCTCCGTCGTCGCGAAGATGTATAAGTCTGTGCTGGTGGGGTGGGAGGTGAATCTTGCGCCGCCGATGCCCATGCCGATGCCGATGTTTGATGGGGAGTATGGGTTTACGCCGGAGTTTGGGACGGGGGCGGGTTGATCGTCTTTTTCTTTCTTTGGAGTAACTGGCATCGGCATCGGCCTTGGTATCGGTATCTCCAGCAGCTTCCCTGGCGCGGGACAAAAAATCCCATCGAAGAAGCAACATTTCTTCTGGACATGGGAGGACCTCTTGCGCAGTGAAGAGCTATGGAGTTCGGGCTGCGCATTAGCGATCGTCCAGTGCCACTGGCGCTGTGGCTTAGCCGACAATTCGTGCGCTGCGCAGGGCAAGCAGGCAAAGGGTCTTGGGACCTGTTTCCTCGGCCTCCGTGAGGCTAAGTGCTTGTACCGCCCAGTCTCACGAGCATTGGCCTTCGCTGAAGTTAAACTTCCTGGATCCCGGCCTTAACCTTGCACAAAAAGACAACCGACCTTCCGAAGTTTTGGCATCTTCGATCGTTGAGGCCAATCCTGGTGACGTTGCCGTTTGGTCGTGTGGTTATACTAGGCTGGCTAGGTCCCTTATAGTCACCACATACCGTGGCTCTAGGACAAATTGAGCAGATTCTACAACGTAATAGACAAAGTAAGCAACAGACTGTAAATGGACTAAATACAACGTAGTCGTTAAGCTGTTGATGCCTGGACCTTAAGGCAGACAGGCTCACGTGATCTTCCTGCGGCTGACGAGTTGGAGTCCCGATCTTCCCCTCATATTTCTTCTCCCTGCACTCAACAAGGTGGTCAAAAATGGCCAGTCCCACTTTTATAGTGAGTATGCCTCCAAACAAGACCCAGCCGGCGACCAGGAAGCGCAGCCAAGTGGCCAGGGCGTGCAACTGGTGCCGCGTGCATCGCCTCAAGTGCGACGCCGAGTTCCCGTGCGCCAACTGCCGCAAGAGAGGTGGCGATTGCAACAACGACCGACTAAACAGAGCCGCGACCCTGCCAGAGGCGACTAGGGAGATCGAAAAGCTGAAGAAGCGGGTCGAAGAGCTGGAACTCGAGCTTCAGAATGAGCGAAAAGCGCGGGCGCTGGTGCCGCAACTGGACGCGCTGTCTACGCCTACGCCCGGACCCAACGACAGCCCTGGCGACAGCGCCGTTGATTTGGGCGAGCATGCGAAGAATAAGGTCTGGGAGGGAATCCACATCAGCACGGCGCACTCGCCTCACAAGACGTGGTACGGTTCCTCATCGCTGTTCTTCTTCATCGGCAGCATCAACACTTTCCTGACGGCTGCGCTTGAACAAACGCATTCGGCGCGAGGGATGCTGCCGGAGTCTGCCAGTACGCTTCTCGATCAACCGGCGTCTACGATCAACAGCGACCGTGGCCGGCCAGCTGCCCCAACGGGCGACTCCATCCGCGGCGGAGAGTCTCTTACCTCGATGCAGGAGGAATACTTCCTCAATCTCTTCTGGGAGACTTATTACCCCTCGAATCCGATCCTCGATGAACGCGACTTCAAAGAGCACTATCAATCGCTCTGGGCAGCTTCCGACACCGAGCGACAACCCTCCGCTCTTGTGGATATTGTCCTTGCTTTGTGCATGCAGTACGGGATGGCCAGGCAGCCTGGAGGTCGTCATGCTCTCACCGCAGCAGCCAGGGGCGACGTCAATGACAGCGACTCGACTCTCGCTGGCCGATGGCACTATCGTCGCTGCTTGAGCCTTCTGTCGAACGAACTGGAGAGCCCTACCCTGTCGACAATCCAGTGCCACCTCCTCTGCTCAATCTACCTATGCTGCGGAGGCTTCCAGAACATGTCCGACAACGCCTGTGGCCTCGCCGTGCGAACAGCCTTCATGCTAGGCCTGCACGTCGAACCCCCGCAGAGCATGCCGCGTCGAGAACGCGAGCTGCGCAAGCGGATCTGGTGGACGATCTACGTCGTGGAAAGCAACCGGAGCATGAAGCTCGGGCGTCCATTCACCGTCCAGGAGTCAACATCCTCGTGTACGCTGCCAGCGGATGACCGCGAGATTGCCGGCCTTTCCGGGTCGAGCTTCGCACCGATCGGCGGGAACGTCACTTGGCTGACGTGGCATCTGCACGGGATCAAGCTGCTCATTGCAGCGCGGAAGGCGTACGTGAGTTTCTTCTCGAAGCCGCCTGACGCCTTAACTCTGGGGAATTCCGAGTCAACCACGAAGACCATGGATGCTTGGTTGCAGGGCGTTCCAGAAGTCCTCAAGACCAGCCGGCAGAACAACGGCACGCCATTCTCAACGGATCTCTCCCCAGTCTTAATCGAACAATTCACCCCCGTCTGGCTGCAACGCGAGCGCCTCCTCCTCGAGCTGCGGTACCACAACACATGCATGAGCCTCTACCGGTCATCAATATGCTTCACACTAAACGGCGTACCGGTCGCAATCACCGAACAAACTGCGCTGAAGTGCGCCGCGCACGCCATGGCGCTAATCCACATCATCCACCAAGTCCTCGACACAACTGCAATACTAGACGGCTGGCACGAGGCCTTCCAGTGGCAGTGGAACGCAGCCATGACGCTCGTCGGCTTCGTTCTGGCATTCCCGGCGACCGTATCCACGCGCGCCGCCCGGGAAACAATCGACCTCTCTGTCTCCGCGTTCGAGAGCTTCGGGGACAGCTTCGCGGTGGCGGCGAATGCGGCGACGATCATGCGCGACCTGAGCGCCAAGATAGACCGGCTCGCACAGGACCGTGTGACCAAGGTCGGAGACGGCCAGATGTTCTCAGCGAATACTCGGGCTGCTCAAGTATACAGCACCACTGGATTTGAAATGCCTCTGGACGCCCCGGCCGGCCTCTTCGACCAGGCTATCGAGTGGCCTCTGCATTTCGGCGATGAGCCGGCGACGGCGGAGATCGGTGGGGTTCTCGGGCATTCGATTGATATCTCGGCGGAGATCATGACGGATATTGATTGGGCGGGTCTGAATGCTGGGTTTTTTGACCAGTGGGCTGTTTGATCTCTGCTTATGGCTCCAGGCTCCAGCCGCTCTCGAATTACTGGCTTGCCCGACCACATTCAACGGTGCAAGTTCTGATTCCCGGGGCACTGGCGGACATACACCGCAAGCCCGAGCTGCAGTGGGATCACGGCATTCGGTCATGCGGTGGCTGTCATGATACTGGGAAAGCGAAATCCAGGATTGATTCGAAATGGGGAAGCTGTTGCTCGGGTATCAACATCCGTTGCACCCCTAACCGCATCTCTCTGCATCATCTCCGTCGGACCCTAACTGGATCATGTCAAAGCCGCAAAGCGTCCCGTCCCAGCTCTAGGACATCAAAAGCCTGCTGCCCATTTCGAGACACTGGGTACATTCACTGCGCAGGAGCGGAAGGCTTATCCGTCGCATAGACCTGCGTCTGGTTGTCACTCTCGCTTGTCTTTACTGCATCAGTTGCTTGATCGGACAAATCTCGGTGCTGCATCTGTTGCTGGTATGTACCTGGGATAAACCTAGCAAGTGCAGTTAACCCTGGCCGCCAGGATGCACCAATCTCAACATGAATGCGTCGAACAGTGGAAACAGCACCACCTCGCTCGTCTTCGTCGTTTACACGATCTTTCGGATCCCGCAACACTAATTACTCGCAGGATCGGGCCGAGTATCTTCCTGTCCGCGATTGTTCTGTTCTCAATATTCACTATGTCTCCCGCTCATAAGCATAGGGATTCGGCTTTGTCCGACTTCGCCGGCTTCCCGAGCAATCTCCCAGATTATGGCACTTCATCAACGAGTCCAGAGCCGCGTGTATCATCGCGAGCATCGAGAGCGACCGGTCGGACATCTACGCCGAACCATCAGCATCAAGAGGTAGCCGGTGCTATAGCCATGTTCCTGCAGGTGGCTTGAGCCGTCGTGGCCGTCATGCTGCTTGGGCTACTATGTCTACCCTAGGATTGCTAGGGTACCTGGGTAGTCCGGCCCCGATGTATCGGCGCCTCCCTGCTACGATCGGTGGCAACGCCAGCTGCCCGGCGCTTGTCTCATGGCAAAGGTATTCCGTGTTCTCTCCGTGTGATGTAGCCTACCTGGTTATTCCACAGCAACATCCGCGGGCAGTGGAAGCGGGCCTTGACGTCAACCACCTTGATAGCGGAGGGACCATCGAGGCATTCTTGGAACGACCGAGTTTCGTGCTCGAGATGCACTATACCGTCTTGGTTGTTGACGACTGTTGGCGAACGCAAGCATCATTGTCATTGTTGGGGTGTTGACTTTGAAGTTGTACCGTGCGAATAGGCGGGTTAATGCGGGTGGGAAGCTGACTGAGGGGTTGGTTGGGTTTAGGTATACCCTTTGAGCTTTTCAAGCTGATGAATGACCATGGCCGTGGTTGGGTAAAGAACTCGTATACTCCAGATTTCCGGCGAGTTCTACCCCGTCACATCCTCATTTTCGGAAATGGGGAGCTCCTTCCAAAAGAAGACGAGGATCACTAATCGACTCCGAAACTCCGAGGCCCTCCACGGCTCCATGTGTACTAGCTTCACTCTGTACTACTTGCCCGGAGTCTCGATAATGGAGTTCTTTATTGGATTTCTCATCCCGGCAGATGCATTTGGAGGTCCGAGTCTCCGGGAGCGTCTCCGAGAGGATGCACTGCTTATCTTGCATGCATAATGGAGTCTATAAAAGCAAGGAAAATGCTCGCTGAACTGCAACATCGTCCATCCTTCAATCTCCACGAATCCTCTGTACTTTGACTCAATCTGCCTTGAACCCGATCATAGCATTACTTGCTTGACTGGATTAAGCAGCAATGCCTTCCTTCACTGTCTTCAAGGGCCACGAGTCCGGCAACCCCGTCAAAAGCACCACCACCAAACCAGACGACCTCACAGAAGACTACGTCCTCATCCGCGTAACAGCCTCCGGCCTCTGCGGCACAGACCTGCACTTCGTACGTCCCCCTTCACCTTTACCAGATTTCCCACTGCTAAAACACCCAGCGCCACGCGAACATCGTCCTCGGCCACGAAGGCGTCGGCGTCGTCGAGTCCCTGGGCCCCGCCACACGGCACCTAAAGAAAGGCGACCGCGTCGGCTGGGGCTACGAAACCGACAGCTGCGGCCACTGCACCGAGTGTCTCCAGGGAACAGAGACCTTCTGCCCGGAACGCCAAATGTACTCGGAGAAGAACACGGACCAGGGCTCCTTCGCCTCCCACGCCATCTGGCGCGAGGCCTTCCTGCACAAGATCCCCGACGCACTCAGCGACGCCGCCGCCGCACCACTGCAATGCGGTGGCGCGACGGTCTTCGCGGCGCTGGACGGCGTCAAGCCAACCGATACCGTCGGCATCCTGGGCGTCGGCGGCCTAGGACATCTAGCGATCCAATTCGCGGCTAAGATGGGCTGCCGCGTCGTGGTGTTATCAAGTTCCGACCGCAAGAAGGACGAAGCGCTACGCTTGGGCGCACACGAGTTCATCGCAACGAAAGACGCATCAAAGCTTGATATCAGCACGCCCCTAAACCGCCTGCTGGTCACCGCCGCCGTCCCGCCATCGTGGGACATCCTCGTCCCGATCCTCGCGCCCCGGGCGCACATCTACCCGATCACCGTGAGCCCGGGGACGTTCTCGATCCCGTACATGACGCTCATCCAGACCGGTGTGAAGATCATTGGGGCGAATGTGCCGCCGCGCGCGCTGCACAGGCGTATGCTGGAGTTTGCGGCGCTGCATGGGATCGCCCCGTTGGTTGAGGAGTTTCCGATGAGTGAGGAGGGGATTCTGGAGGCGATGGGGAGACTTGAGAGGGGGGAGGTGCGGTATAGGGCTGTTTTGATTCCGGAGAATTAGGAGGAGGGTTGGTTGGGTGGTTGGTGTTAGGGTATTGGGTTAGGCCAGTGTACTAGCTTAATAATAGATTTCTTAAATTGAATCGTGCCAGAGTGGGAGGCGATATCTGATTCCCAATAATATGAAAAGAGGAACAATCAACCATGGTTGATGAAATCGAAGTTTTATAGCACATCCCAGCCGCCTCCCTAAGAAGAGGCGGAACTCCACCGAGCCCTGACCTCGGGATCAACCCACACGCACGTTCCCACCAGCAAAAGGACCAAAAGCCAAAAAGAAATGCTTCCGACACGGGGAATCGAACCCCGAGCTGGTCGGTGAGAGCGACCGATGTTAACCATTACACCATATCGGATTGCTTGTTGAAGGTCACTCTTCATTTTATCCTTATAAAGAAAAAAGAATAAACCAAGAGACAAGATGTCCGGTTCTAACTCCCTTGGAAATGGAAGGGAAATGCATCATTGGAAAAGGTTGTTGCATTGCGTGAAGCGTCTTTTTTGGACATCGAAGACTAGGTCTGAAGCTTGTTGGATGGCTTCTCTTGTTTTGCGAATGTTCTGCTCGGTTTGTTCAGGTGTCACTGTGTTGGAAGTGTTGCCTGTAGAAAGCTGAGCTTTCAACTTATCTAATGGGCTAGAGCGGCTGTGAAGTGTTTAGTACGCACGTCTCAAAAGAAGATCCACTGATTCAGGGCCTCTACTTTCTGTGAGTAACGCTGACACCGAAAATGAATTACATGTTGCCTACTGGTGGAGCATGAGTGCATGATATATGATCTAGCAGCCTTCAGACTATTGTAACCAAAGCAATATACTTCGTGTATAGGTAGATAGAGCAGATCTGGACATCCATATTCATCCGTGTTCTACTGACAATAATCTACTTGTCCCATCTATGCTAAAGTTTTATGCCGCAGTCTATAGTCCCTCTGCCTTGCCCCCACCTGCAGTAGCAGCAACGTACTCTTTCCAGACCTGCTCGATATTATTCTTATAGATCCAGTCCATCTTGCCGCTGGACGCAAATCCAAAACCCGCGATTCTTGCCCTTATAACACTATCAAAGTCGACATCTTCCTTCCTAGTCCCCATGGAATGCTTCTCCCGTGATTCAAGATACTCATACCTCACAATGCACATATTAGCATTCAAAGAACATGCTAAGGCAGACATGACTGAGAACTCACATGCGCTCATAGTAAGGCCCACGAATTTGCTGGAAGATCTCCAATGCACCCTTGATCATCGTGCTCGTGTTAAATGCCCTAGAATACTCTAGCTCCAGGGCCCGCGCCAGAATCCAGCCATCTTCCATCGCAAACGCGGCGCCGGATCCGAATGCACCGGACAGCGGGTGACTTGCATCGCCGATCAGCGCGACCTTATCCCATGCTGTGATGTCTTGTAGACAGGGTCCGGCAACCATCGCGAACTCTCTCCACGCGCCTTCAGGGACAGCTTTGAGTACTTCTTGGATGCGGGGGTCGTATTCCTGGAGAGAGGGATTAGTACAACCCTAAAATCATGGTAACCAGGAAATGCGCATACCCCAGTTCTTGCAAGAACGTGCTGATTCGTCACGGGTACTGCCCAGGTCGCAGCCCTGTCCGGGGTGACTGCTTCGTTGTACGACCGGATCGTGATCTCGCACAGACGAGGTTCTTCCTCGGACTCGTCGTCCACCTGTGCAAAGTAGAGATGACCATTCAACACATGCCACCACCCGTTCGACGTGGGGAAGTCCTTAACATGGGCGATTGAGGAGAGCGGGATGAGCACTCGGAATGCTGTGTTTCCTACACAAGCTCGTCAGTTCTATTTAGCCGGACCTGAACGGATGCAAGACCTACCGGTGACACGGAGATGGTGGTCGGGGAACAAAGTGCGTCGTACAATCTGCCATACCACGCGGTCAGAAACAACCTCCAGCTTAACACTCCCAGCCTTTTGCCCTGCCTGTTGTAACTCACCGAACGAATCCCATCCGCCCCGACAACTAGATCCGCCAATACCTCCGTCCCATCCTTGAACTTCAGACACACACCCTGACCCAGCCCAAGGTCCCGTATCTCCACAACCTTCTTGCCAAAGTGAATTATCCCACCGGGAACCCTTTCCAGCAGCGCCGCCTGCAACCGCGTCCGCCTTGCCCGAATCGAGGCATACCGCGGGCCATCCGCCTGCTTGTCTTCCAATGCTGCAGAGACACGGCTATCAAGATCCACGGCCTCCCCCGTGCGCCCATTCCTCTGCCACGAGTGCCCAATCTTCCCACCCTTGACGCCCTCCGCAGCGCCCAGTAACTCCAGTACATTCCACGCATTCCGCCCGATGCTGATTCCCGCGCCGACCTCGCGAGGCTCGGATGCTTGCTCGTATAGCTTGACGGAGACGGAGGGGAGTTCTGATAGAGCGATTGCTGTGCCTAGGCCGCCTGGGCCGCCGCCGATGATGGCTATGGATATAGGCGCGGTCATAGTCGATGGCTGGGAAGGTGTAAGTGTCTCGTGCATGTTGGCTGATCGCGGGGCTATAAATCGTCTGGACACGCCATGGCGCGATTTGGTGAGCAATTGGAGCATTGGTGGGCGGATTGGCTAGATTGGAAGGTGATTGCGACATAGTTGGAGAGTATGGCATTGGGAAAGACTGTAGGTAGATAAGGAGTTCAATCGGCCCATACTTATCATGATCGTTTGAGATGGAAGCTTACCTAGTGGCACTGTCTTCCTAGGTACCATAAGCACCGGGCGACGCAGTTGTTTGGTCCGCCTTGTTTGCCGCTACCTATACTCATCCATATACCTATATATACTGATAACAGGACAGGCCATTTGACTTGTAATTAATATACGGCCAGAACCTTCGTTTTCCAATGGTGTGCCTTTAGGTTTGTCTTCGCTAGAAATCTCGTCTTCGTCGCCGTCTCTGTCCCCATACCCAGCCAATGCTTCTTTTCCCTCACGTGTAAGAACCGAAACCACTTTCTTATTCTCACTATGGATATTGACGGAGCAATTCAACGGCTTCGCCATACAAATCTATGATATAAGTAAAATTAGGTCAAATTTACCTGATTGTCAAATCCGGAAGAAGAGCACAAAATACTTCGGGTTCCAAGTAGAAAGTACAATGGCAGCATGCCCTTAGCCCTAGTTTCCCCTTAGCAGTTCGATTTTGACTCCTCTATCCAAGCAGTTATATATATCTTGAATATACTACTACCTATCAATGGCCGATGTATCTACGGGGTGATGTTCAAATCAAGACCTAGAGTTGGCTGTTCTCGCCCGGAAGCACGGTCTACCTTGTGGTTATTCGTCTAGTACCATATTGCTGGCCATTGATTTCCGAGACCCCTGATTCTATTTACTTTCTCATCGACCTTGTTAGTCACATGCTAGGTACATATTACAATCGACGACCCTACCTGTCATATCAATCCGACCGGCGCTTAATCATCTAGGTACGCGCCGTGGCTGCATTAGCACACCACGCAGCGAAAATAGAATCGCCTGCATTGAGTTCCAACAGCAGGATCCTGCTAGGCAGCTCTGACTCGCCAGGTTTCATTGACTGACTCAAACAGAAAAGGAACAACAGGAGGACGCACTACATGAGATGAGACTGCACACTGACTTTCCCTCTTTTACAGACATAAATTCACATAACTTGAAACTAAATAATAATCAATCCTCCTCTCCAGCTACTAACCGTCCATTGCTTTTACTCCCTTCAAGAAATAGAACACGATGTTACAGTCAAGACAAAGTCTGCAAATAACAAACCGTCCCATCCACAAATCCAAAGGCGCCTTGCTACAGTTCCAAGACTCCCTACCTCAACTCCCGGTCCCAACGCTGGAAAAAACTGCAAAACAATATGTAAAGTCCCTCCATCCCCTGCTTTCAGCAGAACAATACCTCGCCAGCAAGGCCGCGGTTGAAGACTTCATCAAACCAGGCGGAGTCGGAAGAGCGCTCCAAGCCAGACTCCTTGCAAGGAGAGACAACCCAGAAATCCAAAACTGGCTCAACGACTGGTGGAATGAGACAGCTTACTTGGGAAACCGCGAGCCCGTGGTGCCGTATACCAGCTACTTCTGCTCTTATCGCGACGACCACCTGGTTGGAAATCCAGCGAAGAGAGCAGCTGCTATTACCTTTGCCGCGCTTGAGTTTCAGGGCCTTGTTGATTCTTCCTCGCTTGAGCCGGAGCTTACAAAGGGCCAGCCACTGTGCATGGCTGGGTATAAATGGCTGTACAATGCCACGCGCATGCCTGCGCGCCCTTCAGACATCCCCGTGAAGTTCAAGGCCGACGAGCACAAACATATCATTGTGGTTCGAAAAAACCAATTCTTCTTGATTCCTCATACTTTAGATGGAAAGCAACTGAGTGCCGTCGAGCTAGAACGGCAGTTCAATCGCGTCTACCAACTGGCCAGCACACAGGCCCAGGCCCAGGTGCCCGCAGTTGGCGCCCTGACGTCCGCAAATCGAGACACCTGGGCAGATACTCGCGGGCTGCTGCACTCTCACTCTCACCCTACGAACAAGGAAGCCCTACGTGTCATTGAGTCGGCTTCATTCCTCGTCTGCCTGGACGAGGCGGCCCCAGTCAAGCTTGAATCGCGAGCACGACAGTACTGGCACGGCGACGGCGCGAACCGATGGTACGACAAGCCGGTGCAGTTTATCGTTAATGAAAACGGCACCGCGGGATTCATGGGCGAGCATTGCATGGTGGATGGGACGCTGGCACTGCAGTTAAACGAGTACATCAACGCGCGGATCCTCAGCGGGCTTGAATTCGATGCTGCAGGTGGCAGGCTGGACATGCCGGTGCCACGCCGGGTTCAGTTTGAGGTGACGGGGCAAGTGCAGGTTCAGATTGCGCGCGCGGTCGCGGAGTTTCATTCTGTGATGACGCGGCATAATCTTGCGGTTTTGGCGTACAAGGGATATGGAAGGGCGCTGGTTAAGAAGTTGCAGTGTTCGCCGGACGCGTACGTCCAGATGTTGATCCAGCTTGCGTACTTCAAGATGCATGGGAAGATTGTCCCGACGTATGAGTCTGCGTCGACGCGGCGGTTCCAGCTCGGGCGGACGGAAACATGCCGCTCGGTTTTGGATGAGTCGGTGGCTTGGTGTGTTGCTATGACGGACGCATTGCAATGCAATGGCACTTGAGTAGGACTACTTTGTAAGGCCCTTGATGCTTATGCCAAGTACAGTGCCGCTGCGTCAATGGGCAAGGGCGTTGATAGGCATTTGTTTGGCCTTAGGAAGGTCCTCAGACCAGACAAGGAGATTCCTGTAATATTATAGATCCGGCTTTTACACATTCAAGCACGTGGATTCTGTCGACGTCGCAGGTTAGTTCTGAGTTCTTCAATGGATATGGCTGGGCCCAGGCCGTTGATGATGGGTTTGGGGTCGCGTATATGATCAATGAGAATTGGTTTGTCTTACAACTGCTGTGACTGGACGTATTCTAATATTCACAGGCTCAACTTCAACATTGTTTCTAAAGGCCCTGACTGCGACCGCATGAGATACTACCTGCGTGAAGCTGCTGAGGAAATGCATTACTTGCTGAAGGAAACGATAGCGCCTGAGGTAAAGCTGTAGGCACGGTTGGATGATAGAAACCATCGTCTGGTCTGCAAACTTTAGGTTATCCTGTGTGTAGACTCTGCCCGCCCTTGCCTTCCAAGTGACCCAGGCCCCGGTTTCACGACGGCCATGGCCTCAGCACCCCTCAATGTCCCCGACCAGCCATTTCGACCCACCTACCCATCGCTCAGGGCCCGCCCAAACAACAAGTGACGTGCAGCTCAGCAAATGGCGCAAGCTTCTTCAGCCTGAGTACTGGGGCGGCATTCCTGCTCCTGTATCACCACCCGGCCAAACAATTAGATGGTAACTCCCATATGGCCGCTCAACTGCCTCGTTCCTTCGTTCACAGAATACCCAGCAGGTAGGAGCTGTAACAAACCTACCTAGGGACTCCCAACGACTGCCAAGACCCCAGAGAGGCCTCGCCCGGGCAAATGTCGGGGAAACGTGCGAATGAGCAGCGGGTCGGTCTTGGCATAGTCCCGCCAAGGCTTGGCATGATTCCGGAGCCAGCATTGGGGCAACTGCACAGGCGGTTTGAAGACCGACTCAACGGTGAGAAGACGGTATGTCTTGTAAGGATGGATGTATACTGCCATCTGGAAGCTAGAACTACATCATTGTTATGTCGATGGTGTTTTGCAAGACCGACCCGCGTGAGCCAGCAGCCCGCCAAGCTGCCGAATTGTCGGGCTGGGCAGGGAATTGACTTTTCTGTGCTCGTCTACTGCACTGCCTGCAAGTGCCAAGACCGGCCCGGTGTCCAGCCCGTCATCGGTCCGTGGACGAATCAGCTCCAGCTCTCCGGGGTATCTTCGGCATGGAGACCCCGGACTCTGCCCGAGTGCAACGCTGCAACTCGCCTGCTGCACGACTTTCTACCGTCCGATACTCGGAACCTGGCCGAGTCGTATTGCCTTGGCGGGTGGCGACTCTGACAAGACCATGTACACGCACGGATGAGGGACCCCATACTCGGAGGACTTCCCTATCTCAGGGTCTGCCAACCCCGTGGAGATACCCTTACGTAGACCTTCCCCATGTAAGTTGGACTCAGAATGGCGGGGTATAAATATCCCCCAACTGTCCACCCGAAAGTCCCAGCTGCCTTTCCTCTTCTTCCTCTCCAGCACATCCCGCCAGCATGCCCTCCCTAAACCTCAACGTGGACTGGAAGTCCAACCGCCGCGCAATAGCCTACTGCCTCGTCGCGGCCATCGGCGCCCTCTGCTACGGCTACGACACAATCTACTACACCGGCATCCAAGGCATGCCGTGGTTCGCGCGCGACTACGGAACGCTCGACCCGGACGGGTCCTACAGCCTAGGAACAACCTTCCTCTCCCTCTCCGCAAGCATCATCTACGTCGGCGAGCTAGTCGGCGCGCTCATCGCAGCACCTATAAACGAGTCGCTCGGCCGCCGCGCCGTCTTCCTCTCCGCGAGCCTGTGCATCATCGCCGGCGCAATCGTCCAGGCTTGCTCGTTTGGCTCGCACCCTGTTTTCTATGTCGGCCGTGTGCTTATCGGTCTTGGTGTAGGCCAGTTCACGGCGACGTGTCTGATCTACATCGGCGAGGTCGCGCCGTCCGCGATCCGCGGGCCAGCGCTCATGTGCTTCCAGTTCATGCAGAGCATCTCGCAGCTTGTCGGGGCGTGCGTGAACCAGGGGACGCAGAGCATCGAAAGCGCACAGTCGTACCGCATCCCAATGTGTCTTCTCGTCGTGCTGCCCGGAATAATGCTCCTATGCCTGGGCTTCACGCCGGAGAGTCCAGTGTGGTACATGAGCAAGGACAAGCGCGAGAAGGCGCTCAAATCGCTCCGCAGGATCAACGCCAGCAACAAGTCGTACGATCCCGCCGCCGACATCGAGATCATCGAGACGGCCGTGCAGAACGAGCGCGAGCAGGCCGCCGATGCAACCTGGGCCAGTCTGCTCACGGACCCCGTGGAGCGCCGGAAGCTGTCCTATGCCTGCGGCGCGATGTTCGTGCAGCAGATCAACGGGATCCAGTTCTGGTATACGTATGGCGTTGTCTTCGCGCAGAGTATTGGCGTTGCGGACCCGTTTACGATCAACACGATTATCTATGTTCTGCAGATCATCACCGTTGCGATTGCGGTGGTGTGCGGGAACAAGATCAGCCGGCGGATGAACCTGATAGTGTGCTCGGTTGGGATCCTCGTGTCGCTGGTTATTGTGGGTGGGCTTGGGACGACGCGGGCGGGCGATGGGAGTTTCACGCGCGGTGTCGGGATTGGTATTGTGGTGTTGGCGTACATCAACATCATCTTCTACAACTTCTCTATCGGGACGCTGAGCTACAGTATCGCGAGTGAGATGTCTGTCGGGCGGAACAGGAACAAGATCACGTCGTGCGCGATGGGCGTGTTCTTTGTGACGGTGTGGCTGATGGTCTTTACGAGTCCTTATATGTACTATGATGGGAACCTGGGGCCCATGATTGGGTTTGTGTATGGTGGGACGACGCTCTTTCTGCTTGCGTACTCGTGGTTCTGTGTTGGCGAGACGAAGGGGCGCAGCAATGCGGAGATTGAGAGGTTGTTCCAGGATAGAGTCCCTGTTAGGGAGTGGGCAACTTATGTTATTCCCGATGCGGAGGGTGCTGGGGTGCAGAAGAAGGGGGTGGATGAGGAGCAGATTGAGATGGCTTAATTGTGGTATAACAATTGAGCCCTTTTATGGTTAATGAATTGAATCAAACCCTGGAATGGGTGTAAATAGCATACCACTGCCGCGATAGCATGACATGAACTTAAGAACTTCTCTCGTTTGATTTGAGGCCGAGAAAAGGGAATAATTCTGGATAACCGCTGAAAGAAAAGAAGTAGAGGACGGGTGACTGGATTGCTATGGCCAGACAAGGCACATCTCAACCGTGATGTCCAGTCTGCCCTGAAGTATCGAAGACGCCAGAGCGATAACACCCAGTCATCACATTCAAGGCCCGTCAGTTTCCTCCAAAAGACGAGTAACCACCCCAGCAGCCTCCACAACCACAGCCCTAGTCTCCTCGTCGAGACTCCCATCCGTACTCAACTCCCGCAGTCTTCTTCCCCATAACTCCCACCGCTCCCTAGCCAGTCCATCCTCCCTCGGCCACAGATCCGTCTTAAACTCCAGTGTCGCAGCATAATGCCTGCGGAAATCCTCACCGTCCGCCTCCCACAGCGCCAGTCCACCATCGCGCATCCAAGTCGCCGCCACCCGGACATCAAGCGTCCACAGCTCATCCGGCGAGATGACATGCACCGTTCTGTCTGGCCGGGGCAGTCCGGAATGTCCGACATCACGCTCCAGGACGTTGCGGCAAGCATAGAAGACACTGATAGAGCTTACGCCGTTTCCGCCTCTCAGATGGTTCACTTCCAGCAGCGCCGTCGAAAAGTCGATGAACCGGAGAAAGAGCTCGGCAGGAGTACGTTCTAGCTTCGAGGTGATGGTGCCGATCGCGCTGTCTTCGCGAATGCCGTCCCAGGCGCGCCAGGCCTCAAGGATATCGTGGTCGTCTCGCCACTGCCAGTCGAAACGAGGCAGCTTTGACCAACGGAGTTTCCCGTCGGGGCCAAGATAACTGCGGAGATAAGACTCGGCGTCGGTGGCTGCGCGCACGTGCGTGGGCTGGGTTGGTGGCTGCGCGCGTAGAGCGTCGAGGAAGGCAAGGTGAGGTCCGTGGGAGGCTGAATTGACAACAGTCGTGAAGAAGGCATCCCACAGCTGCCACAGGGCGCTTGAGGGGTCTGGAGAAGAAGTCACGGCGTCAACTATGTGAGAGGCCGTTTCGTCTGGCGTCGAGGAAGGGGGCGTTGAAGCGAGAAGAGCTTGAATGGGAGCGGAAAAGGGGGTTGGGGGGTTGCTGCCGGGGATATCGAAAAAAGTGGCCATCTTGCAGACGGACAGTTTGTGATGATGATGAGCGTAGGCCAAGGAGGAAGTTGGGCCATCCAGTCTGGGTGTTGATATACTAAAGGAAACATATTTCTAGGGTTTGTCCGAGTGTCCTGATTGTGGTGGCCAACTTGGATGACTCAATGACATCATTCACCTGTACAACTTGGGACTGGTCAGCCACTTTGATGCGTCATCCAGGCCTACATGGCCCCTGTATGGTGAGTCACTCACGGGCATAGCTGCGGCTGTCTTCTTGATGGGCGAATGAGACGGCGCTGTAAGGCTTGACACCCCGGAAGCCAACCCTTAGATCTATAACCTTCGAATCAAACACTTTGGTTCTTTGTTACTGTTGGAAGATCTTCGAAACGTACATGTTTGCTGCGCCCTTAATCTGATTCAATCGCAACATGGTTCTGTGCTGGCCCACGAAATCCGTCCGACAGTGCATCTCGCAGTGGCAAGTGCACGGTAAGCCGCTGCTACGTGGCACTGTTGGCTTCTGCTCGTCCAGGCCAATAAACCCAGAGTACCATAGGTAGATATAGGGCGGTTCCTGACTACTGGTATCCATGGATTGTTTGAGCCCTAACCCGCTACAGCCAGTGCACTCGATACTCGATAGATACCTAAAAGCTGATCGTGAGAAGCTCCAAACAAGCTAAAGCTCCCCCAGGTGCACTAGATTGCCGCTGGTGAAATCAACGGAGTGTTTGTGATACTATTGAGATCCTGTCTGGTTCTTGGGGCCAAAATATCCAACATAACAACTGGAAACGCACTGCTGAACCATGAATAGTCAGAAGCAGTATGGGTACACTTTCTAGTCATGTTTAAGAACAGGCTGTCCGCCCCCACGTAAATCCGGACCCTCGAGCATGAGTTAGATTATGCTACAGGCGGAGTGAGCCTATACAGAGACAGCAATCACTTGCGAATGTTGGTTTGAGTTGCATTGCCCTTCTTAGTGGCTCTATGATCAGGACTTATGCTGGTAGTCAACGCCTATAGTGACCATTTATTATATTCCCTACGCTCTCCTTCGAAAGGTATAAAGGGCCTCCCTTTCAGCTGCCCCGTTGTTCTCCATCCCAACACCAAACTTCCACTCATTCATTACTCAATCAGCACTCAATCCCAAGCTCTCTTTCACAATACAGTTTTCATCCTCCTCTATCCTGTTCCTCGGTCTTGTCCTCGCGCAAACTTCCATTGCTGCCCCCGCGCCCGCGCCAGTTAGGACCCACCGAGCGAGCCGTCGACGGCCTCCCCCCAAGTGACCAGTTCATAGAGTGCCCAGGATACCGGTACAGCCGAGCCCAAGTAGAAAAGGCCATCCAGCGAGGCATTACCCTAACGCCTACGAACCAGCCACAGCCCGGTAATCTCCTTCGCGAAGGCTGTTATATCTTTTACCCTTTAAAATACAACCACTAACTCGCGCGCTCTCTAGGCGGGTACCCGGGCATTTTTAGCAACAACCGCAAGCTCCCGTTCGCTGAGGAGTGCTCGGGCAAGAAGCTATACGAATTCCCTATTCTCCACGGCGACATTATCCACAGTGGTGGAAGCCCCGGCCCAGACCGTGTCGTGTTCTTCATCCACTCGGACAATCCGGACACGAATCCCACGCAGGACGGCTCATACTGCGGCGTCATGACGCATGACGGTGCGCCTGCGCGTGAATTTAACATGTGCCTCGTTGAGGACTAAATGGAGGACTGGGGGGTGGGATTTGAGACTTGTGTGCATGTATGAGGTTCTAAAGTTAGAACATGTCCGCTTGCGCTTCGGCTCTCATGAGACATGAGATCTTCTATTTACCAGTGACTGAGACTTCTCTGCAAATGGATATTTCTCATCAACTCAACGGATTATTTGATCCTAGAAAGACTGAAAATGGGATTGATTGAACGCTGCGAGAACAACTTGCACTCTTCCTAGCTAGCTAATGAACGACATGGCCAACGGACGCCGCCAATCCAAGACCAAAATACCAGCAGAAAATACCCCAGGAATAAGAGCGCTCAATCATTTCGCGTTTTCTCCGTCTCGTCGCATCTCGGTCTCTAACAATGCTGTAAAGGTCTATTTGCAAGTTCCGGTGGCCTGGCTGGGGGTTTGCTAAGGAGTCAAAGGTATTAGTATCGTGTCTTGAAGTTATTATGGAGAATAAAGAGGGCTCTGAGTGTAACATACCACGCAGAGACCAGAGGAACAGACACCCATGCTTCCGTCCTGCTTGCAGGCGGCACCGGAGGCAAGCTGGAAGTCGAGCAATCGATGTTAGCACCGGCCTACGTCGTCAAAACAGGGAGGTTGCAGACTAACCGTGGCCTCAGCGCAAGCAGCAGCAGCAAGAGCAGTAATAATAGTCAAGAAACGCATGTTGGCGGTCGTTGAGAGTATGCTGGATAGTGTAGTGATGTTTGATTGTGGTAGTGGAATGTCTATTGCACCCTCCATCTCATAGCGATATTTATACCTCTGGCTTGAAGCATCTCACAGTCATCGGCTGAGCATCTTCCGTAGTATGAGTTCTATCCCGACTGAGAATGTTAGTGATCTGCTGCGTGGAGCCGAGTTGCCGTGCCCACTGGGTGCCGGTACAATAATGTGGGGATCTTGACACTCGTCCATTGCAGATACCAAAGGATGATACTTATGCCTTGCGTATATCGACCAAAAATAGCCGGAGGCATGCAGCCATCACATACGCCCTTTGGCCTGCGGGCTCTCGGCTCATCCGTAAATGATATCCTCTATGATGAATGGAAATAGTGAGCGGACCTGTTCATAGCCGCCCTGTCTCTGATCTAGATAGATGTCATAATTTTCCTTCCCTCGCCTTCTCTTGTCTATCGATTCGTCTGTTCCTGTCCTGGTCAATCTGCAGTATATAGTCTACCTCAAGGTCAATTCTTTCCAGCAGACCCGGCCGAGTGGCAAGCGCAGATGATGGACTTAGACATGTGGCGCCACTAATCATCGGCATGCATGCTGTTTTTGGTCGAATAAGTGTGCAAGCCCATCACACTGCCGATTGATTGGTATATTGCGGTGGTAGTAAGCGGTCACTGCGCAGTCGCATATGGTTGCCGTCTTTTCTCCCATTAATGGGAGATGCTCCGCACAAAGAAAGAGATACCCTGTAATACCCTCATGATCAGAGTCTTCTTCGATTTCTACAGTTTATATTTCCTGCACGGTGGTCGGGAACTGTTACACCAGCGAGGCGACGATCGCCGGGCCCGGGGAAATCTGGGGATTGGGACCAGAGTAATTGCAGGATCGGGGCATGGAGTATTGTGCTACTCTATCATCTTTGCGCAATACCGGGCCTATTAATGTTAGCCGTATGATATCATTGACTCGCCATCAAATAGAACATCCAAGGCACATAAATAACCCCCGCCTGCAATTGATGAGCTCGATCGCCTGGCCTCTTGCCTACACACAAGTAACTCGAACCACATCCTACAACCACGATGAAGTTCCTGACGCCAGTCCTTTTCCTGCTCTCAATCGGCGAAGCCACAGCCTGGAGGCTCAACATCCACTTCACCGATGGCGGACACGTCGAATCACACGGTACCCTCTCAAAAAGTTGTGTCAACTATGAATTCGATCTGAGCAACCGTCGAGTCGATCGCGCAACCTTTACTGAAAGCACGTTCGGGCACACCTTTGAGTTGTTCGGGAACAAGAATTGCAATCGCCTGGTTTACCGCGAGAACGGGGGGTCGCATGCTGTCACTCCAGCGAGAGTTGTTCAGAGCTACAGGATCCGTGGATGATGTTGGTAAGCATATGGCTATTTAAGAAAGAACAAGCTGAAAAAGCAAGGAACAGGGAATGTAGGGCTGTCGATTTCTGACCTGTTGTGAACATGAATGGAGGATAACCTTACCTGTTTTGATTTGATTGCCCATTGCCCAAGCCTGGTACTGATTTATGTACTTCTATGATGTACTTAGTTCAAGCACAGTCCTTACATTGGCACAAGTTTATGAGTTTGATGGATTCATAGGTGGCTGCACTGATGATTTTGCTTGGGATGCGGGTAAACTGGACTTAACCTCTGACAAACTGGATTTCTTCTACCGTAGTATTATTGCCCTTGCTATATTTTAAAGCTGAATAACGTCTCCAGTAATCAAGTTTGACTCCCCAAATTGATATTGCACATCTTCCTTTTTATTTTCTCGTTTCTCGGGTTGCTTATCAGAAGCCTTTCTCTAGACAAGCCGGTATCTGGCTTGTTCCCTAAGTAGGCGTCTTTGCCAATGTTCCCGGAAGTACTGGCTGCTTCATGACTGTTATATCAGCCACAGGCCGGTCTCCGCTTCTTCCGTGCATGTCAGGGATATGCAGGCGACCAACGAGAGCCAATATGTGAGGAGCTACTGACCATGGGTCGGAAAGCAATGTCTATTTCGTGACTCAACACCACCATCCGGTATCTGGAAAGAGTCTATTCCTTACCTAGGTAGCTTACGATCCCTTACGCGGTTGGTTAATATGGCACAATCACATTTGGCAAAGCTTGTAACAGCAGCTCGTATTTTCTATGTACCTTAGGTACCCTAAGCTACCGAACGACACGGAGCCAGCCGAATATCATCAATCCAGAAATGGAGAATGAACCAGGACCGCAGGTAACAGAGGGATGCATGCGAGACAACCCCCATCGAAGTCTGCCCATGCGGGAGACCACTTAGTTTTCTTTCGTTCTTTTCTTTTGCTTTATCGCATCTTCCAATTGAACCATCGCGTCGCGGTCGCAGTCTCGGTCTCAGCCGAAATCGAAGCCGGACCTTAGGTAGTCGAATCTAGGTACATTTTCCGGGCAGTTGCTATAAAACCACGCATTAGCTCACATCAAACCGAGATCAGACCCTGCAGGATCAAGCAGTGAACAGGGGTTGGCCGACATACCTTGCAAACGCCAGATGCGCACCAGCCGAGGCTTCCGTCAGCGCTGCAGGCCTGGCCAGTGGTAAGCTGTATTAGGAAACAATACATTAGCTTCCAGTTAAGATGACTAGAGCGGGGTTAGCGAACCCTGGTGTTCTTGTCGGCGAAGGCAACGGTGGCCAGGGCGAGCAGGACAGCGGCGAAGAAACGCATGTTGATGGTTGATAGTCGTGGTCTTGTTGAGTGTAGGGGAAATGGTGAGTAGTAGACCGTGAATTCAGGTGTTTGACGAGTAGTGATAGCTCCCTGTGCGCATTCCTGGGTGGGTACTTATACTTTTGATGTGGTTGATCTGGTCGACTCAAGGTATTGAGAGCACATGTCACAAGGGGGCGGTCACATGTTGTACACAAAAAACAATTTTATCCTGACTGAGCAAGAAGGTCAAACCAAGCATAAAGACCTCCAAGCATCTGGACAAAGCCGCCCAGCAAGCAAATGTGGCGCCTCACCCAGTACCTCAGATCTTTGTTTCAGCCATGTACCTAAGCCAGTCATGTGCAGCATATTATTGTTATTCTTTGCTTTGTTGATTTGAAGCTGTTACTTTATCAGGGTCCTGATTTTTAAAGCTTAGTATTGTTCTAGGCAGCTGCGAATACGCCCAGCAGTACATCATTAACAAAGTAGAAACTTTTATAGGATCAAGATGCTAACAGGGGTTTCACTGGGCAACCGTGCTTTGTACCCATGGCCACCTCCTGAGTCCTTGAAATCTCGGTAATTGCTGTCCTATATAGTCTTATCGTGAAAGCAGCAATCATTGTTGTGTGTCCAGGGCCAATAAAGGGTCATCATTCACCTTAGGATTATGGTTGTTTGTTCTTGTTCTCCAATCCAGTCGGGTCTTGGTTGTTTGTTTTACTAGTGAATGAAAAGCGCCGTTTGCAGAATGGGAACAGGGCGTTTGCGGCTGATGGTTTTATAGTAACGCTATATGCAATCCAGGCATGTCGGGTACACTACACATGTTTTGTCAGGCATAGTAAACCATATTTCCTTGATGCTCCTAAGCTGGAGCCGATGCAGATCGGGTGTGATGCTTGGGTCTTATCTATTCATTTGTATATTCAACCTAATCATAAGACAGGAAGATTACAGGAAAACGCACATTGCTTGAGATAATGAGTAATTATGACGTCCCTTTGATGTCCAGATATTGGAAAGCTTGTTGACAATAAATACCAGAGAAATATATATCTCGTCCACCATCGGCGGAATCCTCGCAGGTGTTGCCGACCTGCAATGAACTATACTTCCAAGCCTCAGGAAAGATCCATGGAGAGCGCAGCTCTGAAAAAGGATGATAGATCCGCCTTTATATTTGCTACGAGCTTGATTGCAAACATTGCCCAGGGGATGAATTCGAATAGTTGTTGCTGCGTGGGTGGCCTTTTTACGTTATAGAGTGCAAATGGAAAGCGAACTTCAACAACCAGCTCGCATAGCTCAGTTGGTAGAGCGCGTGACTAGTAATCGGCCTTAATTGGCTTGAAATCACGAGGTCAGCGGTTCAAGTCCGCTTGTGAGCATTTCTTTTTGTTTTTTGGTGGTCTAATTCCACTATACGAGTGGTGTGGTGGAGCCGGCATGGCTATGGACCACTGAGCGACTTAGGGCTAGTGCGATTAGGCACGGATAGGGCTCGAGCCTTTCAACTCCTGTAGGACTCAGAGTATGGACCATTCGGGATCCTATGTAAGTCCTGTTCAGCATAAATAGTCAGGCATTGAATAGATATTACTCCGTAGGTGCCTAGGGATCGACCATCATTGTAACGTATTTGACTCTTAATATGGTTCTTCTCTGAAGGCAGGTTTGGCTCAGTAGGGTCGGATTATGCCATAAGCAAATTGATCTGAATAGCCAGGTTCTATTGGTCCGGTCATGTCTGCGGCATATTCCTGTGTTTTATCCCGAACTACTTACGGGCTACGCCTAGGCTGTACACCAACGGCATTCCAGATGCGAGATGCTTACCGAGAGCATTGAGTCCAAGGATTACCTTCACGAACCTGACGGTTTTAAGACGCTTCCATAACTTTTCTTTATAATTACATCCTGATCCCACTTCAACATCCAATGGGGTGATAGCTCAGTTGGGAGAGCGCTAGACTGAAGTAACAACTGCAGTCATTTTATCTAGAGGTCGCCGGTTCAATCCCGGCTCACCCCATCATTCTTTTTCTTTTTGCTGGCTCTATTCCCGTGGACTGTCACTGGTGGGGTGGCCGGGCGTGGGTGGAGATGAACCGGAACCGGCCACGGCTAATGGGCGGACGCTATACAATAATATTAATGTCAGACCAGGTCATACTATCTATACAAGTATGCTATTCATACGGTACTCGTAGAGCTTGTGCGGGTTTCAGGTTCGACATCCATATGTTACGTAGTTATCTAGCTGATCCTGGCTCGCTACACAATGCCCCCCTGGAACAAAAGATCCCATGTCAGTGGAAACGGACCCTTACAGACCAATCTACCTGTCACTGCTGAGGGCTTGCCTCTTCCTTATGGTTGGGCCCTTCTGTCAAGAACTTGAGGAAGACCATCTTGAGGCTCCAGTGGGGGAGGAGTCCTACATATAGCTAGATAGGTATGTTATATCAGGGCTGCTCAAATACAAAAGGGCGACGATGACGAAGGATCTACTTTAGAATAGCTAAACTTCAGCCTCCAGATGCTCAAATCAGATATCTCGTTTATATCCTTAACGCAACTGGAGAGGTGGCTAAAGAAGTACGATGTGACATCCCTAGCCCTAGTCGCTCATAGTTCCAGTTTTACAAGGTCTGTTGACATTGCATAGAGCCCTTTGGTCGAGTATACTAGAAGAACTGGCTAGACGTCACATACGAAAAAGAAAAAATCCACAGGTAAATAGAAAAAATAAACTCAATTCAATCCACATTATCTAGCATACCAGCCTAGCCAAAATCCCGACTCTCCGTCATCGCCTTAAGACAAAGACACCTACTCCACATCCTCATTCCCCTTCTTCATCAGCGCCTCCCTCTGCCCCCTCAAAAACACCCGAAACTGCTCAAGATCAAACGGAGGCTTAGGGATCTCAAGACCCTTCTTCACAGCCGGCCTTGCCACAATCTTCTCCGTCCAGCTCTTAACACTCGGCCACTCCGCAAGATCAAGATCCAGCGCCGCCGCGCCCTGGAACACCCACGTGAAGCTGGCGATATCGGCAACGGTATACTTCTCCCCAGCGAGATACGCGGACTCAGAGAGCCGGTACTCCAGCACACCAAGCAGGCCCTTGAAATCACTAAGGAACTTGTTGATCGCGTAGTCGCTGCGCACGGGGGCGAAGGTTGAGAAGGCGAGGGCGGCGCCTGGGTCGTCAGCATACCCTACAATCAGAGTGAATAGGGAGAGAAAGGGCCGCACCTCCTTTCGGCCCCAGCCCGCCGATCTGCCAGAAGATCCAGCTCAGCTGCTCGATGTACTCGGGCGTGCCGTGCTTATAGCTGATCTTCCTGTCTGCATCGTACTTGTCGGCCAGGTAGAGGAGGATGGCGCCGCTGTCGAAGACGCGCGTGGTGCCGTCGGTCAGGGCGGGGATTTGGCCGTTCGGGTTGATTTTGAGGAACCATCTGAGCTTGTTAGCCTGTCTTGGGTAATAAGAAGGAAGAGAGAAAAGAGAAAGAAAGGCTGCGCACTCCTCCTTCTGCTGGCCGGATTGCAGATTGACCTGCTTGAGCTCGTAGGGGAGGCCGAGCTCCTCGAGGATAATGGGGATTTTGTGTCCGTTGGGCGTGTTGTCTGTGTAGAGGGTGATGTCCGGGGTGGTCATTTTGGCGGTTAAGTAGGTTCGCGTTATTATATGGATAGGATATGCCCGTATAGAGCTGCTAATGCTGTTGCTGCTGTATGTCGATAGAAAACCGCCTGAGTATCGAAGCTGAAGAACGAGAGCTGGAACTCTAGGTCTGGCGCAGTTATATAACATCTTGCAATGACTGACGAAGGCAATAGAGCGAGCTTTATAAGCTTAACGCCGGTGAATCCATGGCTCCTGTCCAAGTCAAGTCCAGCGGGGGTTAGGGCTGCATTCCGTCGGACTTCGGGGTTCGGGAGTCCGGTTGATATGCCCCCAGCACGTCATGGCACGCTATAGCTGGAGCTTAGCTATAATAGCATGCCTTATTATTGGCGAGTACGCCGTGCGCATGGCGCCATGTGGTTCTTGGCTCCCGGACATAGCGGCGGAGTTTGGACATACAGTTGAAGCCGGCCTGGCTTATTTCGATTGGCGCTCGTTTTCAGTTTGTATACTACGGCAACGAGATTAGTGCCTGCTTGGGCTTAGAGCAAAAGGAGCTGGGGACTACTGAGCCAACGGCAGTTTGTACCATAGGCAGCGTGTCCACACTGGACTGCGGTCGCGTCCGTTCGCCGAGCTCGATACAAGAAGAATTCATTGCACGCTATGCATAGAGCTTCAGATTCTCTGCTATTACCACCACGCGTATTAAACACACACGGCTCGCGACCTGGCATGATTCGTGCAGCAAGAACAATGTTCGGGAATCTGGCTTCGACTTGGGAATTACGGTACGTACCTTTCGACATTAAAAAGCTTCAACAGAGAGCCCACCGCCGAAGTGCGGCTACCATAGTCTTGTCACTGGAATAGACTGAATTGTTACAGTCTACGTGTAAAGGCTGAGCAAGCTGCCACACGATCCATGAATTACTGGCAGCAGATAACTTCCATAACGCACAACTCAAGCCGTTGCATCCCTCCGGCCTGTGATTGGACCACAAGTAGGTACGGAAGTACAGCCAGCCTACATCTTTTACTGTGTATCTCGTATCCGTACTACTTCAAAAATCCAATCATCTCAATTATCATCACCCTCGGAGGCCGATCGGTCGATGAACGCGCGGCGCTGACCGGTAACCTCCCTATAAAACGCCCACCACATCTTTGCAACTCGACCTAATAACGCCCATCCAAGGAAAGATGGAATTCAATCCAGGCGAAAGCGTCTTCACCACCGTGGCACTTGTAAGCTTCCTAACATGCTTGGATCCTTTGTACGATATTATTGCGCTGCTAATACAGGAAGGTCGCCCCGCTGGGCTTCGCACCCGTTGCAGTCCGGTTCCGCCTCTTCGGTATTCTTTCAGAACTTGATAGGCCTGTGACAGGACAGGACGTGCTTGATGCCTATATCAAGGGTTTGGACGGCGCTTCTGCCGATATACCACGTATGTGCTCGCGACGGATCTCTTCCTAGCCGTGCTAACCCCGGGGCAAAATAGCTGTGCAGCTTATCGGTAAGTCAGTCTCTGAATCTTTCATGTAGTCCTCGATGACTGGACGCTGAAAGTAGCAGAGGGTACGCTCGTTGCGATGCAGGGCCTCTCGTGGGTGACTCTCGCGGGCGAGGACCTCTTCCGCGCCAACAAGACAACGCATTATCTCGCGAAGACCCCGTCCGCTCTGCATGGAATTCTCCACTTGTAAGCAAACCCAAATAGATCTAAGTAGGCTAACAAGGGCAATGCCTAGCACAACCGAAGTCCTCCTCGGGTCGGCATTCCTCATGCGCAAGCTTGAATCCACGGGCTTCTCGTACCCCTTCACACCCCTCTCAACCCCAGTCCAACACGCACACCATCTAATGGGCGATAGCGAGCTGGAAAAAATGCACACGTACAGCATCATGGCGGCGCAGGGGCGAATGGACAGCTTCAACACCTTCATGCAGGGCCGGTTCGAACCCGCGATTGCAAACTTCGCAGAGCGCCTCGTCTCCTTCGGGTACGATCTCAACTCTGTAGTCGAAGAGGCCAGGGCGCAAGGCCATCCAGTGACGATAGTCGATATCGGCGGCGGCCGCGGCGACCTGCTCCTGGACATCAAGGGCTCGATACCAGGTTTGCAAGCGCAGGATCTAGTTCTACAAGAGCTAGATCCCGAAACGATGAACGTTCCCGGACTAACGGTGATGAAATGGGACTACGCTGCATACGACAGCCCCCAGCCAATCCAGGGCGCACTGGTCTACTGCCTCTCCGCAGTCCTGCATAACCTGCCCGATGAGAATGCGGTGGCGCTACTGCGCAAGATACGCGATGCGATGGCGCCGTACTCGCGGATATTGGCGCATGAGCGGCTGAAGGAACGAGTGCCGATGAGCCATGCGACTATGACCGTGCTGTATGGAGGGCGTGAGAGGAGTGCGAGTGAGTGGCGGGTATTGGCGGGGGAGGCTGGATTGCAAACTACGTTTATGGCTTGGCCGGATGGGAGGGCTCATGGGGTTGTGGAGATGAGGAGGGCTTGAAAGGGTTGCTTGTGGACTTTGGTAAGTATGATAGGGTCTGATGGCACACTATTATTGATTAAAATAGCACACATGTACGCCTGCACAACGAGGACAAATTGTTACCTTGAATGATAAATTGAAGAGCACTTTCAAGGGGCCACTGGTAGTTATTTGGAAAACGGGGACTTAGTTATAAATGTCACCCGCAGACGTAAGTTAAAACCCTATGGTGTAGAACAGTCGTTTGGAGCTCCATCTAGACCTCTATTTATGCCCAAGAACCCCCTTGGGCAGATACAAGTCATCAATACTCGTCTCCCCCTCCTCGCTCAACTCAACCTCAAGCACAGCAACCGCCTTATCAATACTCCTTCCTACCCATCCCAATAATCGGCGCCGTGATATACGGCTTGATTAGACCCCCTGGACTCTGACATGCATGGATGCTTAACGTACACCCCAATTTTGTACCCTAGGATATATCTATACAGCTCAAGGGCCAGAAGAAATCAACATGGATACAGCTAGCACATATACCATACCACGCATAAAGCCTTTGCAGGGGTTAAGCCAGAGCTCAATACAGCCACAGGGTACGCCCATGCAACCCAAGCGATTTACCTACCATAACTACTTACACCACAGGCTCACCTCCAATCTTAACATCTCTCACCACACACCCAACCTGAACCTCCATCCCCTCAAAAATGCCGGCCAACCAGCCAAAAACCCTCTCCCGATCCCCCATCTTCTCCGCCAAATGATTCCCAACCGTATTCCGCTCATAGCGTATCCTCGCCCCAGCCTCACAATACGCCCTCACCAAACCATCCACATCCCCCACCGGACAAACCTCATCACCAACCGCCATATACACGAACATCGGCACGCCCGGCGTCCCCCGGCGCCCCATAACCCAACTCTCCTCCTTCGCGGCCCGCAACTCCAGCGCATGCAGCCACCCCGACCCACTGGAAAAGTACATCGCCATGCTCTGGTTCCCAAAGACGCCGTACGCCTGTAAGACGCTCATACCCGCAGCAGATTCAAACGCCGTCCTATTCCACGCCCCATACGGACGTAGATAGCTGTCCAGATACGCCCGGACCTCCGGGTACCGCGTCGCAAGACCGAGCATCATCAGCGGCGCGAGCGCAGCATAGGCCGTCCCATCCACGACGCGCAGGACATGCTCGACGTCCACAAGCACACCGCCAATCGCGATCCCCGCGATGTCGAGTTCAGGTGCGTAGGCTGCGGCCACCTCCCCGGCGACTTCGCTGGGTATGCTCCCGCCCGAGTACCCCCACAGCACGGTGCTGGTGTCGGCGTCTAAACCATGCTCGGGGTGGATATCAGCGGCGATGACGGCGCGGATGGAATCGAGGGTTGCGTGTGCTGACTCGAGGGATACGGAGAATGAGGCGCGTGGGCCCTCGAAGTCGGGGACGTTCACGAACCACCCGTTTTCCAGGGCTGTCGTTATGTCAGCCAAGTACGTGGCGTACTCGGTGCCGAGGGCGTAGCTGGGGCTGTAGTCGATGTTCACGGTGTTGTAGGGGATTTGGTAGGAGAGGAGTTTTGTGCCGTTTGTTTCGGAGGGGGATAACGGGACGAGGAGCGTCGTCACGGCGAAAGAGGGCTGTTCGAAGGCGTCGGTTGTGCGGTAGAGGATGTTGTAGATTGAGGAGGCGGTTGAGTTCATTGCTGCTAGATGGGTTTCGGGGCCCGGGCGCACGCGCAGGACTGTCCCTGGGACGGCGGCCTCGTAGCCTGCTGGGGCTGTGTACCAGGGGTCGATGCTTGGGGGGAGGACGTCCATTGCGTGGAGATCTGGTGAGAAGCACAAACTTGAAGAGTTGAGATGGAGCCATCGCAGAGCGAGGGTATTTATGCTGCTAGGGCACCCATTGCTTTAAGCACTTGCATACTCTGCTGATCGAGTGCAGAGCGTGCAAAGGATGGTGTCACATCTTGGCGCTGGTTGCGATGACAAGATATCCACAGCTTAATTCGAGACCTTGTTCTCCGTATAACATCCGATTCGATGCAAGGGGTGAGTGTTGATCGGGGATTAGGGCTCAGTTGGAATCCCGACACCCCTACAAACTTGAACTCCACGAGAATCCCGAAAGCCCGGTCATTATGACCAAAATACTGGTTGGATGGATCAAGAAGAGAACAGGGATATCCCTGCTAAGGATTGACTCTGGATAGACTGCAATCGATCGCCCAAACAAACTACTAGCAATGTTGATTTACCTGTGTCTACCCGGTCGTCACAGCACGTTTGTTATACTGGTTACCTCCATGCCGGTAGCAGGTAGCTTGTACTCTACTAAAATGAGTTAACCTCAAGCCCAAGAGTTCATACCTACCTACACCAACTCAGAGCACTCAGGGCAGATGCCGAAGGTCACCCGATCCCGGCTGGTACTACCTCTCTTTAACTGAGCCCGTCCTTCACGGACATAGGTAGAGCTGTCTTGATCTATATAGAAATAGAAATGTCAAGGTGAAAACAACTTACATGTCTACATCTACAGAAATAGAACGTGAGAATGATATACAGAGTACTAGAATCAAGGACGGATATAAAGAATGTATAATTCAGATGGAAAACAAAAACCAAAAGACTAACAGTACGAGAACGATGACTTACCAACCAGGTAAAACACCTACACTTCAATCATACGGCGAAAAGATCGCCGCCGCAGCAGCCAACTTCCGACAGGCAACGTTCATCTTCGGCCCCTCGTACTTCGCATAAACCGGCCTGGTCGGCCCATCCCACACACCCGTATTCACGGTGTTGATGCTGGAGCTTGTCCCGTCATCAACGACCGCGGCGCGGTCCTCAAGACCTGGGAACTCTATATAGTGCGTATCGGTAGGCGAGCCCTCCGAAATATAAAACATCATGAGACTCTTGAGCTTGGGGAAAGATGTCTCGGCCAGGAAAAACAGGGTATCCTTCCAGCCGTCCTGTTTCAAGTTCGTAAAATTGAACTTGAGCTCCTGCAGGGTTGAGCGGTGCTGGGCGAGGAACGCGCGGAGGTCCTCACCGCGGATGCCAAAGGTATCCTGGATGCTGAGGGTTTCCAGCTGGAATGAGTGGTCGATAGCGGCCAGACGAGCAAACATGCCCGCGCCGCCATCGCCTTCGAGGTTGATCGTTAGTTCCTTGAGTCGGGAAGTGTTCTGGAGGAGTGCCAGATCAAAGTCTGCACCGGGCACCGAAGACGACTTCACGAGCTTGTGGCCGAGTGTCAGGTTTTCAACGGTAGACCATACCTTCTTGAACCCGGGCATCAGGACCGGGTCCATCGAGAGGCCGCGGAGGTCGAGGACATCCGCAGCCTCGTCACCAGAGTGTGTGCCAATGTTCATGATATGGAACTCCATAATCGGCCTGTCCAGCTTAGCACAAAAGGTGAGAAACATGGTGATGGCATCACCAAGGGTCAGCGGCTCCGTCACCTTGTCACTCTCATCGCGGAACTTAAAGAAGTGGAAATATTGACAGTTGGGAAGGGATTGGAAGGCATCATACCACCTCTGCACGACCGACTGCTGCATGATAAGGCAACCCTTCGTTTCGCGCTCCCAGACACTCCCTTTCCCAAGCTCATTGGTCTTGCTCGACGCTTTCTTGATGAAAACCTTCTTCACGTAGGGCGCGAGCCGGGAATCCTTAGCCAGGTTCTCAAAGTACTCCAGCTCCTTGCCCGAGAGGTCGGTTTCGATGTTGGTCAGCGTCTTGCGGGCGAAGGAGGGGATGGTGCTGTTGTTGACATAGTGGCATGTCTGGCGCAACGATGTAACGTCTGTGCGATTCAGGAAGGAAGCGGTCAAGTCGACCAGCTCCGGAGGGAGATCCTGGATGGCGAAAGTCTTATTTGTTCGAGATGCCATTTTAGAACTTGTGTTAGCAGTGCACATCAAAGTTTTGGTGCGCTGTTTCGCTAATGATGGAATGGATGCGAGAGGGTGAGGACTAACCTGAATATATAGGCCTCAATACAAAGAGTATAGCGACAATGACGGATGAAAGAAGATGGTCTCAATGGGCATAATAGCCTCGACCACCAGAGGAGATCCTCAATGATAATGGCTGCTTTGAAGCCGACCTCATTGTCCAACAATCTCTCCCTCGAGTTCTTGGATTTATGAAAGGCCGTGGTCCATCGGACAAAGCGAGATGAAGTGAATTGGCCCTAACTTTCCTTGCTGAGCAAAGACGAAGGATAAAGGTACTCACGGGGATAATCAAGGCCAATAAGAGCGGCCTTTTATCTCGTCGTTGTCTCTTGGTACAGAAATAAAGGCTGAAAAGAAGAATGAATCCCGGCCACTGTCGTCTCGAGCGTGATTACGAGACCGCAACTCTGAAAGATGTGACGTCCTGCGCGATGAAGATAATGTGTGAAGGCGGAGCCTGCCCCCCTTTCCTCAGCGATGATGGAGGAATCAGTGCTGGCTGGGAGGTTGGGACGTGAGTGATGTTGTGGGCGCAATTGCGTCGAGCGAGCAGGCGCAATCCGAACGACGGGGAAACTACCTAGGAAGGCAGACAGCTTTTTGGGAAGGCACAATCGACCCGAAAATGCTTTTTCTTTCTGGTTGGTGAGATGATGAAGGACGTCCTTGGGAGAAGCGCCAAATGACCGCCATAAAGTGGGAAGCTCGAAAGCTAGATATGTCCAGGTGCTTGCGTGTACCCTTGCGGACGAGCGATAAGTTGTGAAGGGATCCTCAATGCCAACGAACAGAGATAGATGATCACAATGTGACCTTTCTATTAGTATATTCCTAATCTAAGCCGTTGTGGTTAGAATAAAAGCCGAGAGAAGGAACTAGTATAGCTCGCATGACTTCATAGCACCATTACATCTTGATCAAGGACATTATTAGACTTGCGTCACAGAGCACTCATCTAGCAAAGCCCCTACTATTCATCCTGTAAGTCCTTCCCAGTTGCTGCTCAGCCTGGCGCCTATGCTCCTCCGCAGCCGCAGCTTCACCGTTCATGAAAAATCTTTCCTTGATCGTTCCCCAAGGAAGCGGCGTCAGAACCGTCGGGATCAGCTTGAGCGCGCTTTTCAGATCTGACGGCCAGTCTGGGTATCCTGGGTATCTCACGATCCACCGTCGGTTATTATAGTTGACAAAGCCGCTCATGTCGCCCGGTTTATGAAGGCTATAGTTGCTGCCGCGGAAGGTAAGACTATCGACGAAAATAAGAATATAAAGAGCGGCCGCGGCTCCGAAGGCATAGAGAGCAGTGACAATAACGGGCTGCACCCACGAAGGTGTATCTCTGGGGGTTCCGTCCGGGTTGTCGGAGGGTATGAACGGGACGATGACGAGGAATAGGTTGACAATGATAAAGAAGACGGTCGCCGTGTAGCGGAACCGGCGTGTCTTCATTACCTGGTAGTTCCAGGGGACTGCATATCCCGTCCTGGCTGGATCGGCAGACTTGGTCTCGTACTGCATCATTCGTTTACGGATAAAAAACACCCCAACACCCAGTGCGCCTGGACTTGGTCAGTAAGGAGGCATTTATTTCCAGAATAAGAGAGCTTACAGCACACTACGGCATGCCCGTAGGTGTACAAGGTAAGTGTGGTTTGGAATGGCTTGAAGGAGGCAATGGTGATGCAGGTGACCAGAGCTTGGAGTATCAGGCCACCGGTCGGCGTGCCCAGGTTGTCCCATTGAGTGCTCCCGTAGTCGGAGCTCTTAGCGAAGAATTTGTAAAAAGGGATGAGGCGATGCCTTGCAATGTCGCGGTTCACTGGAGCTGTCAGTCAAAATTGGTACCAGTCGTGCAGCACTCACCTCGTGCGTTACTAAAGGTAACCCCGATGATGTTGCCAGCAGCAGCCAATGCGATGTTAACATAAATAGCGTGGCTTGCCATCTTGGTATGACTCGTTCGAAACACCTGGCACCATTAGAATGAGGTAACAAACTCAGGTGAGGGCATCATACCCGGATGGCATAATCAGCGGCGACATTATGCTCAGGGTCGGTAACCGAGTCAAAGTCAAGGATAAAGAACTGCAACCAGTAAGTGTCTTGTTCCTTGATTGACCGGATGAACGTACCACAAACATATTGAGCGAAATATAAAGAAACATCACGATGCTGATAGCGATCAGGGCTCCTCGCTTCAACCTGCGCTTCTTGTGCTCTCCTTCGCCCTTGATCTCTGAGGTCACGTAATCTATATTCAAAGATTAGTGAACTGGAGCAGAAACTACCCGAAAAAAAAAGACGTACTAGCATTTTCCCACCCTTGATAACTGTAGAGGACCTGCAAGATGGCCAGCGCAACATTCGTCGGCGAAGGGTCCCCGTGGGTCGTGGTGTAGTCCCCTACCCCCAGCAGGCGACCGTCGGCTCCCTGGCGACAGGTCTCCACAAAGCCGGCCAGGACCAGGACCAGCAGGAACAGCACCTTGTATACCGCCAAAAGATCATTCGCCCAGATGCCAATGTTCACGAACCGATAGTGTACCGCGCACATTCCGACCACAATCACGCAGGCGAAAAACTTGGTGAACCAGATGTCCGGATCGCTCGCTCGGGTCGGGTCGATGTACCGCGCAAAGGTGATCGAATTCGTGGTAGGAGTTGCGAATGCGATGAAAACCCACGAGAAGGCGCAGGCAAACAAAAGAGGAGGGACGGGAAAGATCTTGGAGATCTACCACAGGGCATTAGCAGCATTCGGCCAATCCAAGCAGCGACATAATCAGAGCCTTACATAGATGAATTCGCCGCCATTGTAAGGCCACGCGAGGCCATACTCGAGATAAATGTAAACACTAGATCATGTAAGGCAGCCCGTAACTCGAAGGAGCGGAATTTGTACCTGCAGAACGAGTACACTCCACCAAAAACCCAGAGCGACAAGGCGACAAGCTTGTTGCCCGTCAGATGAGCGACTATACGCGGCGAAACAAATATGCCGCCGCCTATCATCTTGTTGATGATTAGGCAGGCAACGTCCAGCGTTCTGAGCGGCTGCTGCTCGTGGAATCGCGGCGGCCGCTCATTGTCGGATTCCATGGACGCGCGATGCGCTGGCACCACAGCAGCGTCGACGTAACCGTCCATTGAGAGGATAAAGGCATTCAAGGAGCTGTAAAAGCCATGCAGAGATGTAGGAAGGAAGATGTCGGGCAGAAGTGAGAAATCTGAACGGGCACGGTGAGGGCGCAATTGGTCAACGAGGCTGGAAGGATTACGTCCATCGTCGCCGAAACAGAGCCTCATGAGTCACTAAATAGGAAAGGATAAGCTCGAACTGTTAGCCCCTCCCATACTCCGGGCTGTACATAAGAAGGCCGATCCGCCATGCCGGGCGCGGGGTGGAATCATCCTTCTCGTGTCCGTGCCACGATATCATCCAGTTAGCAGAATGATTGTGCAGATAATCCCAACCCGCTACACCGTTAGTGGAAAGGTGCTTTATGACTGCTTGGAGGAAAAGTTCGGGGTCGGAAAGGTGCAGGTCATCGTAAGGCTCTTTCCACATAAGCTCGGAGATCCCGCCCTAACCTCGTGTCTAGGAACTCGACGACGGGGAGAACTGGAAGATCCAGGTGCCCCGCGAGTTGACCGACGTGGGTGTCTGCTAAGCCAGGAAGTTGCAAGGGTTACTGACGCTCCGCCACGCAGGATGAGCAGATCGAGGTCATAAGAAAATGCCAGAAGAAACGTCGCGCGAGAACCAGCGGGTCAGCACATTCTCCCACTTCGCCCATTTCTCCCACTTGAAGCGAGGGTGATCCCTGCATCGTGCTCAGCTGGTCGCAACCGATCGGTGGCATCCATGCAAGGCAGAAAGCGGCCATTGGGCGGTGATGAGGAGACATGCATTCCTTTTTCTGGGCGAGGCGAAGGAAATCGAGAATCCCTATTCGTCGTGTTCAGCACAGCCTTCATTTCCTAGAGTGCGAATTGAGCCTTGCACAGTATATAATGTGTTCTCTGCATTTCCGTAATCAGCTCTATTCATATCCTTTCAGGATTGGAAATCACAATGACAGAGATTTCCGCCGAGTTTGATGGCTGGTCCTCGTATCCACGCAATCTGGGCTTATCGGCCGCAGTCGACGCCAAAGGCTACGATCGGCGCCTCGTACAAGCGGAGAAGCGTCTCTTTGCAGACGAGGACTCTGACGACGACTCTGATGGGGACGAAAATGTGGCACAGATGCTTGAACTGGGGCCTGTTTGCCAAGGTGTGTGACCCCATACGGAATACCGAGAATCAAATGGACCGTGTCTTATTCATGCAGATGGGTCAAGATATACCGAATACACTGCAATAAAGTCCACGTCAGAGTTGGCAGGTTTATGTCGGAGGCCTCGATCTTCATGGCTGTTGTATGTCGGCTGCTGTCGAAACGATCGCAAATATTGACTATCGCAGCTTTCTGCATCAACATGACTCCTGGGGTCAGCTGCAAGTCTCTGCGGAGTTTTTGAAGAAACTCTTCAGCTTTCTTCGCGTGCATCCGGAATATCTCGATATTGCTTTTCTGTTCGTAAGGAAGTCGGGGCCGGTTGAGCAATCTTTCAGCTCGCTGTTCTCGCATTGCCGGCCGCTTTCAATAGCGACTGCGGAGTCGGCCTGTAGCTATGGTAGGGACTCGGCCTCGTCGATGAAGGAAAAGCGAACTAAGATCGATTAGACATCGGGTACAATGTCAAATACGTGGCCGCCCATGGTCGCTCCTTTCCAAAGGACCCATATTCTGTGCGCGAAACTGGAGTATACCATGGTTTCGACGCTGCGGCACAACAGACACAGTGGGTCTTCATACAAGCATCGCAAGAGCTACAGGAGCGCATGAGAGGATATTTCACGCGCCCAGAGGAATCGCACGCAGAAGCTCAAATCGGGATACACGGGATAATATTCCAAACTGCCAGTCAAGCATGGCGGGAATACCTCGTCTATCTAGAAGGGACCTTCGCGAAAATGGCAAGTATTGATTCCAGCTTTAGCCTTCAAGACCGGTATGACTGACCGGAAACAGGTGTCGCGAAGCTTCTATTCCAATGTGACAGGGCCCAAAATGGAAGGCGACTTTGAAGCGGACTTTGCCGACATCCGAGAGCTCCAAGTGTTCACGGACAAACTGGAGAAACTAGTTCAGGTCCTTCAGCGCAACGTAGATATCGGCCAGGAGATCCAGTCATTCATCGCTCGCGCCCAGAGACACTCACCGTCCCGTCTGTCGCCGGTGTTCGAAGACACAGCTTCAAGTCTGCAGACCTCAATTCTGCAGCACCGGGTTCATAGCAGCAGGATCCAATCCTTGATCAGCCGGGCAAAGGGAAGCGCGATGCTTGTAGGTCTCATTTTCGTGACGGCGGATCTTTTGACTAACAGAAAAGGTCCAAAACATCCTGGACATTCGAGCCACGGACACTGCCGCGAAAATCAATGTCAGAATGCGTGAACTGGCGGAGAAGAACGCTCGCGAAACCAGGTCAATGTCCGTTCTGTCGTTGATCTCCGCCATTTTTCTTCCGGCCATATTTCTTGCCGTAAGTACCGCCCCGATAGCGATGAGATCCGGCTGACGAGCAACAAGACAATTTTCGGAACCAACTTCTTCGACTATGTCGAAGGCAACCTCCACATCGCGTCGAACTTCTGGATCTACATCGTCATGGCAGTCGGTATGTCTGGATGCACAGTGTTTGTTTGGGTTGTTTACCAACGAAAGAGAAAATTGAAAAGCAGGCATCGACAGAAAGACGTCGAAGCCTGTGCCGAAAAAGGGTAACGAAGGTTATCTTCTCGCGTTCTCCCGTATATCGCTTCGAGCTTTCTCCCATTCTCTCTGAAACTCTTCTAGCTGCCGCTGGAATATTTTTGCATTTTGTTCCGCTGCTATATGTTAGTGGCCCTGTATCAAGGACACGAGAATAAATCAAGCGGATTACCTGTTGGCCCGTCGAAAAAAAGCTGCGCCTTTTTATGCTGAGTGTACCCGGCGTCTGCGTCGGGAATATGCATCGGAAAGCCTCCATCGATAGGTACTTCGTAGTGCTGGACGTTCTTGAGAGTGAGGGCACCTGACCGGCTGACATCCACTGGTTCAGCTGTCGATTTGGAGCTCACTATCACGTCAGGTTAACCGGTTTAGATGGAAAGTGGTGTCTCGGATACCTTTGATCAGCAACAGCTTGCTTTTGTCCTTGCAAATGATAGCAATGTGCATTCGGGGATTGGCGATCCTGAGAGTACCGGGCCAAAGAATCTGGTCATCGCGGAGCGGCTTTTCTGACCATAGTTGGACCACTGCCCTTTCCAATTCGACCGCAGATCGTCGCTCGGGACGTCGATGGGGCAGGGGGAACGTGCGATCTGGAATTATAGATATAGAGTGCAAATTGAATGAGCAGCTATACGCAGTCTGTTAGTAACTAGACCGACAGCTCGTAAGGTACGCGTACAAATTGAAAACATATTGTTTGGTCATTGCGGCTTGAAGAGTGAGAAGGTCGCTGAGGTCATTGAATTCGAAGGCGTACCGTCGACCATCACACTGATGCAGAGTTGCCTTGAGCGATGGTCTTTCGCTGTTTCTATCTGTATACTCCGGGTCAAAGCTCGGCAGCTCCCGGTACAACCTCATGACTTGGCGTTGTCAGCGAGTGAGTGTAACGGACCCAGATGAACCTACAAGGCTCTTGTATGATGTAGATGTTGACATCTCGATAGTTATACAAAACGCATTGGACCAAAAGGGATCTGCCTTCATTGCCGTCGTGAAGGAGCAAGCCACACTTTGGACTGGACGGCGGCTCTAGAAGCCTAGCGCATCTAGACACCATTAGCCTATAGCAGTACAAAGATGGAATCTTTCACGTACAGCCTGCAGTTGGACCTCGACGGGCTATTTGGGACGCGTTCATATTTTACATCATCCCAAATGTCCCCACGAGGAGAGAACCCTTGCGGTTGGAGCCCGGCCTGGCGATGGATTTCCTTTAACTCGTCTGCCACGTGCTCTGAAGTCGGGCAGTATGCGTGGCCATCAGAAAGCATGCCACGAATCAATTCGAAGAATCTTTGTCGGAAAAAGCGTTGTTGGAATGGTGAGACAAGCACGTTGTTTTGTTGTTGTTGGCTGTTGCGCACCAACTCCTGTAGGGCAGTGATCGTTTCGGTCACGGACTTTTTCAGAAATCCGGCGTGATGAAAGCCATAATTGTGAAATCCATCAGCTTCCTCCTGGCTGTCGTCCAGACGACTTTTTCGGTAGCGTTGTAGCCCGCTTTTCCCCTCTAGATCGAATGCGGCAATCTCGGACAATATGGCGCCAAATGACCAAACATCCATTGATGGTTTCTTTCCACTCGGACCAGCATATGGCCGAGTAGAAGCGTTGATGTCGCTTGACGGCCACGACTCAAGAGGGTTTGCAACGGACGACGTGTAACGAACTTGCAGCAGGCCGAAATCCGCAATTTTCATCACCCCTCGGACGATAAGAATGTTGGCTGGTTTCAAATCACCATGATATGCGATAATTGAGCCGCATGATCCATGAAGAAATGCGAGTCCATCAGCGAGTCCTTGGAGCTGACTCCAGAGTTCTTGCGCAAGACCGCCGTCACTTTTCAGATAGGTATCCAGTGTTTGTTCGGCCTCCTCAAAGACGATTGAGAATTGATCCCTGTGCCAGAAAGCTGCCAAGGCTGACATCAAATGCGGATGTTTCAATTCATCGAAGTGCAGGAGATTGAACCACTCATCCAGACCGGCAGTGTCACGTTGGAAGATCTTCCTCGCGAACCGGGAGATGTGCCGCATCTTCTCACCACGATACTCTTCGTATGCGAATTCGAATCCATACACCTGCCCGAACGAGCCTCTGCCCTTCTGCTCGCGGTCTTGCCGAATTGGAAGAAATTCGAGGCGATCGAGGGTGATGGGCTCGCGCGATCGGTCGATTGCCCGAAGCTGGAACCTGTACTGGTTGTGAAGGATATCATCGATGATCGACTCACCCTCAACACGTTCGTCGATAAGAAATCGCAGGGAGTCACGGGTAAAAAAATCACTGCCATTCAGGTATTTTCGATGCTTCTGGAAAGAGCGGATCAAACCAGCGCGATAGGAGCAAATGAGCAAGGCGTACACGGTCGCATATCTGTCGAGTAGCTCCTCGCGGTAGAAGGTCTGGTGCCTGTTATCGGGATTGACGGGGGAATCGACTCTGAAGTCTTGCCGGCAGAAATCACAGCCGCACAAGTAAACCTGGCGTAAGCAGTCATCGGTGTTGAAGACGCTCAGGATTGCGCTTCGGGGAAAGTAGTTGTCGTCGGGGTCTTTTGCGAGCCGATACAGCTTCTCTCGCGTTAGCCTGCACGCGACCTGGGCCATGTCGCCAGAGTGGCATACGAGACGCGTCGCTGGAGGATGCTAGGGACACTGCCAGACGGATGCTGAGCAGCACGAGCGTAAGAACAGAAGGCTTGATCAGCCTCGTCGCCGCAAGATAGCCAGTCGGCAGTCGATCAAGACTGTCCAATCGTATTGACCATGATCATCGACGTTGCTGCAGTCACCTTTCCCCGCTCTTGGCTCATTCTCGCCGCCGTCTCCGAGCGAAAGGCGTAGATAATGCATAATAGCACCTGCGAACATCATGGGAGTGGAGTTAGATAGGAAAGACAGAATCAATAATTGCGATGGTCGCAGAGGAAAGGATGCGGCTTGAGAGTTTGTTGTGAAGAACTCTGGCAGGGCACACGCGGCGAGGGCACGTGCCTTCCTAACACGGAAGGTACCTCAGCGATAGCCTGCTTACGTCATATATTGCTTATCTAATTGTAGACCAGCCTCGGCTCTTTCCTAGTCCGATATCCCCAACGGCTCTTAACTCCGATCCTCTACTTCAAGACATTGGTAAGGCTAGGACTGAAGGAGCAGAAATTCAAGCCTACAAATGAAGCAAAATTATGAACTGTACTGCGCAAATCGTAAGCTTGAGGATAAGCTGATGATAAGAAAAATGTCGAGTTGGCATTGTAATGTGTGTCATTCCGACATAGATAAATATATTTCAGGAGCACAAAGATAATGAAGAACTCCATTAATACGTACTGTATACCCATAAACAAAAACCATGACTACATGAACTCCGAACATCATGCTATTCTATAAAGGATTAACCAAAGACCAATCCTCTAACCTCAATACTTTCCCTTGGCTTCGAGTTCTCCGTCGACCTCGGGTCAACAAACGCAGAATGCGGCACCCGCCGCGCAACATCCTCCCTCGTATCCGAGCACTTGATGAGGATCCTCTCATCATTATCAATGCCGGACCAGTATAGCCACTTCTGGTTGGGGTTGTATTTCACGCCCATCGTTTCACCAGTGTAATGCGGGTACCTGCGCTCGATGGTACTCAGATCGTCCGGTGCGACCGACGCAGCCGTCGCAAAGGCCAGCGGCATCGACTCGACTTTCCCATTGAGCGGCCGCCACACATTTATAATCCTGCACCGACCGGCGAGTAACTTCTCGGCTTCTTCGGGGTCCTTGACGTGTTCTCGGACGCGGAGGGCCGCGGCTTTCGGTGTCTGGTCGACGTGCGCGAATACGACAGGCTGCCGGTCGGCCTCGGGATTATATCGGCGGATGGTATGGTCGAAGATTACGACTTTATGTGTGCCCGGAACGTTCTTGAAGAGGAGGTCCTCGACTTCGCTGTAATAGGTTGTCTTCACGGCCTCGTCGGAGTCCCAGGACTCGTAGGTCATCTCGGACGGGACATTCTGGAGGGCGGCGAAGGCGTCTTTATCGAGGTTGTATTCTGATTCTTGGCCGCGGAGGTCTGTGAGGGAGACTTGGTGGGCGACGGCGCTGTAGTTTTCTTGCGGAGGGCCGGATGCGGGGACGACGGCGTGGGGTATTGAGCCGTCTTTTGGGGGATCGAGGAAGCGGATTTCGACGTTGACGGGGCCGGTGAAGGACATTTTGATGTTGCAACTGGTAGTGGAGAGTATGACGGTTGAATTGCAATGAATATCCAAGGCAACGACGTGCTGGCAGTGATGTTATATAGAGAGAGCTGAATAATGGCAGGCTGCGGAGGCCGAAGGCGGATTGCGCCATTGATGACAAATCGGAGCAACACCGTGCATCCCACGTCATCGCTGTTCCTGGATCTTTATTGATCACTCATCAGAGATTCGCTGCAATTTACAGAGTCTGCTTAGAAAGCCATTCACGACTATTGCTAGCATGTTCGACATGGTGACTGTTACACAGAAACGAATTCCTCATGCCCATCCAGAGACTGACCAGCAAAGACCGTTCCCGGACGTGCAGTTCCAGACTTTGTCCCCAGCCAGACCGGAAACATACTTGAACCATATGACTATCCAAGAGGGCGACATCTCCTTCCTGCCATGGGACAAGAAAGCCAATGTCGTCCAAGATCTGCAGCAACCGCTAGAGGCACTCCCTTGGAATCCCCGTCCTGTCGCCGTACGTCGTCGGAAGATGAACTCCGCTCTCGTGCCCTCTCCAGGTGCCAGAGCTTCTCTATCTCGCTGCCGACCGTAGACGCCATCGAGACCATTGAAAGGGACAATCTGCCCCTTGGACTTGACTCGGTGAAAGGCCGGCAGGCGTTGCAAAACATGAAGGGCGCCGCTTCCCTCACACTCAACTTCAGCGTTGAGGCGGCTTGCGAGGACCTTTTCGACTTTGCGGCGCTGGGTTTCGAGGCAGTCGGCGGGGCTAATCGTGAACCCGTACGAATCTTGCCAATTCCACCCGATTGTTACGGCGTCCGCGTTCACTTAGAAGGGGTAATGTCGGCGGTTGATAATGAATGCCTGGAATTGACCGCGTGAGCATACATTCTGCAGAGATACAGCATCGGGAAAGAAATGTTAGCCTTCGATATACCCTAAGTATATCAACAAACTCCGGCAATTCGTCTCCCAGCCTACCGTACAGCTTAACATTCCTCGTCAGAAACCTTCTGCGAGAAGGAGAAAAGGATACTGGGAACATGGGCGCTCCGGCTATACTCATTGTGATAGTAGAATCTTATGTTGGGAGGCTCCTCATTTGCCGTTTTAACATTGCCTCCGAGAGTAGTCCTCTTGCCCGAAAGGCCGACTCCCTGATGCGACTGAGGAATCTTGAAGCCTTGCGTGAATTGGGACATATCTCCAGCAAGGCGGATTGGATCGCCACGAAATGGTATGGTACCGCATACAAATTATCATTGAGCTGGCTGTCCGGCGTCCAAGCTGGTTGATATGTTTTGTGAGGAGACAATTGAACACACTCTCATCCACGAGATACGCAATGTGCTTTACAATTTCCATAGTCGCGAAAGCTGCGGGATCTTTTGGCTTGATGCCAATAGGGAAAGATCTATCATAGACTAGGAAGGCGTCGGGTATGTCGGAGATCTCGAGAAAGGAGGCTTCGAACGGCGTCATGGCAAGTACTGTCGACAATTCAGCAGTTGCGGCATTGCGGGGGCCGAGCGCCGATGACTAATCCGCCAAGCCGCACTGAAGTCCTTCTTGTCGCACACTGGTTCCTGGATCTGCTTTCATCACAACATCATAATACTCTCCGAGTTTCTCGACAATCTTCAATTTGGCAGAAGCGAATGGCCTCACGATCGCCGCCCACCGGCCAGCGGAGTGGGATGATCAGCTAGCGGGCCCTTCCGCGGCTTTCGATCCAATTCCCTCGCTCTTTCCCCATTCCCCACCGGCCTCAGACCGCGGCGCGGTGTAGCCTCAGCTCCCCGCCGGTGGGATACTCTGCTGAGAAATGTCCCGATCAGCTTATTTTTAGAGGTATTTATAGGGCCATTGTCCCTCCTGAGAAACACCATGTCCCTAGACTCGCAACCGCAATCCTCAGCCACCTCCACCTCCACCTCGAAATCGAGAAAGTACAAAATGACCTTCGGAACCATCTTCTCCTACCCCAACAACCCCCGGGTCTTCAAGGTACGACAATCCTTCTATCTCACTCACCGCAACGACCCAAACAGCGCGTTAACACCAACCAGATCCAAGCCGTCGCAAACCTCAACGGCCACACCCTCGACAACGCGCACTTCAAGCTCGGCGTCGACAACAAAACCGACGAGTTCCTGGACAAATTCCCGCTCGGCAAAGCGCCCGCCTTCACCTCCGCCGACGGCGTCCACCTCTTCGAGTCGAACGCGATCGCACAATACATCGCCGAGCACGGGCCGAAGAAGGAGCAGCTTCTGGGCTCAACTCCCGCCGAGCGCGCCTTGATCCAACAATGGGTGGCAATGGCCGAGACGGAGGTCGCCAACCACGTCGTTACGTGCTTTCTCCCGCGGGTCGGATTGATCCCCTACAACGAAGCGGCGGATAACCAGGCGCTGGAACGGCTTGAGCGGGCGCTCGGTGCGCTGGAGCGACACCTTGCTGGGCGGACGTGGCTGGCTACGTCGGAGAAGCTGAGTCTGGCGGATATTGCGGTCGCGGCGTCGCTGATTTGGGGGTTCACCTTTGTCATTGACCAGGAGATGCGCGCCAAGTATCCTGGTGTTGTGGACTGGTTCCGCGATGTCACTGGTACCGAGGGTGTCAAGGAGGCGTTTGGGGAGATCAAGTTCATTGAGAAGCGCGAGGTCCCTAACTAAATGATACCCTAGACTACTGAATCTCGAAATGCTACTCAGTGCGGTTACCTAGTGTCCGTATAGTCGGGAGAATCCGCTAGTCCTACGCCTAAATTGTCCGCACCCCTTATACGCATACCGGGGTATATTGGGTTGTCCAAAGAAAACAGACCCGAAATGTAAAGGGGTCTTGTCGCGAGAATAAATCTCATAGAGCGCCGCAGATTCCGCCATGTGTCCATCGCCGTACCTTCTCTGTTAGCAAGCTCGGGCCTCACCACCAAGGTCCTCACTGCCACCGGCCTGTGTTCCACTGGAACTTGGCTTCATCATCAACCCACCATTTCTGGAGCCATCGCTCAACGCCAAATTAGCCCCAGTGACCATTCCATTTGCCCAGTTGATTACCGACAGTTGAGATGTTGATATTCAGCCAACCTCTTGTTATCTGTCGGAGCGTGCCGACCAGGGTGGTTACAAGGCGATTGTTTTTGAGTCCGAGTCTACATAACCAAAGCGATGGCCCAAAGCAGCCATGCTTCCTCAAACTTTCCAATGCAACCGAAAAAATATAGACAAAGAACAGCGTCCAGCCAATTCATTCAACTCAGAATCCGCTCCATGCTCCCCGCATCGCCCCGATCTCTTGTCCGCGTGACATTCACCTCAAACGACTGCTGCACCGAGATACTTTTACTCCCATACTCGGCTTCCTCACCTTGACTGTGCTGCAGACTCTGCAGCTGATACTCGTGCTTCCCCATACTCCCCTCCGGCCTGAACCGCCCCTCCGAATCGAGAGTCACCTTCTTCACCCCCGCACTCCGCGAGCGAGACCGAGACCGGAACGACCACAACGAAAGACGAGGGAGATACGTCGAGATCAGCCGCTTGAAGCGCATCGCACACGCGCAGATGATGCCTAGGTTTACCTCGACGATCGACCAGACGCCTAGGATGGCTTGCGTCCATGTTGAGTCGGCTGTGTGGCTGAGACGGATGACGTAGGGGAGGCGGGCGATGGAGCAGACGGTCACACTGTCCAGTCTATGTTAGCGGCTCTCTATCGCATGAGGGGGCATGCATACCCAGAACCCAGCGCGAGCAGGCATCCGATCGTGAGCTTCTGCTTCAGCTGCAGGTGCAGATTGTGGACCGTGGGAATGGGCAATGTGATCACCGCGAGGTCCGAGGCAATGTTCAAGACGGCGCCGGAGAGCGCGACGTTCTCGAGACACTGCAGGGTGCCGTCCTTGAGCGGGGAGCAGGGACCGCCGGTGATGATGCACAGGGTGAGCGTGTAAGCGAAGATGAAGAGGGCGACGGCGATTGTTGCGGCGCGGTAGATCCTGGCCGGATTAATGCGGTAGAGGACGGACAGAATGGCCAGTTTCGTGATCGCTGGGCAGGTGAGGTAGCATAAGGTGTTGGGGAGGAGAGCCTGGACCACCTCGTTAGACCTGCCGGATCCAAGGAGAAAGAGGGCTGGCTACCTTATTCAACTCCATCAGCTGCGCGAGGCTGACATCCCACATGTGCTTTCCCCAACCATGGCTGAACAGATCCAGCATGGTGACAAAGTATGCGAGGGCGACGCCATAAGAGACGGTGATGATGCCTACACGGCATAAGCGCCATACGCAGCACAGAAGGAGAAGGGTGTGATTTACCTAAATCAACCTCGACCTTTTGCGTCAACTTGAACGCCTGGAAATATCGCAGCCCGACGAAAAGCGTCGCAACGAAAAAGGTCACCGCAAAAGCGACAATCGTCCCGACTTGCAGGTAGTTGTACGGCGCGTCAAACTGAGGAGTATGGCCCGCCGGTGGCGCCATTCCAGGGGTAGTCGTAAGGTCCATGGTGTCTGCGCCTGATCTCGTCAAACGAGCAGAATCATTGTATTGACAGGCAGAACCTCCTTATAACAAACGCCAGTGTGACCCGTCATCCGATGCTGAAACACTAACCCCGGCCGAGAGGCTCCAGGATGCAGCATAGACATCATACGCCACGCCAACAAGTCACAATCGTCTGCAGCGACTCTGCAGAGACAATAATCCTCCCGGCCCCCGAGAAGGAGTTCCTAGTTCGGCCTGTCAAATTGAAAACGGCCCACAACGGCCCAGATCCCTGCAAGTGCCTGCATGTGGTCTCGAATCGAGCTGGCGGCGTCCGTTAGCGCATCCTGCCTGCCAACGGCGGCCTTAGCGCCGCCTAGTTTCTGACAGATAGAGTGCGACAGTCTGACAGAGATTAGTGCGCCCATGTGGCAGTGGCGCTGGACCTGCCAAAAGGCGTGCAGCCATTCTCGCCCGCTTGGGCCGCGGCTTGCTTCCGGGGCCTGGGCAGGTGAGCTGTTGATAAGTACGGACCCTCGCCTGCGGCCGGATCGATCGCTCGAACGGTTGATACGTCTAACCGACTATTTCTGCGGCGATGAACTGGCTCTTTGGACGTGTACCTTCCGAGGCAGTCCCCGGCGATCGGGTACTGCCGCTGCACTTTTTCGAGAACAGCCTGCTGGTCCAGGGGAACAACATGGCCGTTTCGCTTGTGTTCGATGCGGTCTTGGACGCGGCGGTGTTGCGCGAGGCGTTGGAGGGTCTGGTGAAGCGAGACGGCTGGCAGAGGGTAGGAGGGCGGCTGCGGAAGAATGTGCGCTCTTCGTCTTCGTCCAAGGTTGTGTATGCAACTAACGTCTCCAGACCGCCGGTCAAATCGAATGGCACATCCCGTCGCAATTTACAACAGACAGGCTTGCCATCTCCTTTGCACACGTCAACCACGGCATTCCCTCGTCCGAACACCCCGCCGCCTGCCGAATCCCCAAACCGAGTCCTACCCCGTCTATCGTCGGCGACCCAGACGACCTGGAAAGTCTAGCGTGGGAGGCCGGATACAAGCCCAACGGCATAAGCGACTATTTGAATTCCGACCGACCGGTCCTAGGCCTGCGGGTCAACAGCTTCACCGATAGGACGATCGTCGCTCTGCAATGGCAGCATGTTGCTTTCGATGCACTGGGCATGCAATACGTCGTGGAAGGATGGAGCGCGATGCTCTGGGGCCGACCGGACTTAGTCCCGACGCCCGTTTCTCCCGACTCGGATCCGTTCGACGTGCTTGCGACGGGCGCGCGACGGCCGACCGAGAAACATGTCCTCGCTGATCGAAAGGTAGGCTGGGGCGGTATACTCAAATGGGGCCTCGGGTACGGCGTCGACATGCTTCTGCGCGCGAAAGAGAACCGCATAGTCTGCATTCCGGAGGCGTACTGGGCGCCGCAACTTAACAAAGCACTGGAAGAGCTGCGCGCCGAAGCGCGAGCAAACGGCACCGACGAGAGCAGCGTCTTCCTGACAGAGAACGACGTCGTCACGGCGTGGATCCTGCGCTGCGTCGTCGGGCAGATGGGAATGGATCCCAACAGGACAGTCGCCGCCTCAATCGCCATGTCCCTCCGCAAAGCCTTCGAGGGCGACCTCATCCCGCCTTCAGCGGAACACCCCTACGTCGGCAACGCCTTCGGGTGGTCCAATATCCTAGTTACAGCCGGCGAGGTGACAACAAAACCACTGAGCTGGCTAGCGCAACAAGTCCGGAAGGCGATAAACACGCAAGGAACGCGCGCGCAGCATGAGGCATACTACGAGATGGTGCGGACGTCGGGAACAGGCCTTCCGATCGTGATAATGGGCGACGGGGGCATGGCGCAGGTTGGGTTCTCGAACTGGGCGAAGGCGGGCTTGTTCGATTTGGACTTTTCGCCGGCACGAATCGACAAACAGGATGCAGGTGCGCCGTGTAAGCCGTCGTATGTCCAGGAGAACCATGGGCCGGTCAAACCAGCCGACGGGTTCTTTATACTCGGTAAGGATGGCGATGGGAATTACTGGACTTCGGCGTGTAAGGTCAAGGGGACGTGGGAGAAGTTTGAGGAGCAGATGAGGAGGGAGGTTGAGGGGGGCTTATAGTCCTCTTCTATATACTGCCGTTACTCTATATAGCAAACCTCTATTGGATGGTCGCCACGATCGTGCCATGCACCCCTCACGCTTGCATGTGAGCGTACTCTCCACCAGTAGGAACTTATCAACCCTGCAACCGATTCGTCTAGCATCAATACGAGGATCAAAGGCCTTACCGCATCGCTGCCTGAGACGTGGTCCGATATAAACCCGTCCCTCACCTACCTAACCTCGATTCTGTCCTGCCCATATTGATAACCATCCATCCATCCATCCATTTCCATCCTACCCAGTGCCCTCCTCACTCTCCCATCTATCCCATCTATATCAACAAGCCGCATCTCCCCCACCACATCCAGCTGAAACATCAATAGCGATAGCCCAAATGCCGCAGTCACAGACGCAGTCGCACTCGCACCCGCACTCCCAACCTCGCATCCTCTCCCTCTCAACTTCCAAAACTCACACCTTCTCCAAAGCCCCCGTCCCCCGACTCACACTAATCGCGAACCACGGCATCGAAGGCGACGCGCACGCCGGGAAAACCGTGCAGCACCGATCAAGACTACATATCAACCCACCGCCCCCGAATCTGCGACAGGTGCACCTGATGCCGATCGAGGTTCTCCAAAAGATATGCGGTTCGGGGTCGTTGACGGGTGATCAGCAGAGGCGATTATTAGAGGCCGGAGCGCTGGGCCAGAACATCACGACATCAGGCATTGATCTGCTGAGTTTGCCCGTTGGGACGGAGCTAAGGTTTATAAGTGAGAAAGGGGAGAGAGGGGTCGTGCTTGTGCTGACAGGGCTACGGAATCCGTGTAAGCAGATTGATAAGTTCTGTCCCGGGCTTATGGAGAGGTTCCTTGTTAGGGATGCGCATGGGAGCAGGGAGATTAAGGGACGACTGGCGGGCGTTATGAGTACGGTTAAGGTTGGGGGCGTTCTTGAGGCGGGGATGCGGGTTGAGGTTGGGAGGCCGGGAAAATATGTGGCGATGGGGGTTGTCTAGGAGGGCTTCGGATTGGGTTTGGGATGCAGGAGTTGTTTGGAGACTTGGAACGGAGCGTAGTTATGTATTTGGTTGGGCCGGGGTGCATTGTATCCTAGGTAGGGCTGTTGTCTGTATAATCTGGCCAGAGTCAAGGTACCTGTTTGGATAGTCATTTCCCGCAAAGTTAGCCGAGACGGACATTAAATGGACAGGTGGAACTTGAGCATCTGTTTGCCATTGTGCATGTACTCGGAGAAGGCCCTCCCCGGAGTTACAACATCTTGCGCAGTTTATCTTCTTTGAGTGGTTTAGGCAGGATCATATACTCCAACACGATGATCACTGGTAACTATCGGAACTCCGTCTCCAAAAAGTCGGAAAGCCGAGTCCGACTATACGAGGGCAACCACGATAAATACCCCGCACCGCACCGCTGGAACCGATCACTAATCAGCTGAGAAGACGAGCAGAGATAAAGTCCCTTTCCCTTTCTCTTTCCTTTACCTACCGCAACCATCCCAACAATGGCCATCCCACCCTCCTCCATCGAATCCCTCCGCGCCTCCCTCACCTCCTCGCTCATCTTCACCCCAGGCGATGAGGGGTACCCCGAGAGCCTGCGGAGATGGTCCGACACCGGCCGGAAGCAAGCCGTGCGCAACCCCTCCTCAACCTCACCTATCCAGCCCAAACTAACACATCACTACGGTGCAATAGGGAATCGTAATCCAACCAACAACCGAATCCGACATCGTCACCGCCCTGAATTGGTCCCAGTCCCAACAAACCCCAATCGACCTCGCCATCAAATGCGGCGGCCACTCTGTGTCTGGAACATCGTCCTCTTCGGGGGGTCTGGTAATCGACCTGTCGCGTCTGAACACCGTCTCCGTCGACCCCTCGTCGCAAACAATCACAGTAGCCGGCGGCGCAGTCTGGCGCGACGTCGACGAGACAGCCGCTAAATACGGCCTCGCCGCAGTCGGCGGCACAGTCAACCACACAGGCGTGGGCGGATTGACGCTGGGCGGCGGATACGGGTGGCTTAGCGGGCAGTACGGGCTCACAATCGACAATCTGCTCAGCGCGCGGGTGGTCCTGGGCAATGGGGAGATCGTCACCGCGTCAGAGAGAGAAAACCCAGACTTGTTTTGGGCGCTCCGTGGCGCCGGATATAACTTTGGCATTGTGACGGAGTTTACCTTCCAGGGCTATGAGCAGAAGGACCCCGTGTATGCGGGGATCCTGGCGTACACGCCGGACAAGGTTGAGCGGGTCATTGAGATTCTGAATGGGTTGTTACTCGACAAGCCGGACCCGCGCTCTGGGGCGATTGCGATCTTCGCGAGGCCGCCGGGCGCACCGGTTCCTATGGTTAATGTGTTGGTTTTCTACAACGGGACGCAAGAAGAAGGAGAAGCGCGATTCGCTGAGTTATTGGCCCTCGAGCACGTCGCAAACACTATCTCCATGATCCCATACTCCCAGATGAACAGCCTCCAAAACCCGATGGCCACATACGGCGACCGCAAGAGTTTCAAGGGCGTGTTCTTCAACCCGCCCCTATCACCCTCGTTCGCGGGGACAATGCTGGCTGAGTTCACGGAGAAGGTACAGAGTGACGCGGATCTAGGCGCGAGTGGAATGATATTGGAGTTCTACGATATGGGGAAGACGGTCTCTGTGCCGAGGGATGCAACGGCGTTTGCGAGTCGCGGCACAACGCAGAATGGGATTATTACGTTACGGTGGTCGGATGCTTCTAAGGATTTGGAGCATCGGGCTTGGGCGCGGGATGTGCAGGAACGGTGGAAGGGGTTGCTTGAGGGGGAGGGGGGGGAGAATCTTGATGTTAGGGGGGAGGCCGGGGTGCCGCAGTATATCAACTATGCGGAGCGTGAGTCCACCTTATCTTTATTGTCTGACCTCGTTTTGAAGACGGCGTGCTAACTGTTCTGTACAGCTGGCGACGCAGTCGTGGGCAACATCTACGGCTCGAACCTGCCGCGACTGAAGGAGCTGAAGAGGAAGTTCGATCCGACGAATGTGTTCCGCAAGATGCATCCGATCCCGCTTGATTAAGGTGCACTGAAGGGGTGAAAAGGTACCTATTATGTATCATGTATCTTTTATCTCATGGATATATCTCATCGCACATAGCACATATTATAGCACACACCATACAACCCAAGTACAAAGCATGGGTATACCGTATATCAACCGGGCATAGGGTACACCAAATTATCCCTATCCCCCTCCCCCAATCCCATTCGCACCCGCATTCTCCTCACGCATCGTCGCCGCCCTCTTCAAATTCATCGCCTCATCCGCAACGACCTGACTAAACCCCAACCTCTCCTTCCGCTCCATGCGTCTCGTATTCCGCTCATGCCAAACAGCCCACGCCACGATACACACCATCGTAACGACCGTCAGCGGCGCCGCAACAGCCCAGAACACCCAGAAGTGGCCCGTTGCGACGTGCGACACAGACGGGCTGTCCCAGTTGAAGAGGGGCATTGAGAAGAATGTCTAGCCAACTTATCAGTACGCGGTATCTAAACTAGAGCAGGAAAGGGAGGGGAAGTGTACAGCAACAAACGTAGCAGGGAGAAAGAAGGTCGTCAGGAACGCAACGATCTTCATGCTCGAGGAATCGCGTTTACTCGCCGCCGCAATCTCGCGGCTGTCCTGCGCGATGCTCGTGCTCAGGAGGCTATCGTTCTGCGTGATGAGGTTGAAGAGCGTGGAGTGCTGGCCCTCGAGCCGTTCCTTGACGCCGCCGCGGAGCAGAGCGTGCTCGATGGTACTGGCCACGAACTCGGCGCGCTCGCGGAGTGCCGTGCTTGCATGCCGGGCCTTAAGGCGAGCATGCGTTTCGGGCGACAGCCGCTCATCAACCCAGTCGATCTTTCTGAGGATGAACTCGACGCACGACTTTGTTGAGCGGAGGGTCGAGAGGGCGAGATGCACGCCGCTGCGTGCTTGGCTTAGCGCTTTCACGAGCATGCGGTGATCGAGGACGGCTTCGGCATTCTCGTTGAGGACGCCGTAGCCTGTTGCGCCTTCCATTTGTTCGAGGGTTGTTTGGTACCGCTCCAGGTGGTAGACGTTGTTGTGGAGGGTGAGTTCGCAGGCAATCAGCGGGATGAGGAGGGGATGTGGGCACATGGCGAACTCGGCGGTTATGTTTGAGGATTGGGGGAGGACGGAGTCGTGGTAGATTACACCGCGGGTGGTGTTTGTTGAGGGCGTGTAGCGGAGGATTGTGGTGAGGGATGAGAAGTCGGGGGCCCTGGGGCGCGCGAAGACTGACCATGGACACTTCTTAGAGGGTTACGTGGATTGAGATTGTGGGAGACGTACGCCAACTACCATCAGCCATCTGGAAGGTCCCGATCGCGCCAGAGCGCACAGATGCGTAGTGGTGGTGATGGTTTATTAGGCCTAGCGCCTCGTTCATCTTGTCGAGAAGCTCGATCCCCACGCACGGCAGGGACTGGAACGAGCACGGGACGATTGCAAGCTGGAAGCCTGATGATGGGGGTCGGTTTTCATGTGTTGGAATTGGCTCCTGTAGGCGCTGGATGATCTGGTCCTGGCGGTACGAGTCGAGGCGAGAGGCCGAGTTTGCCGTGTGATTCTGCGAGACGTCGTCGTGCCAGCTCCACTGTTCCATCACGACGATCTCGCTGACCCCGTCTGGGGGGAAGTTGAGGCGGATGTCGCCAAAGTCCCAGTACCATTCTCGCGTGGGTTCGGCTGGAGTGGTTTGTGGTGGGTGAGGGTTTGGCTGTATGGCTGGCGGTGCGACTGGCGTAGCCATGGTTTCTTGAGAGCCGTCATGTATAGTTGGAGAGGTGAAAGGCGATTAGCTTTGGACTCTATTGTGAGCGTCTGCAGGGCGACAACAGAACATATACGGCCAGCCGACCGGCTCAGCCTGCAGGAGGGTCCATTCATGCAGGACGGCAGACGAGACAAGAAAACGCAGGGCTTGGCTTGAAACCGCGTGGCTGGGGGTTTCATAGCGAGCTAATGGGATTGGCTTCCAAGGTTATCTGTCACAGTTCATTACTGTTAGCGCCCTCAGCCGCGTGCTATTGCTGCAAGACGAAGCTCAGCCCGGGAGCGGGTGGCCCTTGCGGAGGGAAATGTCAAGCGGGCAGCTTGGAGAGGAAGACCCTAATGTCACACGAGTGTAACGACAGACAGAAGGAAAGGCTGGAGCTGAAGATTGAAGATTCGAGTGGTGTGCACACGGTCGGGTGGCTGTGCTGCATAGCGACATTAGCTTGGTGAGTTAGCCCCAAGGCTGGCTAATTATAGCCCTAATAACCCGCATTAGCGGCAGGCTAAGAGAGCATCAACAGCTCAATTACCATGATTGGTCTGCAGCTGTCAAGCGTCAGCATCCGCGTCATACGTCAGGGTCAAGGGTTAAGAGTCAGGGCCTCAAGCTGGAACTGAACATTCATCATAGCGTGCTTTCCACCGCGAGCATCTCAGTCCCAGAACGCGGATTGTCAAGTCAGGTCCATCCTAGGTTGTTGCGACCGATCCATGTTACATTCTGGCACCTTGGAGGACCAATAAGCGGGTGGATATGGCGAAGAGATGGCTACGGAGTAAACAACAAAACTGCTGATCTGATTGAATAAAGGACTGGAAGGGCGACGGCCCCAGTTGGGCAAGCAATACGAGGCCTCGCTCTTTCCCCGGGTTGCTCCACTGCCATGGACCCTTACCAGTTCCACCTGTGCACTTAGTCACTTAGCTCAGCCAGGATGCCCGGAATGGCTAACATTACAGGTAGACCCTGAGCGTACTCTGGGAGCCGTGGATAATCACGGAGCACAACAAAGCTGTACCATACCTCGCTCCTCTTAGTTCAGACTGGCAACATATCTGGCCACATTGGGCACTTCACGCTGGACATGGAGAACAGCCGACCGTCAGGGCCCGAGTGCAGGTATCAAGCAAGCATCATCGTCACTCTCCTCGTCGCGGAGTTTCCAATATCCATTCATAGTCGACGACGTCAGGTCTGACGAAGCGCATCCAGGGCTAGATCTGTGATGAGCTCCATGCGTTCGACGACAGCGTTTCCAGCTGACGAGCACTGTTTGATACCATAGTATGGCAGACCGCACCTCTGACGACGATGGCATCTGCACCTTAATCTCTTCAAACGCGATGATTGGTGAAATCGACTTTGAGGCTTCAATTGGTTAGACTGCATCCAATCGCAGGAGCCGGGGATATTAATTCTTGATACTAAGGGCGATCCATTGCCGCGTTGGCAGCCGTTTGCCACCCCCGTCACCCGCACAACGTCATCCCAGTCGACTTCGATATCAACACCAGATTCATGGTGTTTTGGCAGAGTAAACCCTGACGTCAGACAAGAACCTCGTCTATATAGCGGCCCTGAACGACGACCGAAAGACATCGTAGCATCCATTATTACAGATTTACCGCATCGCAACTCATCTACACCCATCTACTCTATTTCCCATCTAATCCATACCAACTACACCGCCAAAATGCCCCTCTTCGGCCACCGCGACTCCATGTCCTCCTCCTCCCATTCAAGCATCGACGACCCAAACACCCACACCCACCGCCACAAGTCCTCCGGCGGGCTCTTCGGCCACCGCGGCTCCCAATCCAGCGGGTACAGCAGCGACGGCGCCGGATCTAGTTCACGTCACAGCGGCACATACGGGCACGGCCATGGCCACGGCCACGGCCACGGAGCCACCACAACCACGCGCAGCCACGGCGGACTCTTCCGAAGCAAGCACACCGAGGACCCATCCATCACGGCCGCGCGCGAACGGGTCTTACACGCCGAGGAGGCGGAACGGGCCGCTGACAAGGCGCTTTATGCGAGTCGGCTGGCGGTGCAGGAGGCGCGGAATAATGTGAGGGGGTTGGAGAGGGATGCGAAGGAGGAGTATGTCCGCCCGCTGTTTTCCCGAGTGGTATAGAGAGAAGGCTAATGTGTGTGCAGGGCGCGTCTCGCGAAGTTCAAGCAGAAGGAGGCGAAGGATATCTCCAAGAGGGTGAAGCCGCTTGGTCGTGAGTTACACTCTTTCCTCTGATGGATCTGCTCCTTGTGATGGAAGTGGAGGTTGCTGATGTTGTTGTATAGGACACCACTAGCGCTGTTCTTCAGCATGATGTCCTCGAGCCCCAGGACTCTCGTTTCTTGCGGATATTGGACTGTACCATATATCATGACTTATGACCTGTATACTTATAGCAGTTTCTTGCAATTTCTTTGATTTGAAGCGAGTGGAGTTCAGTTGATTTGGTTTCCTGTCCTTGTACTATACCAGGATGAATACAACACTTGATTCTCATAAGCTCTGGTCAATTATGTTGCCCTCTCAACTCAGGGTCGGAGAACTTCTAAAAAGCGCTTCCCCCAGGACAAGTAAACCAGCGAGCCGCCCGGCAACCCGACAGACCGTCGAAGATCGTCCGCAGCTCGGCGCATATCGCATCCCGATCATGCTCGCCCAGTGAATCCCAGGCCCGCTCGAGATTCTCGGCCTCCACGTACTCCATGTAGATGTACTTGACGTCTCCGTCTGTGCGCCACCCATAGACCTCAGGGACGGGGACCCGTCCGTTCAGGACTCTCCGCACTGCATATAGCACCTGGGCTTCCGCGATGCTTACCCCCGTGCCCCATTTGACGAGCAGTCCCATGTCCCTGAAGAGGGGAACGGACTGATCCATGTGAAGTATGTGGATTAAATAACTAGCTAGAAGATAAAGCTATTTAGAGATCTTTATGTGGGCAAGCTAGCCAAAGGCAGTGCCGCAGGGTAGTACGCTTTAACACCCCCCTTGCCCTAGGCAGCGAGAAGGTAAAGCCATAAAGATTTTTAAATACGGAAGCTAAATATAAAAACATGGTATAGTAGTAGTAGTACACTTTTAATCTCGTGACTTGGCGCTCGGACCCGCTGGGGGCTTTAAACCTAAAAAAAAAAAATAAAAAGTAAGGCCATAAGACTTCCAGATTAAAAAAAAGGTAAAAACATAATTTTAATAAAAAAACAAGAGGAAAGGCCTTGGCAGGGCGTTAAGGTTAAAAAAACATTAAAAAAAAGGCTTGTATAGCTAGAACATGGTGTTTTAAATAATAAATTAGGAAAGCTTCGTGGTTTTTAAAGCTAATAAAAACTCTAAAAATTATGTAAGGGCGGATTATACACACGGGCTAGATTTGGTCTAGCTAAATTTAGCGTGTAAAGGCAAAGGCGCTAAATATTGCGTGTAAAGGCGTTAAAGCTTGCAAAGGCGTTAAATATTACGTGTAAGTAAAGGTAAAAAAATATACTAAACGTGCCTGGGCGAATACTAGATTACCAGGGCTTATAAAAATCTTAAGGCAAAAAAAAAATGTTAAGGCGTAGTGATTTTATGATAGTTAAAAACTAGTAGGCGTTAAGAACTTAATTAAAGCGGTTAAAAATAATAAAGGCCACGGAGGCGCGGAGAAAGAAAAAGTTAAGAACTTAAGGCTTAGAGCCAGTAACAGCAAGATAAGGGGCTAGCCTAAATAAAAAATAAATGCAAAACAAATTTTATTACAGATTCTAAAGAATTAAAGCAGTTGTCTGGGGCGTAGCTAATAAAAATTATAGGGTGTTAACGCGGCGTGCAAAAAAAGGCAAAAAATTAAGGTACTGGGCTAGCAAGAATAGGAAAAAACAAAGCATAGCCGTGTACACGAGTGGCCAAAAAAAAGGCCTATTTAATAGCTAGCTAAGAAATAAAGCTTTTTAAAATACTAAAAATAACTAAAATAGCCAGATTCCTGGTGTTGTGTTATAGGTAGGAAGGCCTTAAAAAAATAGCGCGCCGCGGAATCGCAAATAAATAATAAAAAGGCTAGTTTAGAGGGCTTGCCGGAGGCAAATAATAAAAATAAAGCTTTAAAAATAGTAAAAAATTAAGAGAATTGCAAAAAACTTGGTATTTATTTTAATATATTAAAAAAAAAAAAAAAAACGCCCCCTTTCCCCCCTACGCCGCGGGCGCAGAGGGGGGAGAAATAATAATAATAAGGCTTTTAAAAGCTCTAATAAAAAGTTAAGGGCTTATAACCTAAAAAGGGGAACGGACTAATCCATGTAAAGTATGTGGATTAAATAACTAGCTAGAAGATAAAGCTATTCAGAGATCTCTATATAGGCAAGCTAGCCGAAGGCGGTGCCGCAGGGCAGTACGCTTTGACAGTCCCTGAAGAGAACGGGGAGTGTGAAGTGGAGTGGACAAAGCAGCCCTCTTGTGTTGTACTGATTCGTCAGCCATACCGTGCTGACTTATCTGGAGGAGGAAATCAGTTGATTAGATGATATATCAGTATAGGATAGCTTGATTAGATACTAATGGTATATTTATCCCTAAATCTCCCCAGTCTGTACCCGTACCCGTACCCGCCATCTCCACCATTGACCACAGGCAATATCACTTCTTGTAGCCAGATCAAACCTCCTTCGCCCAAGCCTTCCCACTCCACGTCCCACCCGTCATCCCCAACCAATAATCCCTCCCCTTAATCAACCAAACAAAGAAACTCGGCACGCGGTACCCCTTCGCCGCACCCACGCCCTTCCCCCGTCCAATAGGCACAAGCTGCGTCTCGCTCTCATCAGCCTTGAACACCCTATCCTCAGCAGCAGCTTCCCCGGTCTCAGCCAGAAGATCGCGCTTCAGGTTCGCGCACAGCACGGGGATCGCTTCCGTGAGGATATGGACCGCCGGGCGTGCGTAGTCGGAGACGTCGCCGGCCGCGTAGACAAGGGGTCCCGCCTTATCGACGCGCAGGGTCGACGGGTTCGTTGAGACGCGCCCGTCGGGGGAGAGAAGGGACTCGTCGATGAAAGAGGTGTTGGGGATTGTGCCGTAGGCCGGGATGTACAGGTCTGCGTGGCGTGTTTCGCCATCGCTAAGACGGACTTCGGACTTCGCGGTCAGCGCTTCGTTCCCTGCATCGTTGGGGATCACGTCCTCCACTTTCACACCCTTAACAACCTCAACACCCAGCTTGGCCAGGTACGACTCAGCCGTCTGCCCGATTGCAGGACGCAACACGGGCAGGAGATCCGTGCCAGACGTCACCAGCGTGATTCTGCACTTCGGACTCGCCATCTTCGAGCTCAGCCAGCCTGCCTTGCCGTTAAGATGCTCGCCCAGTTCGCCCGCCGTCTCGACGCCCGTGGGCCCACCCCCGGCAATAACGATACTCTTTGCGTCTGCCATAGCCGTGCGGAACTCCTTCCATTTCGCAACGAGCTCAGGCCTCCCGTGTGCATTCAAGCTAAACAGCGGGGAGTGCGTCGACGCCCCCGTCCCAATAACAAGCGCATGGAAACTGAGCTGGAGTTCAGCGTGGACGGGCCCGGTATTCGTGGTCGTCTGCGTGATTTCATCAATGACCACAACGCGCCGAGTGTGGTCGAGGTGTTTCGCGCGCCCGTGGACGAAGTGGAATTTCTGCCCGTACTGCGTGAACTGCTCTTCGATGGTCACGAACAGCTTCGACTGGTCGAAGTATGTGTCTGAGAGGAGGGCGCGCGGGGCTGCAGGGCGGCAGAGGACCTCGCGCGAACTGCTGACCAGGATCACCTGGTAGGAGTCTGGGGATGGGAGGGAGGGGATGACGTGTTTGAGGGTGTAGTGGGCGGTTGAGATGCCGGCGTAGGAGCCGCCGAGGATGAGGATTGTGTTGGGGGGCATTGCGACCGGTAGGTATCCGTACCTGTTGGTGAAGACGATATGGAGAAGAGATGACAGCGCGCAAGGTCGGGCGGCAGACGGCTATTTATGCATCGACAGCTCTGCCTTGCGTCCTCGTACGGAGCACCAGATTCAGCCTCGATTTGCAATCGGACGGCCCAAACAAAGCTGGCCTTGCCCTAACTCTGTCTGTTCCTCCTTGCGCCGGACGAATCGCATGTGCGGTACCCGGGCGCATTAGTCACCATTAGCAATCCAATATTGCGGCGCCACGTGAACTAGCCTCTATTCTAGTTAGGCTGCTTAGCAATTATTGGTTTACGCGGGGCTCGGCTGTGTCACGATCTCGGACGAATCGGTCTCCGGTGCGTTGCGATGGGATGGATGTGCGAGGTGCAGGGGCCTGGGGGCTGGCGGTGGTCTGTGCGATTGTGACAGTCACACTCCAGGATCCGAGACGATGGGTTCAGCCGCACGCTCTAATCCGTACCCTGGCTACAGAGGATGGGTCAGATCGTCGTACGGTAGTCGGTGCCAGGGTTCTGGGACCGAGAAGCTTCTCCAGTCTTACAAGGTACACCCCCGGGCCTGCCATCTCGTACTCTGTCCCGTTCAACACTTGCATTGCTTATTCCTTTGCCTCGCTTTCCAGTCTGGGGTAATATGTAGCAGGATGGTGGTGCCTGAGCCCACTTATTTCGCTTACGGTAGGGTTTCACACAGTATGTCCAAAGTACCTAATCTTGGGGTCTCCCTGTGCAGTGCTACATATCTCGAAGGTCTACGGTGATCAATTGTCAAAGTTGCTGTCGCTAAGGAAAACAGCTTATCTATTATTTACAAATTCTCAGACTGACGTAGCGTGATATTAAAGTACTGCTGTATTTACGCTGGTACTCGGTAATCATAAGAAAACCCAGAGATACTATATCAAACATAGATTAGAATTCAAAGGAGCCTAAAGAAAGAACAACAACAGTGATAAACAAAGATAATTTAGATTCGAGCTAACGAGTGGACGTGATTGCACTCCAATGCTAATAATCATTTCTGTACGGGCATCTGTATCCGTGGCCATGCTGAGCTATAGCAAGACCCAGGCACCAGCAACAGCCACAGTATAATCACAAGAAACACCTGCAGTACTGAATCTCATCGTCGAAAACGCAGTCACGGTGTACTCGGACGCAGTGGGAGCACGGTCGCTGACGGTCGCATGTCCGGTTGTGGTAGTGACATGGCAGGCACCTGGAGAAGCGGCTGCGAGTCGGTGCATGCTCCTTATTAAAAAGCTCATCCATGACCTCTCTCGCCGTCGCCGGAGTGTGGTCCTCCCTAGCCACAATAACCGGGGCCCTCTCCGAACAGTTCCACGTCGTAAGATCTACCAGGGTACTGATGGCGGGTAAGGCTGGGGTATCCGCCCCGGTATCCGAGGCAGAACTGCCGGGCCGAATAGGGGGCAAGATAGGCAGAGTCTCCAAGGCAGACTCCAACTCGCCCGCAGACGAGCCCGAATCCGACCTCGCAGTTCCCGGTCCCTGGTTCTGCGCCTGCGCCTGCGCCTGGCCCTGCACTCGGCTCTGCGCCGCCGCTTCAAGCGACCTGAAAGCCCTCTCCTGCATCTCAAGCCCCAACCTACTCCTCCGCACCTCAGGCAAACACATCATAAGCGCAATAACGCCAGCAACGGAATCGGTCACGAGCCGTGCGTCATCCAACGCCTGCAGCGCCGCAAGCACCCACTCGCAGCACCGGCGCGACTCCACACGCGCCAGGATCTCGGCTACCTCCGGGCTCTCGGAGACATACCCGATTTGCTCGAGGTCGGCGAAGAGAGAGCTTGTCTGTTTGAGGGTTCGCGCGGGGAATGTGCAGCACTTGTAGATGTAGGTGGTGTTTAGGGGGGTGGCGATGTTGGTGCTGGTGCTCTCGCTGGCGCTCTCGCTGGCGTTGTCGGATGCGCGGGTTAGAGTGACCGTGTACACGGTGCAATCTTCCGTCAAAGCGCAATGCGTGACCAGGGCCCAGTGGCGGTATTTAGGCACGACGCTGGCGGGGAGGTTGGGGTCGTGGGCTGAGATGGCGCCCCTGCCGATGTACAGGCCCAGGTCCATTGTTGGGTCTAGGGAGGGGCGGGCGGTTGGGGGGTGGAAGGGGGTGGACTCGAGGACGCGGAGGGGTCCGGTTCGAGACATTTTGGTGGTTTGGTTTGGTGTAGGTGGGTTGTGTTGTGGTTGTGGTGAGCGACTGACTGGCTGATCAGAACGGATGGACTGATCAGAACGGATCGATTGAACTGGATACTGTGTAATCGAGGGTTATGACTGTCCTTATATAGCACACTTCCATCTCGCTGATCTATTGTAGACTCGATAATGTCCTTTCAGGTGTCCAGTCTCTGCCTCTGCCTTTGTCACTCTCTTTGTACTCCTAAATTGTCCGAAGCATCGATCTATCATAAAGAATAACTGAAAGCCATTGTTCGTACCACGCCATATCCCCTTGTTATATTCCATCTTTCACGTTGAAGCCAAATGACCTTTGTGCTAACCATGGAACCACAACGAAATCTGCATTCGAATCCCCATTATGGAACATGAAATAGAACAAGGCAACAATGAATCGCTGGGCTCAGGGGTCTAAGAAACCGGCTCAGTCTGCGCTCTTTGAAAGGATGTCCACTAATGAAGGTTTGCTAGGCACCTCTCTCCCCTCATCAAATACGCCTACAGCGGGGTATAGCAGCTTGACCTAGTCTGAGATGACAGCCTCTTGTTCATGGGAGATGCAGTGGAGTTTGGCTAGCAGCTAGAGGATATGCTCCGTTGGTGATAAGGCATTCTGGGGATAAATACTATAAATCGACAAAGTCTTTCGAGACACACCCTAGTAATTTATGATACTTATTGATAAAGCCCTAGTCTTGCTGTGTATCCAGCTTAACCTATACACTAGCTAATAATAGAATGAGTAGGCTCTAATTACTTAAAGCAGGCGCAATGCAAACATATGTACATAGTCAGTCATGATTTGTCTGTGATGGGCCCGACATAAAAATACAATAAGGGAACCCCTTGTAATAAAAAGTGCGAAGTGGATAGATTAGTATTTCATAGTGACTGCCACGCTAGTCCTGCTCTAGAGCAGTAGGTAGATGCACGTCCCAAACACCCCGCTCAGCTTGATAATCCCTAGTAACCCTCAGGCACCCGGGAAATCCGGCCCCCCATACCCTGACGGAGAACAGACCATCAAAGCTCCACCAGCGACGAAGAAAAGACCAATCCAGACTCTGTAGTCGAGGAGCCAGTGATAGGAGGAAGAGCAAGAGCAAGATGGAGATGAAGATCCCGATCGAGATGTCTGGTACGCATGATCGTGAAGAAATGTATTGTACATGTATGGGTTTGTGATTTGCTGGTTGTAGGGCTGGGAGGGTTCGAGAGCGTCGTCGGATGGAGGGAGAGGGGGGTCATGCTTTTGGATGCGATCAGTTAACTCTACCGTACGGTAGAGGAAGGAGGGTAAGTTTGGAAAGGAGCGATACATACACAATTCTCTGCCATTTTTATTTTCGGTTGGCAGTGTGCCTGGGGCGTTTTGTGGAGGCGAGGGCGAAAGTATCTAGGAGCTGCCGTGTGCTTGGATTGTTGAGTGCAAAAGTAAAACAGATGGGAAGATCCAGCCAAGGTATACTGTGCCCAGAATACTGTAGGCGCCGCGAAAGAGTCGGCAAATCTAAATTTGGCGCTGACTAGAAACCAACAGCAGTGAAACGCGTGATAGGCCCTGTAGCCGCAGATCGGCCTAGCTCCAGGGTTCCAGGGACCCAACAGCTACGCGCTGCCCAGACGGCAAGACCATCGTGCGCACCGACTGCAGCAACCGCATGCCCCTCCCCATGGAGGAGTAGGACCCCGTGTACCATAAACCAGGGGTCGCGCTAGATCGGGGCGTCTACGAAGCATACGCAACCGCCGGGGCCGCGTCGAGAAACCGGACGACTCAGGGTCAGAAAGTTCCGTATCCTGCAGTATTGTATGTATAGATGCCTAGATCGGGTATTCCTCTTGTCTTTTGTAGTTCTCCGGAGACATTATATGTTATATTGTTTGTTAAAAGGCTTTATACCTCAACGCGCAGTATACAAGCTTTAAGGAGAACCGGGTCGTGGTGCTGTATTAATTATATCCAAGCTTGATTGTCCTGGATCTATTAGGGTATGATTGCACAGTTTTACTCAGGGACTCCGCGGTCATCGCCACACGTTAGATTAACTCTCATGGCAAGATCACAGGCTCAGCATTAGAATAGTCTGGGTGTTTAAAAACATGTTTGGCCTGCACTAGGCATTAAAAAATATTGGTAGTTAAAAAAGGGTTAGGGCTATGGCGCGGAGGCTCAACACAGGCAGAGCAGTGGATGCAACTTAGGTCGACTTGGGCAAGCCATGAGATAGTACGGAGTAAGAGGTCGGGTATATCTGAAGTCGCCTAAGGGCGACCAACATGGAAGCGACCACACCATTCTTACAGCCTTGAGCATGCGCTGAACCGAGCCACTCGTCTTTCTCCTAAACCATGACGTTGGGTAATGCATGTCAGACATGAAAAAAAAAAAGCCAAAAACATACAACAGCTGGGATTCGCATGTGGTCACCCACCATACTACTAACCAGCCGGCGTGTGGTTTAAGTACGGCTGAGCGGACGGGAAGCCCTGTTCTCCACACCCTGTGGTCGTATGTGATGGATATTTCGGAACAGTTGCTTATCAATAAACCGGAAAATAGCTAATATGCAAGTCCCGATAACAATAATGCTGGAAAGGTGTGCGGATGCTACGCAAAAGTCCCAGTTCTCATACCCTCTGTACTTTGGAACGTGCACCTACCAGTCCAGGTCTCAGGTTCAGGACTTCTTTGAATGGGCATCGGCTTTGTTACTGAGAGGCGTGGTGCGATACGTGGATACATGGATGGTTGCTCTCATTGATCCCTTTGGCATCTTGAGCCCATGTCCGTACGAACACGATGGCTACATCCGTTGAGTCTGTTGAATGTAGAATTACTGTGAAGTTCATATGCGGCGACTAAAAGGGGCATATTTACTGTAGTCGGGGCGATAAAGCAATAAATTGGGATTTGTGGAAAAATGGGTATGCAGGGTTGTGCTTGTGGCTGAACATGTCTGTGGACCACGCCAAATCGCCTATAGATTGTGCTATACATCCATTCCATGCCGGGGAAGCTAAAAGTCGTTAGGTACAGTGGGTATCTATCCAGTACTAGGATGTTTGCCCGTCAAAGATTCCAGTGGGTGAAGGCTCGGACTCGAGCACAGGCCGGCTGATACGTTTATACTTGTTCACGCCCTGGTAGAAAGAGTGGGTTAGCCGGACCCAGTCATGACACATTGAGCAAGCCAGAACTGCGACTCACCTTGAAAACCGCATAAAGATACGGAACATAGACAACCTCGCTCTCGCCAGGTCCAGCATTCGAGTCCAACGATGAGTCCCCTTCCTCAACTTCACCTGCATCGTTCTTCCCCTTCCTCCCAATCCAAACATTCCCCAGAAGAAGCCCCGTAATCACACTAAGTCCCAGAATCGGCAGAATCGCAACATAAGCCCACATGATCGCGTCTCGCCCCGCGGCTCTAACCTGCCCCTGAACAGCAGCAGGCAAGTCATCAATAAAGGAAAGACTACTCGTCCCGCCATGCGCAAGGTCCTGCGCATCGACAGTCCCATTCCCATTCCCACTCACCCCAGAAATACCCTCAACGCCCCCCGCAAACTTATTATTAAACACACTGCCCATAATCGTAATCCCGAGCGTTCCCCCAAACGGCAGCGCAAAGCGCAGGAGGGAGAGTGCAGCCGCGATTCTGTCGGGCCAGACGCCGACTGCGTGGAGGTTCGCCGGCATGAGACGGATTCCTGTCCCCGCGCCCGCGAGCACCATCATCCCGTTGAGCACGGTGGTGTTTTGCGCGCGGATTGCGTGGATAATCAGGCCTAGACCGAGTGTTTCGGCTACCGTGCCGAAGAGGAGAGGCGGGAAGGTTTGGGCTGGATATTTGTTGCACAGGAAGACTGCTAGGTAGACGCCCGCTGTGTTGGGTTAGTACCATACATGTCAGATAAATTGGGACGGAGCAGACGTACCTCCAAGGCCTGGGATATAGTACAGCAATTGCACACCGGCTTTGGATGCGCTGTACCCCTCCACAACGGTGAAGTATATGCCCACATAATAAAAGACCGAGTACATCGCTGCGCCCGCCGCAAACTGGATGGCCACAAGCCAGAGCGTGTCGAGCCGTCTGAACAGGCTATACGGGATCATGGGCTTCTGGGTTGGAAAGAGTCGCGCGAACACCCCGTTCTCGAGAGCGTACTCGTAGCCGAAGAAGATGACGAAGCATACACCACCCACAATCAGCGGGGCGAGGACCTGGCCTGAAACCCACGGGTACGTTGAGCCGCCCCATGCTGTCCCGAGGATTATGAGACCAACGCCGAAGATGAAGAGGAGTGTGCCGATGATGTCAAGAGTTGACAGGGCAGGCAGGAACGAGGCGAGCCGTGCGCCGCGATGGAAATGCGTGCCTTGTTTCAGGTCGTGGCGGAGAACGAGATAGATGACTATATGTGAAACAAAGGCAATCGGAATCGATATCACAAAGCAATACCGCCAGTTCGCCTGCGCCAGTCAGCCACCCGTCCCATCAACATACAATCCATCGGAAGTGCTGGGAGGAAGTACACACATCCGTAAGATACCCCCCTACCACCGGGCCCACACTATACGCAACGCCAGAAACCAGCGCGAAAATCGAATTATTCTTCGCGTTCTCCTTTAAGCTCACCCCATCCGCAAGGACCACATTAATCGTGCTCATCAGGCCCGCCGAGCCCACGCCCTGCAGCGCGCGCGCGAGCAGGAGCATGCCCCAGCTCTGCGCGGCGGCGCCCAGCACGCTGCCGAGCAGCATCATGAAGGTCGCGAGCTGGAGGCTTGCGTGGCGGCCGAAGACGTCGGAGAGCTGTCCGAAGGTCGGGATTAGGGCGGTGGAGGTTAGGGTGAAGGAGGTTACGATCCAGGATTGTTGGTTGAGTTCGTCTGGGATTCTGCGTTAGCGTGTGGGATCGATATCGAGGTCGGGGGGGTGGGTATGGTAGCTTAGAGAGGGTTGAGACGTACCGAAATGCGAGGCGATGAATGGCACGGCGGTTGCGACGATTGTGAGGTCGATTGTTGCGAGGAGGTACGGCATGAAGAGGGCGGTAACGAGTTTGAGTCTGTAGATGCGGAGTCGTTTGCGCTCTGCTTCGGCTTCAGGTGACGGGCGCTTGTCGGGGAGGGTGGGTGCGCCGTGGCTGGAGGTAAGGGTTTCGCCATCTTGGCTGGACTGTGTTTGGAGGGGGATGTGCTCGGATTGGCGCTTTGCGGCGCGTGTCTTTTTGATGTGCTTGTATAAGAGGTAGAAGACCATGGTGGTGGATGGTAATGTGATGGTTTTATGAATGGAAAGGGTGAGGTTGCTGGAATGGCTAGGGGTTATATACACTTGGATTTGCAATCTTGAAGATCGAACTAAGCTATCTTGAGCAATCACCTCGTAGCTGAGCGCAGTCATGACTCCCTGGCGATCAACTGAGATTGAGGCTGAGGCGCGGGGACGCCGAGACCCACGACGTGGACAAGCAACAGCCCGCAGCGCCAGGTGTATTGCCATTGGCTGTTACTAGCCATAGCAGGGCCACATGGCATTTTAGGCTACGAAGTGAGTACTGGATGCGGTTTAGCTTGACATCTGCGCAAGGCCCACAGTGTAGGGCTGTGCAGGCTAAACCCACTTCGGTATGCGCTTCGACGTTCCAACGGCTGAGCAGGGCACAGACGCCCTCTGAACAGACCTGCAAATGGCTTGGATAAACTACAGCTGCACCGTGGAGGATTACGACCCCATTGCCAAACCTGGATGAGCATCGCCGTTCTAGCTGCAATGTGGAGTTTCGACGTAGGTGAACCGTGACATATCCATTAGGGCTCGGGGCATATCGCTACCCTTCAGGATCTGTATCATCGGAGCATGATATGGAGTGCCTACGGTACGTAGCAGCATCTATCTATCTCGAACGGAGCTTTTTTGGTGATTAAGGTTTGATTGAGCATCAGGTACCTACAGACATAAGTGAACATTCGACACGGGTCATCCATGAACTATGATCTAAGATAAGAATAGTTCAAACTCCTTAATTAATCCTGCACAAGACGAATGAATGTGTATCTTCCTGTTTTGTTTTCCCGCTAATTAAGGGCAGTCGGCGCCTCAGCGCCCGTCTGTGGTGTATTCTCACATTTTGGCACCATGAGTGTAGGGCAAAATGCTCTTGGCTCCTTGCAGAGGTCGGGTCAAAGTGATCACCGGAACCGAGCCCAGGCGGCTCATCCTCTTCCTCTCCCTCGAGATCAGAGTCATCTAAAAGGCACGTTCCAGAGCGGATCGAATTTTCAGTGGACAGATCTTCCATGTCGGAATCTTCGTCCTCTTCCGGGCCAACCACGTCGGTCTGTATATGTCCAGATAGCATACAAGCAAGTGAATCAAATATCATCTCAGGTGAGAGGGGCTCACAAACGCGTCAATCTGTAAATGTCCAGATAGCACAAGAGCAAGTTCTTCAAATACTTTCTCGGATGAGCGCGGCTCACGAACCGGGTCTTCAAAAGCCAAGGCAGGCTGTAACGAGGGCAGAGGGAGGAGCGGCAAGAAAGTGCTCCTTCACTCCTGCTTTTGAAGTAGAGCTGGAAGGAGTACCGTCTTTCTTACTAGCAAGGATCCAGTCCTGGTCTGAAGCTGGGGCCGACGGGAGGGGAAGGAGAGGTAGGAAGGACGACATGATGAGATACGTTGGAGATATGGAGTGATGAATCTCGGGGTATGCAGCGCGTTCGATTGACGTAGATACTCTGTAAGATGACGTTAGAGTTGACGGAGTAGGTACGAGGTAGACTGATACCAAGAGCGCTTTCATGTCGCTTTTTTCCATGTTGTTTCCTTTATTATCATGATGAACAAAGGGACTCATAAGATGCGTTCTTCATGTAGCTAATCTTGGCTTATCCCTTCGTCGTTTGGGTAAATAGATATTTGAAAGGTTTTAATAAAACCATTGTATTGAAAGTTCTGCATTGTAGGCCAATACAATGGAATGATTCATTATACCCTACCTCTAATGCCACTATTGTGAACCGTCAAAGACAGAATGGCCTCGTCAAATATAGCATTATAAAGGTATTGTATCAGGTAATAAAGGTACCTTTTTATATCTATCACTAAATGGTACTGTTTTCTTGTGAGGTGCATTCAGGCGAAACAAAGGCGGATATAAGGCCATTCGATGACATTGTTCCGATCTTCAAAGAGCGACAGGCATTGTGAATGAAGGCCATTGTCTTTTCTTTACTAGATGGCAGATCATAAGGCAAAAGAGCAAGATATAAATCACGGCGTCCCGTCGTGGCATAGAACAGTCAATCCACTCCTGTCCAGTCCATTTTGCCTTCTCTAAGAGGCACAACAAGACAACCGACAACCAACCAGCAAGACAAGACCATGGCAGCCCCTTTCAGCACCATGTCTTTCCAAGCCCAGGGACCCTCCACCCAAGACCTGGTCGCAGATCTATTCGAAGACCTAATCGCATACCCATCCACAGACCCAGTTGCAGACCCATCCGCAGACCCCTTCGCCGACCCATCCATATACGAAGTCGCAACCACAACCGCAAACCCAGTCCCAGTCCCAGTCCCAGTCCCAGTCCCAGTCCCCTGCAACACAATGCCTCACCAACCCCAAGAGCCCCCCACCCCAACCCTCTTCGCAGACCGTGGCATCTACCTCGGCATCGGCCGCCTCCCACACCCCCGCGACATCCAAAACGGCCAACACCCGCACTGGCAGCTCATAATCACAGACCCCGACACGCAAAGCTCGCACATCTACAGCTGCGCCCGACAAGACATCAAGACAGCCGCCTACAAGCACACAGCCAGCCACTACGTAGCCCCGCTCGACAGCCGGCTGTCCGCACTGCACAAGCTCGGCAGCGTGCCGCCGCACAAGGATGCCGAAGTCGTCTCGATATGCGCGGCCGTGCGTCCGCAGCGGTGCCACACGTACGTGTACAGCGTGCTCATGATCCTGTGTGAGCAGAAGATCATCGCGTTGAGCGCGCTGGAATGGGTGTCGGATAATCTGATGGATGCGGTTAAGCGCAGTCGGATTGAGGCGGAGAAGAGGCGTGTGGAGATGGAGGCTGTGTCTAGGCTGCCGGCTGGGGGCGCACCTGGTGCAGTGCCTGAGGCAATACCTGAGGTCTTTCTGCATGAGTTTTGCACGGATAATAGGTCTCAGAGGGAGAGGGAGAGGAGGACCAAGCGGGAGAAGACGAGGAGGTGGGCTATGAAGAGGCTTCTGGGTGTGGAGAATGATGCGAATAGGTTGGGGATGGATGAGGTGGTGTATTGTCGGTGTTTCTTTTGAGGTGGTGGTTGTTTAGCGTGGAGATGCAAGTGTGGTCTCTATGTTTGGTTTTGTATTAGAAGTTAAGTTAAATTGAATTGAATTATTATTGTGACAAGATAACAATGATTCGCGTTAGCCTGTAGTACAAAGCTGGCATCTAGATGCACAGAACAATAAATAATATAAGGCAAGCACCTGAAATTAGACATCTAAACTGAAGCCGAGGTAGTGATGACAGAATTTGGCATCACAGGAGTAGGGCACCCCTTTTGTGGCATCAATCTGCCTAGCGCAGCCGTGATGTAACTGAGGCCATAAGAGATGCTTGAGAAAGAGCAGAGTGATGGATTGAAAGAGAATTGTGAAAGGTCTCCTAGTATTATCAGTTTGCTTCGTGCTGCTCAAACGGACGGGAATATGCTGTAAGCCAACCAGGTCTGTATCCAAATCTGTGTCTATTTTCTCTTTCTAGCAGCAAACTTAGAACGTCATTATTTCAAACCTTCTGCAGGCACGGCCAATGGATGTTCTGGTATCTATGGGCAAGTACTTTGCCTGTCAATGATCATTGGGCGTTCTGTCTTCCAAATGGAAGCGTCTTTTGTGAGACAAGCCTTTTCAACAAAGACAACTAGGTGGAAGCTTCACCAACCAGAAACCACAAACCAGTCAAACTCTTTGAGTACATAATAGCCCAGCCAGGTCTTTGTTCTTGAAAGAACAGATTCATAACAAAGCGTATCCGCGCTTTAAATATCAGCCATATCCTGTCCTCAAGATCCAATACCCAACACAATCCACATCACACACCAAACCTTGGAACAGCTGGAAATCAATCTCCCTACAACCCAACCAACCTTCACGATAGCATCCACAACCGCAACCATGGCATCCCAACCCGCAACCCCCCTCCTAGACATCTACATCGGCCTCGGCACGATCCAACCACACGGACCCCAACAACAAGAACACTGGACGCTCATCCTCTCCCCCCAGCCCAACAGCCCATCCAACTGCCTATTCTACCACGTCGACGGCGGTCCCACGCACTACAGACACGTCACCGAAACCGACAAATCCCTGCACGACGCGCGCCTGTCCTCCATCACAAAGATCGGAACAGCCCCGTGCACAGTCGCTACACTCCAAGAAATCCACCGCAAGACGCAGAGCATCCGGGCGCAGCGCTGCCACATCTACATTGCACGGCTCATAAGGTACCTGGAGCGGAAGGGCTGGGCTGGACCTGGTACTGCGCAGAGCCTTTGCGATTATCATGGGCTAAGCGGGGAGTCTACCTTGGTTTCACGCGCGAGGGCTGGAGAGGAGGTTGGTGTGGAGATGGATGCGGAGATTGAGATGGAGATTGAGGATGCGCGGAGGGAGCTTGTGAGGACTGCGAGGGCTGTGAGGGCGGCGGGGCTTGATTCGTTAAGCTACTGTACTTGTTTTTTCTAAGTGTAGTTGGATTGACCTTTTTTCGCTGTTTGTCTAGTGTTGGGTTTATTATTACTGCAGGATCATCAATGTTTACCTTTTCCTTTTAATTTGTGTTGTGCATTCTTTGCCAATTGATCACGGTAATTTTGTCCTTCTTCAGTAGACTTTGCTTGATTACATATTATTAAGACTCGTTACTCTGTTATTGCCAGTCCAGTACGCCGTCCAAGACCATGGTAGAATTCGGAAACTAAACCACGAATGTGCACTTTACCATGGTTAATAGCTCAACTACTACGGTAGCTTTATCCTCCGCAACCACAAAGATAGGTTCTGTGGATTTGTGGAGGCCATGGAGCTTGGCCGCAGCACACAGGGGAGTTTATCTTTGTAAGTACATTAACCCTAAGTTCTCTGTGTTTAGAATTGTCCAGTCAGCTGGTTATACCTTATGATTGTATCTTGAACTAGCATAATAGGCAGGGATGATGTGTTTTGACTCTATTCAACCAAAAGCCCGTGTGTAAAAAAAAAAAAAAAACAATCCGATCACTCTTAAAAGAAACCTCAGGTACGGAAGATAAAGCGGAAATGTACTTAGATACCCGTGGAAATTGCCATAGGTTACCATGAGAGAGGACAACCCAATTGTGACAGTCATTGAAGGCAACGTTAGAGCAGAAAGAAATTGAGTCTTTATGTCGCTGGATAAAGCCTTTACAAAGGACATTGACTATACATCCAGACAAATAAAGAGTTTCTGAAAGGCATTAGTAAGATTAAAAGGCAGAAACCAGTTCAAAGCTCAACCCGATGAAGGCTGGAGGGCAAGGATTATGGACAATAGACAAATGGCCTATAAATCCATGGTGATGGCCCAAGGCAGGGAGTTCAGTCAGCACCAAATACCGACGGCCTACCACCCGTTTCCAACTTTCCAACACTCAAGATCGTCCATCTCAAAACCCTAATACACCACCAAAGTGGCTCACCTATCATCCACAATGGCCCCCTCAACCTCCACCCATTTCCAAGACCCCCAACTCCCAACCTACACCCTAACCCTCTACATCGCCTTCGGCCTCCTCGTCGACCCGGCCCAACAACGCCACTGGACATTCATAATCCAGCACCCAGAATCCCACCGCTGCACATTCTACCACACCACCGGCGGCCCCACAACCTACAAGACCAGCATCGAGCGGAACCAAACGCTGTCAGACCCGCGTCTCAGCGAAGTGACGCGGATCGGGACCGTGTCCGCAACGATGCGCGGCCGGGTAACGGGGATCCTGTTCACTGTTCGGCCGCAGCGGTGCCACACGTTTATTCTTGAGGTGTTGGCTGGTCTTGAGCGGGAGAGGGTTATCGCGGTGGGGTGGGCGGCGTATTTTGCGTCGTGCAGTGATGCGGGGGTTTCGGTTTTGCAGCAGGTTCGGGCGGAGCGGAGGGTGGAGTTGGGGGTGAGGCACTTGCCGCATGGGGTTTCGAGGAGGGTGGTTGATAGCCTTGTGGAGATTGCGAGGGGTCTGGAGAAGGATGATCTGTCGGAGTTGGATTATTGTCGGTGTTTTTTTTAAGTTGTGCCTTGGAATTGATTTTTTTGAATAATTGTTATTGAGTACGTAGATACTAGTAGTGGAAGTAGGAAGTCCTCGTCTAGGCTAGGCGCGTCGTTAGGATACCTAGGCATGTTGTAATAAACACTGCGCATGATAGCCTGAAGTGGTGGTTGTAGAAAATACCTACCTCTCCTTGAATGTAGACTAAGGAGTCGACCGGTCAGCGGCTCAATGTTGCAGCACCATTTCCTACGCGGAAAATTGGCCGACCTGGAGGAATTTATGTAATGTGATAAACTGTGTTGGTCGTAGCAGCTTTCGTCTAGCATGCAGGTATAGGACTTTTTGACGAGTAATGCCTCCTTTCACCCACACATGTCAGCTTTCATAAAAACCCCCTGCAAGGACTGCGGCAGTTGACGAAAATCATGTATCATTTTCCCAACGCTGCAGCAAATGCACTCTTCTCCGGATGCGTTATTTCTAGGTAGGCTGTACACACCCGCAGAGCTTTTAAAGACGGCTCGCAGAACACTTGTTCAGATAGATGAATGCGCTCTGTACATTAGCTCATCTTGTGGAACAGTAGCCAGGGCCTGAGATGGTGCTAGTCAAACCCACACCAGCGCCGGGGCATCTACCCGGAGAGCGGCGAGCGCTTGTGTGAGTGCGGGGTGTATGTTAATGTGCCATTGAAACAATGCGACGCCTAGAGCAAGAGCTTGGGACGGGTGGCATATGTATGACGCGTTTCCATTAGGCGGAACAAGACTAAGCGGAATGACAGCTTGACAATAGCTCGGTGAGTAGCCACCTCAACGAGGTTTTCCATCCATGGTAAGTCACTCAGCTCGATAGCAAAAGCCTCCGACATGCATTGTCGACCTCAACATTATGTGGAGCGATACCTCTAACAGGCGAATCTCGAATCGTGGCATAGAGGTGCTTCAAACGGTCGAAGCTTTTCCATATTCTCTGTGTGTTTGGAGAACTGGTTTGCCATTTCTTCCGCTGCATGCCCAGTGAAGTGAACCCTCGTTGAAAATCTCAAATAATACCATTAGTAACTGGCAAAAGCAAAAGTTGAGTTTGAATCGACACGGGGTAAGAACAGCACCCACGAGACGTCGAGGAGGGTACCTCCTTCCTATTCTAGGAACTGATTTGGCAACAAACCCGCCGTCCAGCAGTCCGTAGTCTAGCGACTTGATCATTATCGAATCCTCGATGTGAACTCGTGGTTCTGGACCCCTCTCGTTCACAAGATAAGTTCGTGGTCGTATGTATATTTGTTCTTCTTTGGTGAGTTGTTCTCGAGGCACTCTGAATTGATCCAATTCTACCCTCCAACTATCTCCCAGAAGTGCACGCCGCATGAGTTAGTCGCTTCCAGCAGAACGCAGACAACACTCAACAATAGCCAGACTCTTGAAATCCATATTCTCTTTACCGACAACAGATAAAGACCTTTATGTCTGACAATGAAGCGCAAGAACTTTAGGGGAACGCATCCAGCAATGACGCCTCAAGGAGTCCTCAGCCCCACTTCATCAAGGATTGTTGGTTGGCGAAGTCTTACAAAGAGTATTCAGACTGCCATTATCGTGTTTCATATCGGTGCTTAGAGGTGTGGTTAACATCGGCATTGTGACTGACAATGGTAGCAAAATGTGCGAGCGACAAAGGACATTAAGTACCCCTTCGATACCTCGGTGAGATCAATCGAGTCAAGTACAAAGGGCGTCGGGAAACAAGGCAACGCTCTCAAAGACAACAATGGTGTATTCAGTCATGTCCTTCACGCGTATAAGCGCAAGCGAGACCAAGCAAAGTTATAAGAAGGGACGGAGATGCATTCATTCCATCTCATATCCAATCCACAGTCAGCATAACAATCAGTGCTTACGCAGTGAGCCTACCAACATCAACACTACACCAACCAAGACTTACATCTACTACAACCACCATGTCTACCACATTTCACACCTCCACAATGTTCGAAGTCGGCCTCGCGTACGGGTACAAATTTCCAAACACCCTGCCTGGCAGCCATGGCTCCACCCCCATGGCGCACCCATGCCACACGATGCTGACACTGACACCACAGGACACCACCCAATGCACCTGGATCCACATCGGCAACGGCCCATTCCAGTACGAAGTGCTAATCGAGCACGACAAGGACTCATCCGACACCCTCGCCGAGAACAGCGTGCCAATTGGCGGAATCCACTCGACGCAACTACAAGCCCTCTACGAGCTTGCGCGCAGCATCGAGCCCCAACGGTGCCAGCTGTACATCGCCGCGCTGCTGGAGGGAATGATCGAGCGCGGGCTCGGGCACATCGACGGCCTAATCGCCTCGCACTTCCGGTCCAGCATCGAGCGCAGCATCGCGCAAACGATGCAAGACGTCGGGGTGGACGCGACCACGATCCGGGTGTGGGCGTTCGTCAAGTCGCGGCAATATCGCTTCCACCCACAGCAGGCCGATATGCTGCGGGACACGTGCTTCTACGACACCTGCATGCCGGCGCCCACCGAGTTCCGGATCCTGGAAGAGCGCATGGATGGGGACCAGTATTTGCTTGAGATTGCGCCGTTGCAGGATGATGAGCAGCGCTCGGCGCTTGACAGCGTGGGCTTTCACGCACCGGACCATGAACGTCGGACGTGTGTTCGTGGTGGCGATGCCGTTGCCGGGCCCTCGAGGCCCGTTACGAACCCTAGGTTGTTGCTTAGCAATGAGTGGGATGCGCGGCCTTTGGAGCAGCGGGCCACGGTGTTCAGGTACATGAGGCAGTAAGTGATGCGCTTTGGCGAACATTACATGACAAAATGTTTTTGCTTTTGGGTGGTGTTTTGAATTTGTTTGTGCTTATATTGCACTTTTATAATAGTATGACATTAAAAAAGAAAAATATATATAAAAAAAAGGATAGGAAACACCTGTCCTTATTATGTGGAATATCAGTTGTGCAATCTATTGTCTAGCCTTCTATATCAAGTAATCTTTGTCAAACGTAACGCAGTAGGCCGGGAATTAGGGCTATCGAGCCGCTAGGGCGGGGGCAGACCGACATACGGTACCTGGAGAATTCGCTGCCAAAGCGTCTATGGTCCACACAAAGAGAAGAAGTATTGAACATCTAGAAGCTTCAGCGGCCTGTTTGACATGGTCTTTCCGGTATCCATATTCTGTCCGCCGATTCTACAAGAACTGAACCTTTGATACTATTCAAGGGGAAAGAAACCCGGTGTCGAACTGCGATGCTACTAGTCAGTTACTCCCCGACTGTGACTCATAGATAAACTAGTCAAGCAAAGCTGACTATAGAATGGGCAGCGTTGGAAAATGTCTCGCGTGACTTTTTATTTCGTCTCTTAGTATGGTTGCCTTGCAGCGGGCAGTGGGCAGTGGTTACTTGAGCAAAGCCCAATAACAAATAGCAATAAGAGAAATAGGACAGCCAATGCACACAAAGCTAGTGTGAAGCAGCATGGGGAAATGCTTTGAATGGCAGTTCTTTCATTGCTGGGCATGGTTGTCTTCTAGAAGTGGACAATACCTACACATCAACAAAGCCCAATACCAACCCATACCTAAGAAAGATAGGTCAATAAACACGCACAAGGCCAGTGTAGTATCAGCAGTCTTAGAAGATGCTTTAAGTAAAATTTTACTTTCACGTCAATAATGACTATCATCAGGTGGGCTATTCTTTACTATTCATAAAGCGGAACAAAGAAAACAACAACAACAAGGGAAATGGGAAAATTCACACACGCAAAGCTAGTCCTGGAGTGTTCTGTGAATGAGACCAGTGAAGAGATCTTCCAGCATATTCACTCTCAACCAACAGTCAACAAAGGAGCCTCCAAATATAAAAACCCTCTGTAATCCAGTCTACCCTCTGCACCCAGACACTTTAACAGTTAATTACGCAAAGTGGCTCCAAGCATTAAACCCGCATTCTCAAACCCCTCAACCTCCATATCAAAAAATGTCCCAAAACACCATGGTCACATTCGGCTCCGTCGACGTCTACGTAGGCGAGCGCGCCACCTCCACCCCCCAGGACCAAACCCACCCCCGAATCGTATTCCGGGTCGCTCTAGTCACCAGCGGGACGGCAGGCACCAGAGGCGGCAGAGAGCACGCCGTGGTCGACACGGGCAGCAACGACCGCCACCGCTACCGGATCATGGGAGAACACGAAGCGACTCCAGAGACGCTCCGAAACATGACGCTCCTCGGCACATACCCAGCGTCCGCGGAAGCATCCACCCGCATTGCGGCGGAGCACTTCCCCGTCTTCATCCAGGATCTGCGGAAGAAGGGGTATATCGAGCGGGTGCCGACGTCCGCGAAGGTGCGTGAGATCTGCAGGGATTTGTCCGATCGCGTTAAGAAAGCAAAGGAGCGTGGCACGCGGGCCACGCTTGCACGGGCCACGCGCCGTGTAGCCCGTGCTGGATCAAATGCAGCGGAGGATGTGTTTACTTGGTGTCTTCAGGGGATTCGTGGTATGGGTGAATTTCTACAGGGATTGGAATTGGACGGTGACTGTATTGGCGGTGACTTTGGTGGCTGTGACGGCGGTGGCTCCAGCTGAACCTACTCTATTCTTTCCTTGCACTTGGTTGTCCCTTGTTGTTGGGTGCTTACCGTTATGTCGTGTTGTTGCAAAATCCACTCGGTTATTTCTGCTTCTTATAAGACCCCACTTACTCCCCTGTGAGTTGTATGTCTTTGTTACGTAGTTCCACCATATTTAAACTCACAGCTCAGGTGTATTGTACCCAGGTACTGTTACGGCAAATGGAGTGCTCCTCCATCCCCTTTTGATCTCAAGCTGCCTGAAAGGCGGCTATCGACGCCAATGACTGCGAAGTATAGACTGTACCGGGTTCAGTAGAACAGTTGACGCAGGAAAGGCCTAACAATCGTCAACGTACGTACAGTTGTAGACGATCAGCGCTTCTGCAAGAAGTGAATCTTCAGTGGAGTAAGTATGCCTCCAGTGTATGGCCCTGAGCCATTGCCTTGTCAGCATGCTATGCAATACTCCTGCAGAGTCAATGTGGGATCACCATCTGCATTCACCCTTTGGCGGCTATCATCGCTCTTCCTCTACTACCATGCTCCAAATAAGGAGAGGGCATTGCCTCCGTAGCATTGAACAGCTTCACCTAAGCATTCACCAGCTCATTCACCCTGTACCTCATAATCAAACTCCAGGTCTCCAGATCTAGATCTTATAGATAGATAGATTGATACCCAGCAACGGCCCATCCCAACTCACTATTCAACCCATGACCACCCTCGATCATCAAACCAATCGATTGCACGCCCATCGGATTCTGCAAATGTTCGCCCGCGTCATCTCAATACTCCAGAGTTTATTTCAGGCTCTAGGCACACCACATCGCATTCTCACTGCCACAATGGCCGCGTTAACAACCTCCGCGCCCGACGAAAAATTCCACGTCTCCGCCATCCTCCAGCGAAAGAAGCAATGCTCGACCCCGGAACTCCTGCTGGTCTTCAAAGAGGAGCCCGCGCGAGAGAATGGAGTCACACTGATCGGGCGCATCAAGCACAGCAACCCCTACCCCGAGCCCAACGAGCCCTATTCGTCAAGCCACCAGATCTCAGTCCACGTCGAGAAACAAGACAATCCGACATCCCAGACTAAGGCCAAGTGTAAGTACAAGGTCGAGGCATTTCTCGGCACGTTCCCTAGGGTCGGGAGGGCCGTTGTCGAAGACCACCTGCCTGCTATCATTGGACGCCTTAAGAACGAGGGCTTCCTTGTCCGCAACCCCGAGGCTGAGATGTTGAGCCTGCAGCAGATTGACCGTTTCGCGAAGGAGTTGCAGGATGTGTTCTTGATGCTGGGGGATATGAGAGGGGGAGCGGTTCTTTATTTGGATTTTCAGGGTTATGAGGTGCCGGAGTTTGTTGGGGTGAATTGATGTTGATAAGTCTGATGAGAATAACTGGTGCTGCTTCCGAGAGTAGGGGGTCGCTGGATATCTACTATCACCATCAGTGTCATAACGTACTTTCCTTGCGGTTCTAATGCTGGGATTGCTAGCCAAGAAATAAAGCTCATTCTGTGGTGGAATTGTCGCAGTGTTCATTGTGTCCTTGTTCCGGAAGCCAAGATAGCCACAGGATATATATAATGGCTCTTCCGTCACTTCGGTGGCTCTTGTAATCTTATTGTATGATGGAAGAACAGCAGGGTTAAAGCTACCTATTGATCTACCTAAAGTTCTATTTCCCATGGCAGAGTAATATATTTACTGAAAGGGCATGGCCGTTTTGATGGTCTATCTTCTACTCCAGCCCTGGGTTGGTTGAGTTGGATGTAAAGTTTATGTTTGGCTTATAATTTTGTAGGAAGAGCGGTAAAATATCCAATCAGCTCGCATAGCTCAGTTGGTAGAGCGCGTGACTAGTAAAGACCTTCTTGAAATCACGAGGTCAGCGGTTCAAGTCCGCTTGTGAGCATTTCTTTTTTCTTTTTTCCTGGTCGGAGTCCAAGTGGGTCACAGGGCCTTTTATTCTGCAATAAAAAGGTGGTGGTGGGCAGATTAGGTAATTGCGCGTGGCCAAAATAAAGTGAAGGCCAAAGCGCATATTAATTATAGGTCCCGGCTCCTAGTCACGTGAGCTTTATTAAGAATTATATAAAATAGTAAAATAATATTAATTAATTAAAAAAAAGGGTAGTTATATAACCTTTTTTTACTACTTAAGCTAAATAATATTAATTAACTAAAAAAAAGAATAATTATATAACCTTATTTTACTATTTTAACCTTGTAATATAGTTTTTTTTAGTAATATAATAATTTAAATTTTAGGTTTATAATTTCTTTTTTACTTATAGTTTATATAAATAAATTTAATTATAAAATTAATTATAATTTATATTTATTATAGTACTATACTTTTTTTATTATAATTTTAATAACGCCCGGGCTATAAACCTTGCTAAACTTATAATAATTATAAAAACTAGGTATATTTATACTACCTTACATGTATATTATAGCTATTAATATATAATAAAAAAAGTAAATAATTTATTATAGCTATAGGCCTTTTTATCCTACTTTTTTAATATTTTTTTTAATATAATTAACCTAAACATGTAATAAATACGCTTGCTATAGCTAAAGTTAAATTATTAATATTATAATATATACTTATTTAATAACTTATAATAAATAAAAAAATATTATAAAAATATAAAATAATAATATATATAATAAATAATTAATTAAATAACTTATATAATTAATTTTAATAAACCCTAGCTTTTTTATTTACCTTTAACACGCCTATTATTATTAATTATATTTACTACTTTTATACCTTTTTTTATATTTATAATAGCTATATTTTTACTATTATTTATACCTTACCTACTAGGTAGGCACCCGTAGCTAGTTATTATTATTAATAAAAATAATATTAAGTTAAATATTAATAGCTTAACTACTATAAGCTCCTAGTTTATTATTAAAAATAATTAATTTTTATTTTTATAAATTATTAAAGTTAACTTTAGCCTTTTTATATATATAAACCTAGACCATGCTTTTTTACTATATTTATTTTTTTTAATTAATTTTATATATTTAGCTATTATAAATTATAATTAAAAATTATTAAATAACTTTTACTACTAGCTTAATATACACTAGCTAAAAATATATAATTATTATTAAAAATAATAATTTAATATAAACCTTTAAAAAAGGAATAATATTTACAAGTATTACGTGTTAGCTAACTAAAATTAAAAAATTTTTAAATTTAATTTATAAAATAAAATAAATCCTGGTAATATTTCTTTTTACCTCCTAGAATTAATATAAATTAAGGAAGTACTAATTATAAAAGTTTATATATTTATTAAGGTTTATTATATTTAAAATTACTAGTATTTATATAAAGGCTATATTATTAACTTTTTATAAAATACTAGTTAAGTATATAAATAGCTCCTGCTTTTATTTAAAAAACTTAAGGTATTAATTTTATAAATATTTAATTTTAGTATAAACTAGAAAATATACCTATAATTTTATTATAATTTTAAAATATAGCGCTGGGTAGTTAAATAATAATTAAATTATTTTTAAGTAAATTATTTAGGGTATTAAAATATAATTAAAAATAATTATAACCTTATATAATTATTAAAAAATAAACTAGTTAATTATTTTATCTTAAATCAAGAGCTAGCCGGTAAGCTAATTACCCTAAATAATAATTAATAAGTAAACTTTAATAATATACAGGCGCCTAATATAGTTATAATACTTAATTTACTTATAATAATTATAAAGCTTAAGGCTTTATAAGCCATAGTAAATAATGCTATTAAGCTAGTGTGTAATAACCCTTATTTAACTTTTTTTTTATTTTATATAATACTGTTATTTAAGTTTAATTACTTGTAATAATTACTATTACTAGTATTTTTTATTTTTTTTTATTATAATATAAAGCTAGTTATAACATACCCGCGCGAGGTATTATTTATAAATTATATTAAATACTTACTTAAATATAAAAGTAGCTATTTTACATGGTATTTCTAGTTTTAATATATTTACTTTAATATAATTTATTATTAGTAAATAAATTAATAAGCTAGTTTTTATATTTATAACCGCGTGCCTGGCTAGCAAGATATTTTTATAAAAAAGTTATAAGTAGCCTTTTGATTAAATATAACTAAATTATTTATATTACTAAGTTTTATTACTAGTTTTTTTTAAAATTATTTACGGTACGCGGCTATTTTAATATAGTAAAAAAATGGCTTAAAAGCCATAATTAAAAATATTAATAAATAGCTTATTTTTTATTACTATATATATTATTTTAACTGCTTATTTTTTAAATAAGCATGGCTTACTTATTTTTAATATTTTTTATGGTTAATTTATATTAAAATAACTTAATATAATAATTACCTAAGTATAAAGCATGGTATAATAATATAAAGGTTATTTATAAATAAATTATATAATATAATTTATAAAATAACCCTTATATTATTATGGCATGGTTTTATTACTATTACTATATATTTTTTAATATAGTTATTAAGCTTAAGTTTAATATTATAAATAATTAATCTTGCTATAAATAACAAGGTTAAGGTTTAACTTATAACCATAGTATATATTAAATATAATTTATTTTTATTTTTAATAGCCTTTAATAATTTAATAAGTTATAGTGGTTATTTAAAGCTTATTAAAATATATATATTATAGCTATAAACCCTTTCTATATATAAATTATTATTATTAATATAAATTATAAGGCTATTTAGCTGCCTTAGTTTTAATAAAAAAATATACTTACTTATTTTACACAGGTTATAAATTATGTATTATACTATTATTATAGTATAAATTATTATTAATAAAAAAATAAGTAAACTAAGTAAGTTATTTATTACTTTTATTTTTTTATAATAACACGGCGTGATTTTTAGTTAATAAAATTAACTAGTAATATATATTATTATTTTTTTTAGCCTGTAATAATATAACCTTAAATATATTTAATTTAATTATTAGCTTAAAATAGCTTATAAATTTAAATATAGCTATATATATTAATAAGCGCTTTTTACTTTATTATATTACTAAGTATATTATAAAGCTTAAAAAAAATAAAGTTATATAAAAATATTATAAAATTAATTTTTAAGTATATTAATACGTGCTGTTTTTTATTATTACTAGTATAAAAAATAATAAATACCTTAATTATAAAGCAAAATTAGTTTATATAAAAGGTTTATTATTATTTACTAGGCCTATTACTTTAAATATTAAGCTATAACATGGTTATTATTCCGTGTTTTATAAATTAGGAATAAAATAACCTATTTTTACTATTAAATATAAACTATAATAATACTAGTAATAAAAAAGGCGGTATTAAATAAGGTTTAAATATAATAATAAAGTATATATAGTAGCTATTAAAGCTTATTAATTTAATATTATTATATTACATGCGTTATTATACCCTATAGCTTAAAGTATATAAAAAAGTTAAAAGTAAAATAAAGAATTATATTATTTATTACTACCTAATATATAACTAAGTTATAGACTTAAAAAACTTTGCCCATGTTAAGTTAATACTTTATTATTTATTTATTAAAATAAATAACTTGCATATAATTAATAAATTAATATTTAATAGCTTTTATAACATGTATAAATACTACTATAAATACCATGGTTATTGTCAGGGCCAACGTTTTTTTATTTAATGTTACCAGAGCTAATTCATTATTAGTTTAGAGTTAGCGCCTTAGGTAACCTAAGCTTTAGCCTTAGGCTGCTAAGGCTTGGTATACCTTATTATTATATTAGGCTATATAACTTAACTAGGTTATTAATATTTAAAGTCTTAATTATTAATTAAATAAGGCTAGGGTAGGCCCTAAGTATAAGCTAAAATAAAAATTTATATATAAAGTATTTAAATTTATATTTACTTTTTAATTAAAAATAGCTTAAATATAACTTAAAGGTTTATAAAAATAGTTTTAAGGCTAGCTTTTTTTTTAGATTTTTAAGTAACTTTTTTAGTATTATTTAATAAGGTTTAAAATATTTTATTTTTATTAATTAAATTTTTTTATTAATATTTTTATTATTAATAAAAATTTTTAAAACTTATTAATTTTATAGTTAAAGTTGCTTGCACTTATTACTTTTTAAACTTTTTTAATAATAATATTTTAAACTAAATTTTTAAAGGGTAAGTAAAAGTAATTTATAAGTATTTTAGTTAAGGTTTTTAAAACCTAGACTTAAATAATTAAAAAAGTATTTTTTTTTATTTATGCTTAAGAATTTTATTACTATTAAAAATAGTTAAAAAAAAACTTAATTTAAATAATTTAGTTTATTAGCTTAAT